TCCACGGAGGTTTGTGGTCAGGGCATCTCGGCATCAAAAAAACAAAAGAATGTTTGTTACGGGAGTTTTACTGGCCCGGCTGCTTTCGGGAGGTGGAGGCATTTGTAAGAAGCTGCGACACGTGCCAACGCGTTGGCAAGCCAGGGGATAAGGCTAAAGCACCTATGAAGCTGGTCCCCATTATCACAGAACCGTTTCGCAGGCTAGTTATAGACACAGTGGGTCCACTTCCTGTAACGCAGTCCGGGTACCGGCACATACTCACAGTGCTCTGCCCGGCCACGAAATTCCCGGAAGCAGTACCGTTAAAGGAGCTCAGCTCGGAAGAGGTAGTTAAAGCGCTTTTATCTATCTTTGCACGTGTAGGCTTCCCTGCAGAAATTCAGTCCGACCAGGGATCTGTTTTTACAAGTGCACTAACCTCGACATTTCTAGAAAAGTGTGGTGTTAAAATCATCCACAGTTCAGTGTACCACCCTCAGTCAAATGCTGTAGAAAAGGTACATTCAGTCATGAAACGGCTGCTACGCGCCCTTTGTTATGAGCAAAAAGAGGATTGGGAGGCTTGCTTGCCCGCAGCTATGTTCGCGCTTCGGGTCGCTCCTCACGAATCAACAGGGTTTTCGCCTGCGGAGCTAGTTTACGGACGTGCTCTTCGCTCCCCACTTCGCATTGTTCGAGAATCTTGGGAGGGCCGGGCGGACGACCCTTCGGTAGTAGCATACGTACTTGAGCTGTTGGACCGACTTCACGCAGCTCAAGAACTAGCGGAGCAGGAAATGCGCAGAGCTCAAAACAACGCTAAGCGCTATTATGACAAGACAGCCCGGACGCGAAGCTTTCGAGTGGGGGAAAAAGTGATGATACTGAAACCCTCACTGAAGAATAAACTTCAGGTCCAGTGGGAGGGACCTGTTGAGGTAGTTCAGAAATTGTCAGACACAAATTACTTGGTTACTGGACTGGGAAGGCGTAAAACGCAACAGGTGTACCACACTAATCTGCTCAAACCGTACCAGCAGAGGCATGCCGTTGTAAACATGTCGCTCAATCAACCGGAAGAAATGCCTATTGATTTCCCGGAGTTAACAACCGAAAACAAAGACATTGGCGAGACTATTAGTAACCTGGTAGAACAGGCGGAGTTGGAGCCAGATCAGAAAGCGGAACTGAAGGAACTATTGTTTGACTTTAAAGAAACATTTTCAGACACACCTGGCAGAACCAAAGCCCTAGTTCATGATATTGAGCTGACATCTTCGGAACCAATTCGTTCTAAAGCTTACCGCGTTTCCCCGAGGCAACGGGAAATAATGGCCGCGGAGATAAACCGAATGCTCGAGCTAGGAGTGATCGAGCCAGGAGAGAGTGATTACACCTCGCCTCTGATCTTGGTTGAGGTCCCAGGGAAAGAGCCGCGACCGTGTATTGACTATCGGAGGCTCAACTCGATTACAAAGGACCAAACTTATCCAATTCCGCATATTGAGGAAAGACTTGAGCAAGTCAGCAGTGCCAATTTCATCTCGACTTTGGATTTAGTCAGGGGATACTGGCAGGTGCCTCTAACTGAAAGGGCTAGTAGGCTTGCGGCGTTTATTTCCCCGATGGGAACATTTCGGCCGAAGGTCCTTAGTTTTGGATTAAAGAATGCCCCTTATTGCTTTTCTGGCCTAATGGACAAAGTGTTACAGGGTATGGAGGACTTTGCCCTCCCGTACCTAGATGATATTGCTATTTTTTCTTCTTCCTGGATAGACCACATGAAACACTTGCGAGCTGTGCTATGTCGTCTGCGTGAGGCCGGCTTAACAGTGAAGGTTGCGAAATGCCAATTGGGGCGCGCTGAGGTAGCTTATCTAGGGCATGTAATAGGCCAAGGCTACCGCCGGCCGTCAGAAGTAAAGCTGGCCGCAATAGACAACTTTCCCCAACCACGAACCAAGAAAGACATTCGGTCGTTTCTTGGATTGGCCGGTTATTATCAAAGGTATATCCCGCGTTACTCTGACATTGCAAGTTCCTTGACAGACGCTCTTAGAAAGACTGAACCCCAGACCGTAAAATGGGATGGGGCCAAGGAACATGCATTTTCTACGCTAAAGAAGGCACTAAAAAGTCAGCCAGTGTTGAGCGCGCCTGACTACTCTAAGCCGTTCATTCTTCAGTGTGACGCCAGCGACCGGGGTATGGGTGTCGTGCTTTGTCAGAGGGGAGAGAACGACCAGGAACACCCTGTACTGTATGCCAGTAGAAAGCTTTCTGTTCGTGAGGAAGCATACAGTGCCTCAGAAAAGGAATGTGCCTGCGTTGTTTGGGCTGTGCAGAAGCTAGCTTGTTACATCGCCGGTTCTAGGTTCACAATAGAGACTGACCACTGTCCCCTCACATGGCTACAGTCCATGTCATCGAAAAACGGCCGTCTTTTGCGCTGGAGCTTAGCTCTTCAACAATACACCTTTGATATCCATTACAAGAAGGGTAAACTCAACAGCAACGCAGATGGTCTGAGTCGTTGTCCCTAGTACCCCGAGGGCTTCAAAACGATTTTCTGCTTTCTATCCTCGATTTGAGGCCCACTAGTTTTCTGTATTTATCCAATCATGTGTCAAGTGTTTTGTTTGATGTCTTCAAAAGTGGCTGATGTGGTGTTGCGACTCGGCGGGGGCCACAGGAATAAAGTTGAGGTAGAAGGAAATGACTTCCACAGGTGAATCTGAGTCTGGTGATTCTGAGTAGAGAATTGCCGTGTGCTTGCTTGTGTGTGGGTGTGCTTTCGGCGCCGTTTCCGCAGTTCCTCGTTTGTGGTGGGCGGAGAATATGGTGGAGGGGTTCACCTCATCCCTGCGAGCAACGCCCTCTTGGTCGATGATCATCGGATCCAGTGTTCGGGACAAAAGTAATAGAGGAAGAGCCGACAAGCTGCAATACAGATCCCGCTGCACAGTACCTGCTGGCCACTGCACCTCGGGATCTTCTTTCCCCGGCGGAGAGGCTGTTAGGACCGGCGCCAGGTCTGACAGTGGATCGGCGTTCCTTTTGATGTTCCTTTTGAGTCGCCAAACGGGTTGGCGGCCTGTGTCCGCCATGTATTGTTCCCACCTGGCCGGAGGGTGCGGCGTCCTGCCGCCGCGGCGCCGTGAGCAGTTCGGGAGACCACCGGTGCAGCTTCTTCTTTGGAAGATGACGGCGGCGGCGGCGGCCGGGAATCGTCCCGCTAATTGAACGAATCGTTCGGCACCATTTGAAGCTTGTTTACGGCGGCCCTTTCGATGGATGCAGTCATCAACTTCAGACCCCTCGCCCAGCGACACACCTTGACGGGGGGGGAGCCGCGTTCGTGCCACATGGCCGTGCGGTGACCACGCTTCAGTTTTGAACGTTCGCGTGGACCGTGCGTGCTCGTCACCCTCGCGGGTAATGTGTGGTCCGTGATTGGACGGTGCCCTCTGTACGCGGTCCCCGATCTAGGGATCTGGGGAGGACAGACCCTTTATAATGAGCCCCCACGGCTCATTCGGTGTGCTTTTTCGAGTGGAGAGCTCGCCATGTACGAAGAACGCCACTATATATCTAAACTTTCTTATTGACCTCTCTCTAATGTAAATAAACGTCTGTTCTCTGTTTTCCCATATAAGCATTGCTTCTCGCTATAAGGGACGAGTCCGATGGGAGCCAGCTACCAACGACGAGACCCACAGGACTCAGGTCCCAACAGTACTTACTGTAAAACGAGTTGAAGAAGGAAGATGGTTAGCCACGTTCATAATTTCTGAAGCTTCTAAAAGCAACTATGTTTGCCTCATGGAATCTCTGTGTGAGCGTTTGTTCTTTTACTTGTTCATTCCCGAATGCCTCGTGACGAGGTGGACACTACAGGTACCAGTGCGAACTGCAGCCAAATATGGATCAGCTGACATTTTAAAACAAGCGTGTGCGTTATCACATAGGTTGGTAGGGGCCAGTGTTTTATGCGACATTTATTGTATATTCAGGGGCCTCTGAATGCTCCACGCCGCCCCAGTTTTGCATTTGCATTGGTGGATGCTCTCATGTTTGCACTACCATATTACTACTAATTACTACGTATTGCTCACCCACAAGGTGTTGTGCTCCTCATACCAGTCCTGTTCTGTTAATCTGGTGCTTGTGTACATTTGTCTTGGTTCCCGTATACACACGAATTTTTACTTCTCATTCATGTATAGCCTTCAACCTCCCCCCCCCCCTCCCCGCTCCTGTGCTTGCACTCAGGTGGGCAGTAGGGGAGGGGGGTGGCTCCCAAGACGTATAAGTAGGGCACCAAGTCAACCCCATGACTTTACATGGTAGGACTTGTCCCACCATTCTTCAAAGGCAATTGGTCAAAGTGCAGAGCTATGGCCATGCATATTTTCAACGATAATGGCTTCATGTCGCATTCGAAGGACTGTTTCGCATTCCACCTTCAGGTTCACTAAACCAGAAACCAAAGACAAGTCGTTGTGAGAAGCACATCACCTCCTCACTTTAATGTCTACATCCATTGCGAAACTTGTTTAATCATTTATTTTTTTTCACTATCGATCAAAGGATGGAGTGGAATTGGGGCTATGCGCTTAAATATGGCCCTCGTTAAAAACATTGCTTGCACTTCTATGTGCGTACACGTATTGTAATGTTGACTAATTGGAGAACATTCATTGATGCTTCCACATATTATGCATATCGCTGCCTTCTTCTGCGTGAGTGAACTGTGATCTCTTTGAGCAAATTACCGCATGGAGTGTTCCATCAGGTACCAAAGCTTGAGAAAACAGCAAACAAACTCTAGTGTTATAGCAAAGGCTCATAAACCTATCCGGTGTTCCGTCACCTATTTTTTTTCTACTATACTGACACAATTTTTATACAATAAATACTTCTCAGGGTCCAAAGGTACATTGAAATGTAAACGAACGGTAAAATTTCTACAGTTATGCTAGGATGCCTTTTATGAGTTCAAATATGCATCGTCTATATAGGAGACCACTAAGATTTATTTTTGGGTATGCCTCGAGCCCATATGGGCGTCTTTCGCGTATCTTAATTCTGATTTGCTTTTATCCCGTGGCATCAGCTTTACTGGTTGTAAAAGTAGGATTGTTAGCATGAAAATTTTTTCTAACATTTTCCTAATTTAGGCCTAGAAACTACGCACACAGAAGAGCGATACTATTTACATATTCTGCTACTAACACACTAACGTAATATTTCACAATTCTTACTGTACAGTGAATATTACGCAGGACGTCATAAGTGGAGTATCTTCTGGCTCTCTTCTTTCATGACGTGCTTCTGTACCTTTCCGGACACGGTCTTGGGAAACTCGCTCACAAACAGCACATATCTCGGAATCTTGTAGTGACTCATCTGCGAAAGAAGGTATAGGTTTTTCAATGCGACGCTTGGAGTTTGCTCGATTGCGTGTTCTAGACAAAGCGCCGTCCAAGTGCGGCTTGTCAGGGAGGTATTTTAGTCGAAGAACACAAACTTCAAATTCGAGTTCGAACGTCAATTTTGCGGCACGGGTGCTGAATAATAAGCTGACGATGCTTGGCTGCCAACTCATAGGTCGTGGGTTCGATACTGGTAGCGTTGGTTGCATTCTGATGGTGGCAGAACGCTATATGGAGGCCTATTGCACGTTGAAGAATATCAGATGATATCAGTTTCTGGAGGCCTCCGCTATAGTGTCCGTCATAATGATACCGTTGTTTTGAGAATGTAAACCTGAGATAATAATAATAATAATAATAATCATTATTATTATTATTATTATTATTGTTATTATTATTATTATTATTATTATTATTATTATTATTATTATTATTATTATTATTATTATTATTATTATTATTATTATTATTATTATTATTATTATTATTATTATTATTATTTTAACATTGAGTCTAATAAATGATATCAAAAAGCCTTCAGCTTGTAAGCAGTTTTCGAAATTTTAGGGAATTCAGAAAGATTTACGAACCTTTCTCTTGCAAAATTTTTTGATGTCTTCTTGACTCAGACTAAATCCGGGCTTCAGTTTTATCCAAGCACATACTTCTTCTCTCTGTCCTTCGTCTGGGACACCAACCACCTGGGCGCAGTTGGAACAAGGTGGTAAGTTTCCGGAGTGACAACCATTGCGTGTCTATAAACTAGCACCAATCACACACACAAAAAAAAACTATCAGGATTACCACGATCTTTTCTTCTATTAAAATAATAACTATAAAAGGCTGACATTTTTTGTAGGCCACCGGCTACCTTTTTTAGCATAGCTTAGCAAACATAACATAAAATAAGGAAGAGGACGGAGCACTGCTTGCGTCACACATGCTTCCGAGCGCATTCGCTTGAAGATGCGGCAGACGTGTTTCCAACTTCAATGCCATAAGTCTACACATTTGCACAGCGCAAGACTACGAGTAGCTACGACTTAAGTAGAGAAGAAGAGACAAGGACAGAAGGAGCGCTGACTTCAACTGAAATTTTTTTAGCTAGAACGCAGAAAAAAGATATACTCGTGACATAGTTGCCACGAGTATATATTTTCAGCCTTTTCGCTAATAAAATTTCAGTTGAAGTCAGCGCCCTTTCGGTCCTTGTCTCTTCTTCTGTAGTTACGTCGTAACTACTCGTAGTCTTGCACTGTGCAAATAAGTTGATTACGAATCGCCAACTTGCCCAAGCATCTGTCTTATCATTTATTCCTTTGTGCCCCTTCTTTGTGGTTGGAAGCAACGCCGATTCCGCATCACAGCGCATCGCAGGCGTTAGCGTGCCCGTGACGCTTCCCCGTCGGTTGCCCGCATAGCTCCACGAGCGGTGACACGCTATCGCAGAACACCATTCAGGTGTGCCTCATTCATTGAGTTCTCATTTAGGAGAACTTCGGGGAAACCAGAGCAACCGTTCACTTAACTTGAAGTTCACTGAAGCGGATATTCACCGGAGTATGGAGCAGCACCACAGATTTCAAGTAAAAAGTGTGAAACGCAAGTTGTTAAGTAAAGAATCTAGTAATTTTCGTTTATACAAGCGCAATAATAGAACAGGCTGTCCACCCAGTACGTTTCTGTGCACCACCTCTGCCATAGCTTGCTGCTGTAACTCAAAGTCTCGCTACTTTCTCATACATCCTACAGCCTCGTTTACAAAGATACAGAATTCGAACCTCCCTCAGCCATTATAGCTTTATCGTCGCACTGCTCTTCTTTCGCTTGAGTATGAACGCTGGAAGCCATTCCCGAATATGATCGCTGTGCGTAGGATACCGAAGCAAGCGTGACCCGCTTTCGCCTGCCGCGTACTTTGCCTGCATGTACAAGCGATGCTGCGCAGCCGCCGATGGGTGAAAGATTTGGGGGAGGTTCGCATAGGCCCCATGGACCAGTGCTCCCAAGCGCGAAACGTCGTTAAGTTATTGACACGTCATGGTCTTCTGTACGGGCTGAACGGGCTGCTCCTTGATCGGCCCGTTCTTTACCGATAATTCCACAGTGACCTGACAGCAAGTCTGGGATTGGGCTAGATTGTATTCCATTATTTAAACTGCTCAGCGTAAAAAAAAAAAACGCTTTAGACATCAAACACTAGAGACAATTGTGTTTATTGTATAATTTTTTTTTCTGAGCACTCCTCGCCGTAGACTAGGCGGGGCCATTTGCCCACCCCACCAACTCGTCGGACTTTGAATGAAGTATTTTCCTGCTCCTCTGAGCAGTTCTAAAGACTTTACAGCCTATGAAATATAATGTGGTGCCCTTTCTTTGTTATGTGGTGTAGCATTTCTGCCGTCTGAAAAAAGCAACTCATCGTGCGGATTATGGCTTAGACTTGACAGAAGTAACTGACGTGCCACCTTACAGTCATAGAAGATGGCCCACTGTTGCGTGCTTTGGTTGTTAATGAAACGCAGCGCAGCATGAACCGCTGCAAGCTCTGCTGCTGTTGATATTGTTGTATGAGCTGTCCTGAATCATGGTTGTGGTGAGTGTTATAATTTAATTCCTTTCTATTTATGCGGCAAATACTGCAGTACAATTAAACAACAACATACAACACCCCCTTTGATTTCCTTGGCTTAGCTGTCTGTTGAAATCACTTGCTTGTGTCTAACACAAAAAAAAAATGGGTCCTTCGAACAGTTGCCCTGATTTTTATTAGCAAAAATATAGCACATGACAGTGACATGAACTCCGCAGCGCGCCCCATTTAATATAATGATAATTAAACGATATCCACGCGCAGACAGGATTACAGTGTCACTTTTCAGAGTTTTTATCTGGTGTGGCGTCTTTGTGACTTCGCAGCCACATAAGCGGTGTAATTAGCTAGCATTCGGTGGTCACTCGCCTGCACTTCCTGGACGGCGGGATGGGTGTAGAGGAAGTGCTCGACCTCCTGCGGATAGACGTGCTCGTCGCCGCGCACGATAACGTCCCTCATGCGACCCAGGATGGACACCCGGCCGTCTTCAGTCATCATGGCGCCGTCCCTGCACAGTGCGAGGGGAGTCCCCTTTGTACCCATCATTCTTTGAAAAGCGCACTCGCGCGCTTTCACGGCCACCGAAATTATGTATAGAAACAATCTGCTATAGGCTACCTTTAGGTATATATGGGAGAAAGCCTTTAATCCTTCATCAAGCTCGGAAATTGACCATCGGCGTCTCGTGACGTGGGCGTCAACGCGGGTGATGCGAAAAATCGTCACCACGGGATGATGTCACAACTCACAAAATTTTGAAACGTCATCGTGACGTGAGCGGCTAGGCCCCATGTGACGTAAATCTTCATTGGCTCGGCTTGTAGGAATCTACGGTTATCACAGTATGTGTTGTTGTTACGGACAATCATAACGTTAACTTCCCGTGATTACGTCATGCCATGACAACATAGTGACGACACAAGGTCGACAAAATTTGTGACGCAATCACGACGTGATGGCGTCACGTGGTGAAACACTTTAGGATCTCGGCTTGTCAGTGTTTAATGACGGCACGGTGTAGTCACGTAGTCACGTTCCATCACAAAAATGAGTGTTTGCTACAAAAATTGGGTAATTCAAAATACTCGCCCCGGGTTCAATGAAAACGAAGAAAGCAGGCGTAACACCAAGAAATAGTCGACGATGTTTGTGAAGCCGAAACAGCCTTCCCTACATGCCGTAAGAAACGTAAACCGGGCATGGATACTATAGGATAGAAGAAGAAGAAGACTGCATGCTTTGGCCCTTCACTGCGCAGTACAATTACTACCTAGATAAAGCTGCACTAACAGCATCTCCGTTGTGTCTCTTTTGCAAGCAATCAGAATCAATAGATCATTTCTTTTTATCCTGTCAACGATATTCTTATCAAAGGAAAAGATACCTGGTCAAATTAATTGAGAAACTAGGTTTAAAAATAAACGTGGAAGTAATTTTATCCTTCGGAGGGACTACATTAGGTTATAGCCACAGGGAGGTTTTCTCTGCTGTGTGCGAGTACATAATGGCAACAAAAAGATTACCTTGTTAATCTATTGTTATTATTTACGGCTACGAGACTACCTGAATGCCTGGCTTAGCACACTTTATGATCCTGCCGCCCGGTTCTTGGCCGATCCCCCTTTGTGGGCGAGTGCCAGAAAAGCTGAAGGTTCATCATGATCATCATTATTCTGCGTACGATGCCGCCGCCTCCACTGATATCTGTAACTCATAGAGAGCTTCACTTTGTTGGTTGGTTGACCGCCATGAATGATGGATCACCGTTAATGTACACTGATTAAAATTGACTATATGGAAATCGAAGTGATTTGGAGGAATGTTTAGTGCACTTGACAAGCATTCACACAACTCGTTTGACTGCACAACGGCATCAATCAAGTAGGTACAAAGAACGCGCTTGATTTAGCGGTCCTCTCTAGGTACACAGAGCATGCTTTAAGCAGACCTGACCCAGTGTGATACCAGCCATTGCGTATGGCTTCTTTTGTCTTCTTGTCCTCCTTGAAGTAGCCCATGAACACCGTGTACCCTCGGACACAGAGCTCGCCTCTCTCATTGGTAGGAACAATCCTGTTTTTATCGTCGACGATCTTTACCTTGAAAAGAAATCGAAAAAAATTCAGATATAGCATTTCGAGTTCCGTAGCTTTCCTTCATTCTTTGTACATAATGTCAGTTATGGCAATGCTGCGACATTAGGTGGCACAGAAAATTCCTATGTAACAGCAGTCGTGCTCTCAAAGTTTGCTTGTTCTTCCAAAGCTTTCGCTTCTAAGAAAGTTCCCCTGTCTCGGAAGTAGTCATTATTTAGGCGCAAGCACTATGAAGACAAAAAATATGGCACAGCTTGCTTCAAGCCATGGCACGCAATGCTTGAAAAAGCTAAACTGGACGTACTGAAGCCTGATCTGGTTGCATCAAATATGTTTCCAGGCGTTAGCAGGGTGATGCCAGGTGTTTTGCCTGCGTTGATGCTCATCGCAGAGGGGCTCGAGTCAAGCCTCACGCAGTTTCAGGCACGACACGCATGTCGAAACTCCAGACCAAGGTCGCGCTCAAACCAAGCGTTCACACCTCTCATACATCGACGCGCATGTCATCTTTGGCGCGCACCTTCCGTCGCTTTTCTCGCCGCTTCCAGGGCCTTTCTAGTTCTCTTGCATTCTCTCGTTGTACGTACTCGTGGTGTTCGACTTAACGCCGTCGCTTCGCAGCCGTTTGTCGGGCTAACTGTTGGCTTGTTCATTTTCAGTGACAGGAATGGCTGACACTGCTGAATTCAACCATTGCGGCAGTGACGAAACAACTTGGCACATTCTGTGCGAATGCCCACAATACAGCTCGCAGAGATGGTCACTCTGCAATGCACTAGACGACCTGGACAACCATACTCTTTCGGAAGAAAGAATCCTGCGCTACCGACAGGACTTTATGTCGCAGAAGAGGGCTGTGAAGGCGCTCCTGCGCTTTTTTGCGTTCAACCGGCCTGTGCAAACGACTGTGATCGGAATTCCCTGAATGTGTGCGCATGTGAACTTTTTTTCTAATATATTTTATATCTCTCTAACTCTACCTCTTTCCGATCTTTTTTCTCCACCCCTGTACAGGGCAGCAAACCAGTTCTTTCAGGCTAACCTCCCTGTCTCTTCCTTTTATTTATTTCTCTCTCTTCAGTGGACAGGTAGGGAGTAGTCGGACTTACGTAATTCCGGCGGCACGTACCCGTTTATGATAACGATAGCTTTCTGACAGGCCACACACAGAAACTACGTCAAATTTAAGCAGCTTCGCTGTTGAAAAAAAAAACACGTTGAAAGTGACTGATGAGTACATTTTTACTTGTATTTCTCACGTACAACACAGTCGCAAAGTCAGAGCCACAGTCTGGTCGACTGAAAAAGCCTGGCAGCGGTACCTGGCTGTCGGGTTAACTTAGCCTAACTAAGCCTAGCACATATTAAGCGTACTTGCAAGCACATACTCGATAGGTCGGTGGTTCACCGTCAGTAATAATCAACCAAACTAGTCGTCTTATGCCTATCCTCAGCAAAGAAATGTGTTGACTCTCAATTGGCTAACTCCTGTTTGGATCACATAGATGTGGCCTATATAGTCGACGCAGGCGTATTATCAACTGACTATCCCTGCACACGTGTATGCCGTTAGTAAGTTATCATAATGCTTCTTAATAATGAATATTTAGTTGGTGAGCAACGGTTAGTGAAGCAGCGCACAAAGTACACGTTCACGCACGCCTAAAGAAAGGCCCACAACAGCACCCCGGACTGAAGAGCTTGTGTGGGTTTCGCTTTATGTACACGTTTAGCAACTATGTTGTAACTCGTTTCATCGCTGTCGTAAAGGTATTAAAATAGTATTCAAAGCAAGTGAACATTATTGAGTTGCGTTTATCATGGCATTGAAATGGACAAGTTGATTGAACTTGACAGTGGCGAGCAGCACAAAGGGCAACGAAAGAAACAGCGAGTCGTGTTTGACAATGCACCCTTTCTCTGGTCGCCATCATCACTGCTCCCAATCATCAAAAATTTTTCGTTTTTTTTTCTCCGGAAAACAAAATTTAGCGAGTACTAACTCGCTTGGTTTACAACAAAAACATGTGAAGTCATTAAAACTGTAGATTGTAAAGCATTACCGCATAACGAACAGTGAATACATAATTACCTCAACGTGGTCCAACGGTCTTCCCACCGACGTTATCCACTGATCTACAGGTTCATTAGGGTCATTCGCTGCAATCATAGGGCTTGTTTCTGTTGTTCCATACAAAACCTGCACGCGCAGCCATGCAAAGCAAAGGGTTAAAAAACTTTATTCACTGAGGAATATGTTACTGGGATTAATCAAACGGGCTTGACAGCAGAATGTGAATTGCGTCTTCGATTAGAACTTTTCGGATTCAAGATGGTCTCTTTTCACTCACAGAACGGTCTTAGGCTGTTGTCTATGTTGTTGTTTTATCATTGTGACAACCAGTTGGCTTAGCTAATCATTTGGTAAACAGTTGGCCTAAATTATCATTGTGGCAACCAGTTGGCTTAGCTTATCATTGTGACGTACAGTCTCTGTAGCAAATTTTAGAAGACGCTAGTTCGGCCTGTTGTGGTTGTTGTGCTCCCAATATTTAAGAATTTAGATAGATAGATAGATAGATAGATAGATAGATAGATAGATAGATAGATAGATAGATAGATAGATAGATAGATAGATAGATAGATAGATAGATAGATAGATAGATAGATAGATAGATAGATAGATAGATAGATAGATAGATAGATAGATAGATAGATAGATAGATAGATAGATAGATAGATAGATAGATAGATAGATAGATAGATAGATAGATAGATAGATAGATAGATAGATAGATAGATAGATAGATAGATAGATAGATAGATAGATAGATAGATAGATAGATAGATAGATAGATAGATAGATAGATAGTGTTTTATTGGTTTCCCCGGAAACGTTATCCTGGCATTTCAATTCATTCCGATTTTGAAACTATGCGGTCCTGACCGCAAACAGCCATTCTATACCTCGATTGCCCTTCCCTTTGACCCTGACGCGTACTCTTTCGTTTTCCCTGATATCGTCGGTGTAATTTTCGGGAGTAGCGTCATTACGAATTTCTTTTTGTACCGCTAAAATAATAAAGGTTACTTACGTGGATGCGTTTCGCGTTGAGCTTTTTCATGATGTCTTTTGTCAAGTGGTTTGGACACGGTGCGCCAGACACGACAGCTGCATTCGTGTACGGGGTTGTTAGGTTTCAGTTATCAAATTGTTTCCGAGTTCGCCAAGCTTCTTTGGTTCAGAAACTCCACTGGACTAAAAAATATTTTTTTTATTGATGCCGCACGCTTGCCTTAAGTATAGTTGAATATTACCTCAATACTTACTGTATGGACAACTTTGAAATTCACTTGCTTACATATAGTCAAAGTTTCACTCGGCACAATAAAGTTATCATACAATTATTTCAAATATTTTCTGAATGTTAATGCACTACCATGAATAACAATTTGCTGGGACGTTCGCGCTGTAGCTGCGACTAAACTTTCAAAAAAAACCCGATTCACGCACTGGCTGGGAAACGTAACATGGCTGGTACCGCAGGGATTTCAACAAAATATACTGTCACGAGGGAGACAAATTAAGCAGTATAAAAATAGAAAAAGAACTTCTTTCAGATTTAACAAGCGGAAATGTTTAAAGATGTAATTTTTTCGTAGCCTTATAGAGCCATACGCTTAAAATATCCGGAAGACTACACGAGGAAATGAAATATTGTTTTCTGAAACAAATCGACTTTTTTCCTCCATTAATTTTTTTCTGCATCCTTACTAAGACCTAGAAGTATTCATATAAACTTTTTTCTTTTTCAAATAAATGAACAAAGAGACGCCATAAAAAAAAAAAACTCGAAAGGTTTCGCCTATGCGTCATTTCTGCCTCTATAGGACATCGCAACTGAAGGCGACCAAGGAATTCCTGATGTTTCTAATAAAAAGTAATTTGAACAAGCGGCTGCTACAGCGATGTCTTGTACCGCACGAGCGTGATGAACATGTTGTTCAATGCATGTTTGTGTGTGAGCAGTGTTATGCGTTATCTTTCACTGTTTTTCCGCTATTTTGTCTACTTCTTTCAATCTCTTCCTTCCCGTTCCCACGTGTAAGTTACCAAAGCGGCTTTCCTGAATTGGTTAACCTTCTTGCCTTGCTTTCTCTACCAATTCTTCCTTTAACTGCCCTTACATGAAAGCTCTCATCATTTCTACTAACACGTTATCATTACAGACATTCATTGAACAGGAAATACACAAAGGAAAACATTCCTCGCACCTGTTCGAATGGAGGAAACGTCGTAACAGCCGTGCTCCACGTGATGAAGCATGTCAATGTACATGGTCGGAGTACCGTAGACGAAAGTGCACCTGTAAGCGTCGGGCAAGCATGTTATAAAAAATAATGAACAATATATCCCGCACTGACACTCCGCAAAGTATCGTACGTACTTTTCCGCTGCAATGCACTTCAACGCAGCAGCTGCGTTGAAGCTCGGCGCCGGCATCACAGCCGTGGACCCGAAAATGGCCGCCGAAATCGTACCGGCTATGCAGCCGAAGCAATGGATTAACGGAACGTTCAGGCAAATCACTTCTTCCTGCGAAAATTCAAACGTTCCCTCTAAGCAGATCGGCGTTGTGGCGGAAACTATAGGCAGGTGCGTACTGAGGAAGGCAGACAAGACAAATCCTCGTTGCTGTAAAGATTTGAAGTTTGCATATCTAATGTTGATCCCAGTTGTTGTATCACCATTTATTGCATGTCATGGTATAAACTACCAACTTTACCGAATGAATTTGCCAGAAATGGTGCGGACTAAGCTTTAATGGCTTTGAATGAGTTACGAAATATGCATGTGCAACTGTGAATGTTCTTTTCGTGCAATATATTTTATGTGATTGGTACTTTCACTTGAAATCGAGTGAATTTAAAGTATTTTTTTCTATATGTAAACGTTAAATATGTATATTCTTAGAATTGTAATCTAGTGAGGCTTCTTGTAGTTTTTATGTTTATGTACAGTTTCTTTTTTTTACTTTATGTATGCCTTTATGTACTTCTTTTAGGCTTTCTCCTTTATGTATTGCTTTCTAACCTATTTTGTGATACATAGGTCGACGAACTCACTCATGAGTCAAATCAAGCATTGATTCTGAGTGAGCACGGGTGAGTAATACTTCGGTCGGTCTGAGTCCGAGGGAGCCAAGTGGAAGGAAACTTTCGCGAGTATGAGTCTTAGTCAGTTCAGCCCAGGATAACTTTGGCGAGTTTGACTCCGGATGAGTCCAAAGTGCAAGGTATATTTTTTTAGTGAGTCTGAATGAGTTGCACTTTCTTTTTTCCGACCTAAGGTCCTATCTATACCCATTTTGAACATTACTATTAGCCTTACCTAAATTAAGATTTATAGTGATGACCGTTCACAGGCTACCGTTTTGTTCATGCACCATTTTAATATTTATTAATCAGAGGCGTGAATTGCGGATTTTAGGTGCCTTGACGCCCCCCCCCCCCCCCCCGCCTCTCCATTTCTTCCAGAGAAGTTCTTGATAAATATATCTTATGTAGACGTCTCTTCCAAGAAAAATGACATAGGTGGTTTGTGAGCGCTTATATTTCGTATTCAAAGGTACTATATCAAACGCTGGCACGAAAAGCATCAATTAAGTGCGGTATTGGTATTGAAGAGCGTTGACATTGTGGTCGACAAAGTCAATTCTGGGCTAACAGGCTCATAAGTAGACTTACTCGGGCTCACCCGGACTTAGATCAAGTTATGAAAGTGAGTTTGTGTGAGCCCGGGTGAGTAATATTTGTTTAGTTGGTGCTTGAGTGAGTTCAGTTGAAGAAAATCCTGGTGAGTGCGAGTCCGATTGAGTCTGGCTCCCGAAAATTTAGGTGAGTCTGGGTCAAAGTGAGTTCGAAGCGCCAAATGTATTTCATAAGTGAGTCGCAGTTATCTACACCGGTTTTGCTGACCTATGGTCGTATGCAATTCACACCACTGTTCGACATGGTTTGGTGCACAGATCTAGACAAGCTTTTTCGGGCTTTTTGTTCGTGCACCAAACATCTGATAGATGTTGAATAAATTGAGTTGAATTGAATTGAATGGAATAGTGCAAACGCAGTCGCTAACAGGGGATGTTCATTTTTATGTCAGGTAGGGGAATAATGGCATCTCCGCTCATGCACTTGAAAGTGGCGCTACACATGCGAAATTGCTTCGGGCAAGCACTTTTGATTACAACATTTGTAGTGGAGAATGAGCAGTGTTAAACGAACCCCTGGTTGTCAAAATACATTACTCAAAATATAACTAATTCGAAAAGGCCGTTAACGCAAGTGTAGCCTTCCTTTTTAGTAATAGGACTTTTCGTGTCGTAGAATTTTTTACAAAATGCTTATATTAAAGATTAGTGTTGGCATATGAAAGGTTATCACATAAAAGTGGTATGATCACCTCCGTTATTTACGCTTTTTTGAGATTGAGATGCAGCGTTGACCCTTCGGTGCGATGCGTGTGAAGTGAGTCGGCGGGATTTTTCACCCACGATTAGACTGCTTTCCGGCTCTACCTGTCAGTGCTTAATAAAGTTATTTATCTATATCTATCTATCTAGATTGTCTTCGAGAAAAGTTTCTGTTTGCGTGCGCATACACCGCTCATGCTCGAACTCTAGGGATGAAGTTCGTTGGGGTGCGGGTTGTTTCCTCATCTGTGGTATGTATGTAGCCAGCTCTAGTTTATGAATTGCCTGATAGATGGCGTTGTGTGTATATGTTCTTGGAAATAATAGCGCTAGATGGCGTTAGTGGTTTTCCTGTATAGTTGACGATTTCACATAGTTGACGGACAGACAAACATACAGACACACAGAGAGACGCTTCACCCCACTCATCATCATTCACTCTGTCAATTTAGTATACCTGCTTGTGTAACTCGAGCCTCCGGCCTACAAGGTAGGCATTGTTTACCACGTTGAAGTGGGACAGCTGTGCCGCCTTCGGCTTTCCAGTAGTACCCTGCCAAAGATAACGGTGTTAGGGCATTTCAAAACGAGCGCCCCTGTGCATAACAATACCGTAACTTCAATGTAAGTTGTTTAAACACGTACAGACCAATGATATGCCTCTTAAAACGTGCGTTGTGCACTGAAACGAAGAAAAAGGAGTGATCGAATGGTTTACATTCGCTTCTTAGCTTTCGTACCCTCTCAGTGGGCAGAGTAGCAGTACGGGAAAACGTTTTTTGCTTCATAATCAGAGGTTTTCTTACACCAAATGCTCGTTATTAACAATGAATAACAGTTTTATAATTGTGCTTGTATTATCACGCAAATTACAGATTGCCCCTGAGAAAGACTGCCTGACTGACAATGGCACGACCAGCCAGTTAAAATTCGTCTGAATTGCACCTTAGAGGACGAATGGCAGCGTATACTACGTTGATAGTTGGAATATAACGAATATATTCGTCCCCTTTATACATTCTTTAAAATTGAGTGGTATAGCGACTTTCTTACTGATGTGAACTGTAGGTTGACAGCGTCGTCCATCTGCAACTTGGAGGAAGTGCAACGCAGGGCACGGAGATGTTCGTTCGTAACAGACTCCATCAGATCGACGAACCTAACCGTGCCCCTGGGAAGAGCAGGAGTTTCGTTGAATATTTTTTTAATTACTACCATCCATCGGGCCTAAAAAGCAGCAAAGTTGCGAGCGAAAAAAAGTTTTCAGAAAATTCGAGCTGCTGAATTTTGATAAAGAAGGATTACACCACAAGTCTGCCGAGAGACTCACGAAATGCTACGTATCCTTAGTGTTGTTAAAAATCATAATATAAAGAAGTCAGAGAAAGTTTCGTGGACGTTAACTATACTGCTTCAAGCGTATTGTAGTAATTGTGGTTCGGATGTGAAGAAAGTCACACAATTACTGCAATACACTTAAAACAGTACAATTAACGTCTCCAATACTTTAATTGGCTTCATACTGTGCTGTTGTGAACATTGTATCAAACAAAAAATAAGCCCCGAAATTCTCTTCCTTCATTTATATCTGCAGCGTGTGATTTATTTGAATTGTTTCACGATTTATTTACAGTTCACGCTTGGTACCACATGGATCTAAGTTTTCCGGTAGGTGTTAAAAGTTAAGTAAATCACGCGACAACCATTCTGTTTGTGGGACTCCGTTATTCGAAAGTCTCTATTGATGGCTAAACAAGTAAGCGAGCCTTACGGTTTTGTCGTTTCTCCGATGCTTATGACGTGCTTCAAGCTGGGTAGCCTGCAAGTGAGACATGCTCCAATGAGCTCACTTGCGCCATCCCTGTGACGTCAGCTGTTAGCGTACCTTGCGCTCTTGAGATGACCGAAACGGCTCGATGCTAGCTCGGGTGCCAGCTTAAGAAGTAGGGTGTAGTAGTCCTGCTTCGAAAACTGCTCCGACACTATCACGACTTTGCAGTCAGTCTGCAGTGAATTCAAAAGAAAAAAAAATATCAGCTTCCTCGCTAGGGTGGAGGAACAGGTGTGATATGAACGAATCGTAATGGTATACAAGTTAAAGCTGGCAGCTAAACTCTCTTGGATCCGACATCGCATAACTCTACAAAATCCTACTGTAAGAGTATACGGCCACCCATGGCAAAATTCTCTTTTCACACTTTCTCGTCGCGTTGAGGGCGCAGCACGTAGAAAGGCATATGTGGTATACGGGCCATGCACCTTCGGAGATGGCGCAAGCGCCAGTGATCACGACCACGTTCCTAGAATCATAGCTCACAGTGACTGCACAAGCGACACCCTCCCCGCCCCCCCACCCCCTGGAATATTTTCGTGCTCATTCAGGACGGGCGGGTTCTCTACTTGAACTTACGACGGCAGGTCTAATAACACAAGTGGCATGTTATTGCAAGCGCCCTCCGAGCGATGGAGACGGGCTCGCTTGTTAGGTCTCTGCTTGAACAGCGCTCGTCGCCCCCGCTCACGCACTTTAACCCGTGGTTAGAACATACGATGGGAGGGGGAATTTTATCAGTGTGGACTTTACATGGAACACGATGACGACGGCGATGATATAAACCCATCGATAGGGTCCATGGAATTGCTATCACAGTGATAAACTGTATTCTTCGGGAATATATCATGTTTATGCTTACGTGATTCAGGCAGTGTTCCAGTTCATGAATTTGGTAGGTTGTGTTAACGTTGACCTGCAAAAATTAAAAAAGCGTTACAAAACTCTTTGTGAGAGACTAAACATTCTATGATTCTGTGTCACTGCGAAGGCTTACCAAGACCAATCCTGCCTTGGCAGCTGCAAACAGCACGACGGCCCATTCGTACATGTTAGGCGCAATGATTGCTATTCTGGAGCCAATGCCCAATTTCAGCGATATCAAGGCGGCTGCGAAGAGGTCAATCTGCAAATAAAATAAACAACAAACAAAGTAAAAACTTCGCCAACGCTTTCGTCATTGCTTGCACGTGAAGCTTGCGAGGAAGGCAATAAATACTCAAAGTAAGATAGCCATTGACTGCCGCTTGTCCCCCCTCCCCCCCCCCTTTTTTTTGAAAACCACCGAAGCAAGAGTACCAATTCACATGAGCAAAATATTCGCCCAAGCAAAAGTTATAGTATAAAGGACGGACAGGTGGAGACATGATTCACCGGCGCTGGAGCATTGCTTTGTAACAGCCAACCATTAGAAGTGTTCGCCATGGTGGATCAGTGGCTACGGTGCTCTGAGGCTGCTAACCGGAAGGTCGCGGCTTCGATCCAGGCTGCGGCGACAGCACTTTGGAGGAGGCGAAGTCGTTCAGGCCGATGTGCTTCGCGATGTCAGCGCACATTGAAGAGCACCAGATGACATACATTTCCGGAGCCCTCTACCGTGGCGCCTCTCATCATATCGTGGTTTTGGGATGTAAAACTGCCAATTATTAGTATTATTAACAATTAGAATTGTAGCACAGAAATATTTTTGTAACCTCGCTGAAGTGCCATCGTGTTTCTCTACTTCTGTATGATTACCGAAGGTCGCGGTATCGAATCCTGGCCGTGGCAGCCTGCATTTTGGATGGAGGTGAACCTGCTTGAGTCCGGTGTACTTAGATTCAGATGCCCGTCTAAAAACCCTAAGTGGTCAAAATTTCCGGAGCCTCCTACTATAGCATCTCTTATAGTCACATCGTGGTTTCGGGATGTCAAGCCCAAACAATTATTATCATTTGCTGCTTTAGTACGTTTAGGATATCTGTTTCATGCGGCATTTATCTGTTTTTCTGACTTCGTTTGTATAGTTACAAATCACACACTTTTGTTTTCTTTATCTCTCTATAGGTCTGACTTCGCTGTCAAGGAAAACACCTTGCCTTTCGTCAATGAATACGTACATTCTACACATGTCGTCTGTCTATACAATATTACCGTTTTTACAATGTGAATGCCAACAGCCATAGATCTCAGCGGGCCTCGAGCAAGTCACCAATTGTTTTTAAATCATAAATGCATGCGTACTCTCAATTGTTCCGAATAGATGGAACTGAGATATCTATATCACTTTCTTCTCCTGACCAATTCAGCTTTATATTAAGTAAAAATGTAGCCGGTAAAAAGCACTCTGCCCCATGGGTTTATTTTCACCACAAGTGTAACAAAGAGCAACCTTTTCTTCAAATAAGCGATGATCTTCCTACCTCCTTCTGAGTAAAGGAGGTAAAGAGTGAAAAGTATCACGAGGTCATTGCTCTGCAGGAAAGGCTGCATGTGTGACCAATAAATGTAAGAAAATAACAATAATAAAGTCAGATTTTGCAACAGTTAAGTTTGTTGCACAGTTTAATAAAAATCTCCGCCAGTCCTGGTTATCACTCACAGTCTAAAAAAATTGAGTGATGACAGCCATAGGTTTCATGCATTAAAATTTATCATCCTGTTTCTATTTTGAGTTGTCTTAAAACTGAAAAGAAAAAAATATCACAATGAAACGGCCTAATTTCGTGCGCTAATATTTTTCATGACAATGAGCACAACGATAATGTACCGAAATATCAAGGAGAACAAAAAAAAGTGTCTGTGTGTTGGGTAGGAGGGGGGTGGGGTGAATTGTGATTTTGTTAGGTGCAGAAAAATTTAGTAGATAATGTTGGCAGCATAAATCTCAGTTTAAGCATGTATTTTTTCACTCAATGGCGTTCAATTATTCATTAGGTTGTTTATAGTTAAATATTGAATTAGAGAATTACTGTCGTAATTATAAAAGGCTGGATTATGTATGTGAATTTATAGTTAAGGGAGATCTAACAGAGGTTTTTTTTTTTTCATAAGCTTGAAGCTTGTGCGCTAATTTTTACTGAACTATAAAGAAGCCGTATAAATAACAAAAACGTGATTGTACAGTAACAAGCACTAGAAAGTAAGGCCACGAAAATATGCTCACAGTGAAATATAGCCAAGATTAAGGAAAGAAGAAAGTGACGAATAAATATGGTGGTCAACGGAAAATTCCTGTAGTTCAAGGTCTTTTTTCTATCAGCCAGTAAGAATTTGCTTGCAAATATTGCGCCGCTGAACATACAGCAGTGCTCCATCGAAATGCATAAAATACCTCATTGACTATTGTTTTTACGGGACTGAATATTTGAGTGTTTATCTAATTGAACGTAATCTATCATCCAAATTACTTAAATACAAACCACTGTACTAGGAACAGTATGTTCGAGGTTCTCATGGTGTAACGTTAACCCGAATTTCTAAAAATCTCGGAAGCACTTGGGACGACATTCATAAATAAATATGTTCGTAAATTCAACAGCCATCTGTGATAGTAATCATCGGTTAATGCAACGGAGAGCAAAACTACGCGTTGCACTCACATCCTTTTTATACTCGGCGTAGGTCTTCCTGATGGACTGGTGAGTGGACACGATCGCCAAACTGTCCCCCCGCACGTCTGCAGTCTTCTCAATGACGTCGCCAACGGTGCAAGAAAATAGGCGCTCTCTTCCCGGGCGGTGGTAGTAGCTTAGCTTCGTCAACGCCCTTCTGTAAACAAGAGAAGTGTGCAAAGACACTACTTGAAAAGTAGCCTTACCATGCTTCCTGAAAATGTTCACAACAAACGTGCTCCCACACGCCACGCTGTTCTATAGTGGTTATGGTACGCGTCTGCTGGCCCGAAGGCCACGGGATAGCGTCCCCGCAGAGGCGTCCGAATTTCGATAGAAGCTTAGATATATTTGCACGTTAAAGAACTCTAAAAATTATTATTCTTATTAGTATTAGTATTAGTAGTAGTAGTAGTAATAGTAGTAGTAGCAGTAGCAGCAGTAGTCGGAGTATTACTACTATTACTACTAATCACAATGCTACTGGTACTACTACTGCTACTAGTAGTAGTAGTAGTAGTAGTAGTAGTAGTAGTAGTAGTAGTAGTAGTAGTAGTAGTAGTAGTAGTAGTAGGCATGCTCCCGCTTCAAACGCATGCCACTATATGAAAGATACGACATAGAGCTCGTGAATTCTTCTATCACAGTCTAATAAAAAACAAAACGCACAAAAATGTCTCACAGTTCTTTGAGTATTCGCCTCGAGTTTCAATGCTACTATCGTGACGGGTGCTCATTAACGTATCTTCAGGACTGATCACCTCGTGTAATCAGGTTCCCCTGTAGAGCGGGCTGCTTCGCAACCAATTTGAATTTTTGTTTTGCAGTGCACAAGGTGGAAAGCGCATCTACACTTGTTATTACGTTTACCTGCAGGTATACAGAGGCAGCAATTCTCTGCCGCCCACACACAGCGGCCGGCAGATGCTCGATCATTCGCCGATCTTATGTAGGAACAGGGTGTGTCCAGATATTATTTGACAGGACTGGGCAGTATTGCGATATAACAGTATAGCGGAAGTATGTTATATACACTCTTGTATATCTTTCTTTTTTCATTACACTTGAAAATAGTATTTTATCCGAACAGTGAAATTATTTTACGACGTACCGTGACACGTTTCAGGAGACAGGTATCTCATTACTTATTTTTTCAGAAATTGACAGACATATATTCAAAGAGGAGAGGGAGATATTTCTGTGCCGAGCCAAGCAAAGGAGCGCCACTGCATGGTCCGCGACACCGGAGGAGCAGCGATCAGTTACCCCGACGCACAGAATTTGATGAAGCGACCAAAATTACTGATGTCAAAATCACGGAGGTAGCGTGGTGCTTGTTGGCCCCTGCCTACAAAAGCCGCTCTCTCGAGGCCAATGCACACCCACACAGATTTTTATTCGAGACCTAGATGACCTGGGATTAAATATGTCTATTCTGCAAGCAGGACGTTGTGGTTGTTGAATACAGAAGAAAATGACGGCCGCATCGAGGGATAGGTATACACAACAGGGGGATTATGGGCTCCCTAAATGGATGGAGACGGAACAGCCATGGCGTCGGTCTCATTTCTTTACAGTGGTCATGAAAGCGCTTCTCATTACTTATAACAAAACACCTTTCGTTCTTGAGTCTTATGTTGAGGATAAACCAGCGCCTTCTAAGAGACAGCCTACTTGAGAAGCTGTTGTAGCTCAAGTGCGGTTAATACCATTATAGTGACGTTGGTTAACACTATAACTGTCTCCGCAATACACATAATCTGCATAAAATGTACATTTTCTTCAAAATTCCTTGGTGGTCGTTAACGACTAGGGCGATACGCTTGGTTTGCAACAATAATACTACCCGAGGTTTTACCTTCTAATGCACCTATGAGATTACGAGGCCTGCTAGTTGAGGGCTCAGAAATTTTCGACAATCTGGTCTTCTATAACGTACACTGACATAGCACAGTACACGGAGCTCAAGCTTTTCGCCTTCATCGAAACTCGACTGGCGCGGCCGGGATCGTACGTGCGAGCTTCGGATCAACTTTCAATAAGTTGCCACATTAATCACAATGTTATGCTTCACTAAAAAATGTCTTTGGGTATCATCGATACCCCTTAAAAAATGTACAGGATCTGTATTTCTAAATACTTTTTCGTCAATTTGCTATATCATCCATGAATACTCCCTCAAATATGTATTTCAGGTTTCCAGCGCACTTATTTCGGTATCTGTACTGTCGTGTGACTGCCTTTTCATATGAGAACGCACAAACAACTGAATACCTCATCAGAGTATTTGATTACATGCTCTTGAAGAAGTATAGCGCTTCTTTGGAGCAACAAAAATCGAACGCCGTTTCTTTTTCTGCATTGGAGGCGCACAACGTGCGATTTACTAACAAACAAAATAGTTACTCGGAAGTGAAACTATTTTCAAACTAGATAACTTCTTCCCCAATCCGCACAAACATATTCTATTAGACCCGACTACTGACAAAGGTGGAACATGCCATCGAGGAATGATTGCCCTTCATACGCTTTAGTATGATTGATTGATTGATATGTGGGGTTTAACGTCCCAAAACCACCATATGATTATGAGAGGCGCCGTAGTGGAGGGCTCCGGAAATTTCGACCACCTGGGGTTTTTTAACGTGCACCCAAATCTGAGCACACGGGCCTATAACATTTCCGCCTCCATATACGCTTTAGTATGAGCACCATAGCTAGATACTATCCAAGTTCACCTGCTCATGCGACTGCAAGCGCGAATAAGCAGAATATGGTTTTTGATACGTGGTGACACTTTATGGGAAACGCTACCAAGCCACTGATATATCCTTCCGCGTGCCAACGCGGGTGAGTTTGTTGATACCTAACTGGTATTGCTCATAGTGTCGAGCAAAAATGAGATGTAAGTATCTGTAAACATTTAGATTGTCTTGCCTTTTTTAGCCTATAAGCGCAAAGTTACGCAGTAGTTTACTAATAAAAATGGGAAAGGCCAAATCATGCAGAGGATTCAGTTCCACTGACTTGAAACCTATGGAGGGGAAAAGCATGCAGTGTTTGAGAGAGATTTTTCTTACGAGGCACTAGTTGCCGAGTCTGAAAGTGGACATACATGGAAGGCTATCTCCCCTGTGATAATAATAATTTTTGAGGTCTACCCTCTCAGAAGTCTACATGATCATGATAGACGCCGTAGTGGAGCTAGGGCACCGGTAAATTTTGACCGCCTGGTGTTCTTTAACTGCGTCGGTATGCAGCTTGCGCTAAGCTTTTTCTTCCCCCCATTCCCGACTTCAGTTCTCTACGGCATACGTTTCAGCTCTACGAACTTCGATGGCCATCTGCGTGACCAACTCGTGCCTTCTTTCTCAGTAAACTGGTGGTGAGTGATTGGACGGTACACAATTTTTTGTGGTGCATGTCCGTTTGTGATGAACCTTCACTACGTGCCACATGTGACGGTGACAACATTAGACGCCGTCAAGCCGGGCTGGTAGAATGCTTCGCACCTAATAACTATATTATTACTTGATTTGGATACTCCTTTCTTACTGGAATGGCAAGCTCCTCTACATGCAAATACTGCAGCTGCGAAGAAACAATCGCCCATCTTCTGTGTGAGTGTACCCATTTCAACACCCCAAGACAAGAACTTACCGAAGCTCTAGATAGAATAGATGATCAGCCTTTGTCGGAACAATAGATTCTGGGTCATCGGCAGAGTCCATCTTCAGCCCAGAAGACTTTGAAAGCTTTATGTTTTTTTTTTGCTGACAACTGGCTTTAGAGACACACTTTAGTATCGTAATGTCTTTGATTTTCCTTTTCCTTTTTCGCTATCTTTTGTCATCCCCCCTCTCTCTTTTAACATCTCTTTTCTATCATATCTTATTCCCCTCACCTCTTTCCCCAACACAGGGTAGCCAGCTGGTCTAGGAACTGGCCAACCTCTCTGTCCTTCCGGTTATTTCTTTCGCCCTCCTCATTTGATTTGTATACACAAAACACACAAGGACACAGGGGAAGCAGTTAGAAAGAAACTGGCTGAGAGCTACCGTTTAAAGCGGAACGACACCTTCCTACTCCTTCCGCAATGGCAAACAGTTTCATTGGGGCCACAATAACCACTGCCGCAAATACTTGAGAAATATAATGTACAAGGCTACTTTAGACACAGAAGAGGTATATTAATATTAAAATGAATGCTGGTAAGACCAGCTGCATCAGGACAGGTTAATGTGCACTCATGCAACCCCTTAACGAATCCCATGAAGGTTCAACAGGTCGGCGAGGGCGGCGAAAACGCCTGTGTTACATTAAGGCGCACATGAAATAACCCCAGATAACCAATATTCCTCAGGGATCCCCCGCCACGGCACAACTCATTGCTCCATCGTGGCTTTGGCACGCAAGAGCCCAGAATTTTCACTTGAATTTAAAGAAGCGTATTTCGTTGCTCACTGAGTCATACATGCACTGCTTAGTGTCCAATGACCTCATTACGACGCACTTGAGGCAACGGTAGTGCTAGCGGCGTCTTAGCGAGCTCCCGAACAGCTTCAGGGCGCATACGAGGGCTCTGCAGGCCCCACACTTCTGATACTTTCTCTAAAGACTTGTCTACACTAACAACCAAAATCTACACGATTACGGGATCACAACACCAAATCAATGTGGTGGCTGGGGCTTACCTTTGTACGCTGCATGAAAATCTGAACGCCGTAGGCACACAAATGCGGCGCATGAGTCGACCTTGCATGCAATTCATGGCGTCAACAAGAGCTTGGATCCCCAAGTGGGGGCTGGCTGGTGCCATTCCTGGAGGTTCGAGCGTCAAACCCAGGGTGGTAACATGGTAACAGTCATCGTGTTTTTAGCTTGTATTACTCGCATGGGACTTCAATTCGCTTATAAATTCAACCAAACAGGTGAAGCGGCGACGCTACGTTTGTGTACCCCAAGACGATGTTCCGGCAATATCTGCGCTAGCGAGGCGTGCTGCAAATGTTTTTGTGGCAAGCGGCCAGCAGGAGAGTGGGGTTCCCGATAAGGCCTCCTTCTCCTCCGTTAAGCAAGCCGCGGTCGAGGTGCGTACTATGTCCTGCAATCAGGCATGCAAAAGGAGGAAAAGAGTGGAAGCCGAGCCACATCAAATTGCTCGCGCTGTTATCGGCCACTTCACGTGACGCGCAGTTCGCTGGCCGCCCGAGATGACGCGTGACAAGAATAGAGATCCCTTGCCGACATATACAAAATCCTTGAGCGCGCAATTGCGTGGACGCGCAATAACGCTACAGTTGATTGATTTGTTGGGTTTAACGTCCCAAAACCACCATTTGATTATGAGAGACGCCGTAGGGGAGGGCTCCGGAAATTTTGACCACTTGGGGTTCTTTAACGTGCACCCAAATCTGAAATATAACGCTACAGTTGTCGATTGATGTTGGAAAGTGAGATTTATGCACATGTTTATTATACTGTGGTAGCGTAAAGAGGGCACAACAAAGTGCACACAATGTCAAACGCACTGCGCTTATAGCAGCGCTGTGAAAGGTGTCTCAGTGTGTGTATTTTCGTGGGTCTTTCTTGTGCCCTAACAAATTCTTGAACACGCGGTGTCACTGGCGTTAAAGTTTCGACAGTCGGCAAGCCGCAGGGTTCTACAAGGCTGCAACTTAACAAGAATATGAACAACTGAAATCCTGAACTTCTGGCTTATTCGGATTTCTTATGTCCTATTATTTTGTTCTACCGAAGGAATAAAAACTGTGCTACACATGTATTTCATATATTGCTGCAATTATCAAGCATGAGTCGTGTTCTCTCTGTGACTCAATATTCATTCTTACGATCGCTAACCATTCGCATTGTACAACACGTGGGCGGGCCTTAGTTAATTGACAAGCCGCTGCCTCTGACGAAAATCGGGAGCTAATGACGTGTGCGATAAAAGCTCTTGTCCCGCCTAATAATAAAGATTCTTTGTAATTTTAAATAGCAAGAGAGAGTGGGCTCTCTTGAATAATTTGTAGAGTCGTGATGCATCGAGAGAGGTAGAATAAATTCAGAGAAAGGCAGGGAGGTCAACCAGAATTATAGCATACGGTTTGTTACCCTCCGCTAAGAGGAGGGGGAATCGGGGACGGGGATTGAGGGTGTAGGCAGTATATTTAAGGGAGGGGGGGGAGGTGTAAGATAGTTGTTCACTCTGTATGCCATTGCGAAAAACGTTCCGGGGGGGGGGATGCATCGGTCCGGTGCGTTACCCCCTGGCTACGCTACAGCATGGACTCAATGACCATTGCAGCGAACGCTTTATTCATTGGAGTAGCGACATCTGAAGTTTTCACGATCGCGAGATCAAATCTCGGCTTCGGCTGCTGCATTTTCGATGGAGGCGAAAATGCTGTGTTCTCAAATTTGGGTGCACGCTAAAGAATCCTAGGAGGTGAAAATTTTCCGGAGCCCTCCAGTACGGTGTCTATTGTAATCACATAGTTGTTTTAAGACGTTAAACCTCCTCATATAAATTATACGATCGATCGATCAATCAATCAATCAATCACGTGTTGCTTGTGGAAAAGAAATTCAATGATTACTTCCTCGTGCGTGCTTGAACCCGGCCGTTTGTCAATGATCATCGTAATGTGTGAGCTTTTTATGGTCGACGCCGCTTTAACGCTGCTGTTTAAAGTAACTTACAGTCACCACAGAAACACAAAACACAAAGTAACCTAGAATGAGCATTGAACACAAAATCAAACAATCAAACACAAAGCAGAGGCTTTGCCTTCGACTAAGTATCCATTTTTACCAACAATACTGGGAACCATACGATTAAAAGAAAAAAGCCAGCTGGATAGTTCCATGGGTATTTTGTTCCTTCTTCCAGCGAAAATTACCAGCTGCCAATATTCTCACGTGCTGTTTCCATCTGAGTTTCTTGGCGTTGACCCTTCCTGAAGCACTACGTTTCCAACAGGTGGTTTTTCACGATATGATTCCCTTGGTGTCAGTGAACTGACAAATGTGCATTTCAGCTTGCACGTAGACATAAAAAAAATATTCACGTGAGACAGAATTAAGATTTACCATATTGTGACACAGCTTTATCTCTATATAGTATATACTCAACAAGGTTGAGAGAAGAACGGTAAATTTTTTTTATTTCTTCAAAGACATCTCCACGTGTACAGCGTTTTTTTTTTTTTTGTAGACAGTGTAATGACTCACACCTGGCGGATAAACACAGTGAAGCAGAACAGTGGGATTTGCCAGAATACTGTACGGGAAGTCGATTAGATAAGCGTATACCTTGGAAAGTGTCGACAAATGCTAAGGAAAGTACCTTGCCGATTGTTGATCAAATTACTCAGGTGTACGCGAACAACTCGGCATACCACGTGGTGCACAGTATTTAAACCCTGAATGTCACACGTTTAGCTGCTTCGACAGCAGTGATGAGGTTATTACTCAATCTATCTTGACCTCAAAGCTATCATAATTTTGGCGTCACCATCTTTAACCCTTTACTGCCGGATGTCACGAATTCGTGACATGCTGGAAAACTTCGAGCAAGTAAGTCATGACATGCGTGCCACCTTTGATTCTGGCTGTCAAGTACTCACGTGGCATGTGAGTGAGTGAGAACAACTTTCTAGAGCAGACGCTGAGGTTGCCAAGCGTCACCCGGCTACTCCCACGTGGGGACCGGCAGGTCTAGCCTGACGGCCCAGTCGCGGGCACACTGGACGACCAGGATTTGGTCCTGAAGTTCTGCGCTGTGCAGAAGCGCATTCCACTCGGGTTTGCTATAAGTTTGTCCAAGCGACCCGCATGTGACGTTGTGCATGAAAAATCTAGCGCTGTCTCGTCTAAGGTATTTTAGGTTAGAACCAATTGTTCTGGAACTGATGGTGGAGAGCGCGAAATGCGTGCAACAGCTCTTCAATAATTTTGTTCAACAGCTCTTCAATCTTCAATAATTTTGTTGATTTGATGTGTACGCACTCACGAGGTGGTACTCAACATGTAAAGTTGTTCTAAAGTACATTTCTTGTTGAAAGGCCTTCGATTCTGTGGCATATAGAAAAATCGTGACATAAACAAAAGGAGGCATTAAAATGCAGAGACAAGAAGGACACAAAGTCTTGTCTCTGTGTGATTGTTCTGTTCTCGCGCTATAAGTATCGTCATGTCAAACCAACTAACCCTAGCTTCCACACTTCTAAGGCGCATTAAAGTTGAATTTTAGATCATTTAACTGCGAAATAATTCAAAGGTTGCTGTTTAACGCTGGAAATTTAAAAATAAAAACATATTTTTCTCAGCAGTTTTATATTTCAGACATTAAATTGTTAATTTCAGTTCCCGTTGATAATTCTATCCCCGTATTTGCGACAACCCTCCACTCAAGAGTCGTCCTTCGCTCGGTGGAGCCGAGCTAGGGCCACTGAGATATTGAATATCATTCCGCTCTTTTTGAAACTGGCTGCTAACTATCAATACATAGTCTGCGACATTGTGTGGGTGGTGCGCCATATCAGAGGCCATTATTATGCTCGTTCAGTGCCTTTTTCTGCGGAATATTGCGCTGACATCTACATTATAGAGTTCAGTTAAAGTTACAGTAATATAGATCATTCAAGGGGGGGGGGGGGGGGGATTTCTGTAATATGAGACTTAAAGGGGCCCTGAAACACTTTTTCGAGTAACCGCGAAATTAATAAACTGGAAAAGTGCATTACCTCACAAATTTAACACCGCAAAACTTTGAGGAATCTGTCTAATACGAGTGGAGTACCAAAGATTTGTCACACGCTGAAATCACATTCCCTCTTCTCTCGTCCCGGCGAAAGCGCTGGAAGCTAAGCAGGGAAGGATGGCCACGTGTACGTGTGCCTTGTGACCTTGAGAACCTTTTTATTTTATTTTTTCAAATACGCGGCTTTCTCAGTGAGATCGCGCGCGCACGCGTGGACAAGTGACGGCCTCTCGCGGTGATCTCTATAACAACCAAGCGCACCATGTTCAAATCAGCCAATGGCTGATATATGGGCTTACTACGACTGATTTTTGGTCTTCCTCCGTCATTTTTTGTGAGAAGAGAAAGCAATATTTAGCTGACTTTGATAATTATTTGTGAATTACAGGCCGCGTTTTGCGCTCTAACATTTGGCTCGCGTGTTGTCGGGTGCCTCTACTACCGATCGGCAGCGTTTTCCGACCATGCTCATAAAGTGCTTTAGGGCCCCTTTAAGCTCTTTGAGAAAGGCGTTCAAAACATTAGCAAATGATCCCAACGTCTGTTGGCCCAATTCTTTGTACAGTGTTGGATTTTTCACGCTGTAGTGGGGCCACTTTTGCAGTATGTGGTGGCATGAAATGTAAGAGGTATTCTCGCCAAGTGGCACCAGCGGTTGCGCCGCGATAGCCGTGGTCCATATGTGATCCAGCATGGCAGCCTGATGCTTGGTGGTGCTGCACCTCAACAACACGTTTTTTTTAGCAAAATATGAGCATAAACGTGCTGCATGCTGAAAACTTCGGTTGTGAACAAATTATGAAGTTCGCGCGTGAGACCACAAGTATAACGATTGTCACGCTAGCACCCCTTGCGGATGACGTCACGTGAATACCACCTATTCATTACAAATGGCTGTCTAGAGATCTTTAGTGTTCATGCTCCTTTCCATTATAACATGTAACGCCAAGATCAATGTGAGGTTTTCTTAAGACCTTAAAGATATCAACAACGTCTGTTAACCCTGGAATGTCCGATGCTGACAGAAAAATGGCCTGCGTAACTATAGACACGTCACAACTCTAAGTTTCCGAGACTCTTGAGGCCGCTCATGTTCGTCTTCTGAGAAAGCAGGAACTCCTCGAGCGAAAGCATTCCGTCCTTGTCTTTGTCATCGTATGCAAGAGCATCGTCCACGAGATCTGTGGTTGATAGAAAGAGAGAAAGAGAGAGAAACATGCCGTCTTTTTTGACACCTACTTACCTTGGTGTTTTAATTAATATGGGTGATTAGAGTACCTTCGAGAAACCGACTGAATACTGTCACAGAACGAGCGCTAAAAATGGGCGCGCCGCCAAATTCTTGCGATAACGCGCGGGAGGAGACGCCGGGAGGTCAAAAGAAAAAAAAAGAAAACAAACATCCAAGGCTCCCCGGGCGCGCGCTCTTTCCTGGGAAGCGTGGCTTCGCCGAAAAACCTCCTCACCCCACATCGGCGGCCGAGCAAGCCCGCGAAATTTCCAGAACGAAAGAGGCGTGGCCACGCCGGGTTGACTCATCCATCGCGGAGGGCATTCCAACCGTCTCGCCCCCTACCCAGCCTTCGCTGCGTATCGCGCCGACGAAATGACGAGAACTTTCTGGAATGTCGTGCGAAAGGTATTTAACCGAGCAGCGGAGACGAGAGATCAGGAGAAGACGGAAGTTAGCGCCGGAGCGCGTAGGGTATACCGCCGTGTAGTCGGCGAAGGTTTTGTCCGTAGCGACAAAGCAGGAGATGAAGAGAATTTCCACGTGAGTGGTGAAGGCTCGACCTACAGGCAAGAGCGTGTGTTTACCGCTATCGAGCGAAGACGCGTGGCGACAACTGCGTGTGTGAGGCCGACGTGTTCGGGCGAAGAAGTTCGAAGCTTAGAGAGTGGCCTATTGAAGACGTAAGGTTTCCTGGAAGAGAAACTTCGGCGAGGTTTCCTGGAAGAGGAACTTCGAGGGCGCGGAACGACAACAACACTGGACTTTGAGCGAGTGATTCTCGGAAGAGTATCATCCAGACTTTTGTTCCAAGAACTTTGGACTGGATAGGTTTTCTATCTCTTTAGTCTTTAAGTGTCTTGGTTGTTCAATGCATGCGACTGCATTGTAGTGCGTATTGTTGTCTGTGTCCGTTGTTTCAAGTGTGGCTGATTGTACTGTGTAAAACGTTGTTTTGTTTGGTGACATATTGTATGCAACTATTGTGGCGTGTGCATTCATGTGTATTGTTTCGGTCTGCCAGTATTGAGAATATAGTTTTGTTTGTTTATCAACTCTCGGCTCTGACTTGTTCTTTGGGCCACAGCCGGCGTCTGCTGGCGCGCCAATAAGGCCCACTTCTCAATTGTCCACGCTTTCGTGGTGCGGTTCGGGGGGCGGATACTTCGGCTGTTGGAATTAGCCCGGCGATCGCCTCCCTAATTAACGGGACCGGTGTGACAAATACAAACCATGTGGGTCCAGAAGCTTGTGAATTAAATCGTACATTGAGTTATTGCTCAAGACCTATCGAAGATAACTGATGCTCACACTCGAGTGCATGCCGTAAGGTTATAAAGTTTTTTTTTTTTCGTTTCGTTTCAGATTACGGAATCTCGCTAAATAAAAGCACACATTGGATATCAAGCAGCAATCAGCAGTTCCTAGCCTACGTGTAACTTTTTTTATTGCGATAAGGCTAACCCATAAAGCACGACATTTGAAGTGTATATGTGTTTTAGATGAGTGCTCTGAGGCCTGTGTTATGTATGGATGGAAGCAGTGTACTGTGGAATTTGTTATGCATCCAGCGGTCGTAGCCGGATTTAGTGAGCGTGTATAGTGGCTCAGCCACAAGTGTACGACTTTCTGAGGTGTTTGCGCAGCAGAAGGTGCGCAATCGTGAATGAATTGCCTAAATAAACCCACTTCTGACTCTGACTGTAATGGCGGCATGAAGGGTAAAAGAATTCGGAATATTTATCTACGTTTGTTAGCATTATATTGCGTTAGGTTGAATGGCGGGTTCTAAATGCGTGCAGAAAAAAAAAACATCAGCTTTAGCAGTTATCTATTTTTGTTTTGTTTTGTTTTGCATCAGACACGTATCCTACGCGTGTATTTTAAGAAATGACGCATTGGGCAGGCCTCTTGTAACAGGAAAAAGTCTTCAGTAATAGTTCGTATGAGAACCATGCCAAGCCTGCTAAAGGAAAACTGGGTCCGTTGATGGCTCAAGCTTGAAAATTCGTTGCTGCTGGAACACAACATCTGCAGACATTTCTTGAATATTATCTCACAATCATGCTTTACACTTACACGTGCTAGCACCAAGATCAAGGTATTGTCATTTGTGGTTATATCTTAATAGAGACACTGTATGTTTTTGGCATTATCAGTGGGAACAACAGCCTCTCACAGTTCGCTTGCATTACTTCTGATCACATGAGGAGTTCGTAATTACTTTCACAGAGAAGCTGTTATGGTCGAGATTTGCCGTGTGTCTTAGATAAAAATCATCATCATCATGAATCGGTAGACGCTGAATGACCCCCCATTGTACAACGGGAAAGCGCAAATTACTATATGTGGTTGCCTCTTCCGTAATAAATACTGTTGTAAGTCAGAACTTCTGTGTGTCAAGCCTTTTTTCTGTCTTCGTCTTTTGCACTTTCACTCTGTACTAAGCCACACGAAAGAGTCAAATATACCCTTGTGACAACCCACACAACATTCACCGATTAGTAATAAGATAAACTGAATCGTGCCCACCAGCATGCTGTGACCCAGCTTGTTGCGACTCATTGAAAGCTGTGCTTTTTTTTTTCTTGTGCAAAGACTGTAATATGTGTGCAATTATCTGCTCTCAACGTCTGCACTAAGCATAGACTAGGAACAGCAGATGCGGTCTCGGTAGAGTGAGTACCGTTTCCCGCTGCGTCCACAATGTCGATCTTTGAGTGGAGCAGCGCCCGTCTCACTTCCTCTGGCGTGAGTGCGTCATCCTTGTCCAGATCATGAAACCTGGCGGGGTAATGTACATAGAATATTAAGCTCTGTACTTTGTTATCAATCTCGCCATTTCGTCAAATGAACACATAAATGCAATACAGATACGCGTGAAAGATGTAAAGAAACTGATGCGAGAAAATTGATGGTGCAGTACTGCTTATAATGCAATCTATTGTTTCCTACGCCACAGTTCAATTGCTAGAGTATATCAGACGCGGTTGCAAGTTTGGCCCCTGGCGGTAGCAAGTTGTTTTCCAAGAACTTTAATTTCTTCATGTTTACATCATAATTGCTACAAGTAACGACCCCTGTGTTTTAGCTAACTTGATTGTTTTGTTGGTTATCTTTTAAGGGACACTGACGGCAACTATTAAGCCGACGTCGATTGTTGAAATAGCAGCCCGGAAACCCCGTAGTGTTATTTTTGTGCCAAGGAAGGGCTTACTTATTATGAGACAAAATCACGTTTTAGCGGTTCGCATCGCGTTAGTGCAATTGAAATTTCCTCCTCAGCAAAACCACTAACGGCACTGTCCCCGAGCACATTGTTGCCCGGGTTTAGTGTGTGGCCACCGACACTAGTAGCAGCAGAGAGAAAGTGCCAAAAGCCACAGCAGCAACAACGCCATTGAACGATTTTCTGCCATGGCCTCCGAGATGGCAGGCGTACTTGGTTTAACTGGGTCCCTCTAGATGGCCCTACCTGTTAAGTTTAACCAGGCGTAAATTGAACTTTTGAATTGCTCGCGCCATCCGCCACAGTAACGCCCGGCGATTCTTTTTTTCATGGATCAAAGAGAAACGAACAAGCAATATTTTGGTACATCTTTTGATGCAAGGAACGTTTTTTTTATTTAGTGCAGCTAGTTAAATTACTAGTGATTTTGCAGGTGGTGTCATGCCATTAGTATCGTTTTGCGAATGTCCTACTTGTGGTGCATGTGTTTTCGTGCATTCACAAAAATTTCTCGGTAAGTAGGGCACTGTTGTTGATAATATTGTTCTTTTAGGCGTTGGTATACATTGAGCTTTCACTATGACTTAAATTGAGATGTGACTTTAGTGTCAATGTAACGTTTAGCCTAACAAAAAAAAAAATGGATTCCTTTAATTACTATGCTTCCGTTACTTGAGACTTTTACCACGTTGGGGAACTTCTTATCTCATACGTGACGGCACTCGTATGGAGATCATGACTGTACACTATTTTCGCTAACTTGCCGTATTAGTAGACTCTGGTGTGTGTGTTTTTTTTTCAACCCCTTGCGATAAAATCGATTGCCCTGAATTCGGCAGGGGTGCACTATGAGGAAATTACCTTAAGCGACCTGTTCCAATCATCCTATCAGATTGATGACGTCGCAATCTGATTATTTTATTTTTAAATTGTACCTGAAAACTTCTTCGTAAATCTCCTCGAAAGTCTTTTTGGGTTCTTCGAAGATGTACTCTTTGTCCTTGAACAGGTCCTCGTTGTGAGGGCTGAACATATTTCCGAGTTCCTCTCCCATTCTGTTTTTGAGGAAAAAAAGGCAAAATAAGATGGGAGACACCAAAAGTAACAGGTCACGCAGAAAACAAAGTAAAACAGCCACTTCAGAAGGCAATCTGAACTCAGTAATTTTGAAAGTTATATATTGCATGATACATACATATATTACATATTATATTTGTGATTGATTGATTTGTGGGGTTTAACGTCCCAAAACCACCATTTGATTATGAGAGACGCCGTAGTGGAGGGCTCCGGAAATTTTGACCACCTGGGGTTCTTTAACGTGCACCCAAATCTGAGTACACGGGCCTACAACCTTTCCACCTCCATAGGAAATGCAGCCGCCGCAGCCGGGATTCGAACCCACGACCTGCGGGTCAGCAGCCGAGTACCTTAGCCACTAGACCACCGCGGCGGGGCCATATTATATTTGTACATACGCGTTGAAGAGACGAATAAATCATTCAGCAGGGTGCGTCGCTGTAGTCAACGTTTCGACGACTGGTATTGTCATCATCAAGGCAATAATAGTTGCTGCCTAGATGAAGACACGACCACTTGTGAAAAGGTAGGCTCCAATGACAGCCCCGGTTAAAAAATTTATCATTACTTTAAGCTTCTGTCTTTCTCTGAACTTTTACCTTGTTTAGTACCCGCGTGTGACGTATCACTGTGTATACTATTCCGCTTTGTTACGTGTCTAAAGCGTGTTTACGAGCCACACATTTGTCGAACACGATTGAAGAACCACATTGATAGCGTGAAGGACCACATTCAATACCACCTAGAATACTGTATGTTAACAATTTTTTTCTCAGTAGTGAGAACCCAACACTGTGGGTATTCTAGACGTTTTGCATACGCAGAACAATAAATATTGTTTGTCAAGCATGAAAATGTGACTGGAGAGGTGTGTTACTATTTCTGGCCCTACACCAAGGGACTCGACATAAGCAAGGCCTCTCTTATTTGTGTATAGAGTAGATATTTTCTCCCTGTGAGAGGTCACAGGGTGCCTTAAATTAAACTTGGCGCCGCTGAGAATAAGCGAAATAGGTGCGGGTCTTGTGTAAGGGCTAGTGAATGTGAAGGAAGATTACAAGAAAAAATAAATTAGTGAAACGTGTGGCTTCTACAATAAAATAACCTCAATCCAACGACGAATCAAACAGATATCTGCGGGCAATCAGGTGTAAGTTCATGAGCACAGCCATATGTGCTCTTACCCGTAGTCGTAGGGGTAGCCCTTGCTGGAATACCAGGGAGGCATGTCTGGTGTCTTCTCATTGGAGCGTTCTTCTTCATTTTCTTCCTCAATCAAGGGGTCCTCAACGAAGTCCTCATCTTTTGTCCGCCGAAGGAGAAGCCTTGTACTCGGGCCAGAAGTAATATGAAAAGAACGATGCAAGCGTGGTGCTGTGACATGGCTGCAAATCAACGGAAACGCCCGTCATTTGAAGGACACAGCGGTGCTTTTCGCGCACATGAGACAACCTTCTAGAGCAAAATGTAGCTTTAAAAACTACAGAAGTAATGAATAACTAGAGATAAAACGGTAAACGTATTTGCAAACATATGTATATCTCTTGTCGATGCTATAGTATAGGCGAATGTGAAATGGGGGAGTGGGTCGAAAGTCTCCAAGCTATGCTGCCATAGGAGTACATTGGTTAGAGGCCTGAGAACTTTTTACCAACCCTGTACGTGTTATTCCTCTGTATTTTACGTATTATCGTTGCACATACGAGAGTCAACTCCCGAAACTTTTAGCAAGCCAGTTGATGAGCCAGGGTAAGCATTAAACAATTTTACCTATCTGTCATATATTCAATATCTCCAATACTAAAGACAATTGCTGTGAAGGGATATGAAAGTTGTTGCTGTTAGGCACTGTATGCTGTTCGTGCGATTCGCTAGCTCTGGTAAATACAACATTGAAAAGAGGAACACCAAACACACTACAGTTGTCCGTTCAGTTACACGTGTTCAAACAAGCTATACCGTCAAAATTGACCCGGTTTTCTCGCCATTGCAAAACTTACAGCTTTCTTCGTTTGCTCATAACATTGCATGAAGAATTACGAGCGTTAAGCAACAATTAGGGCAGAAAGATTTGCCAGTAAGTATAGCGTAAGGATTGTATTTCCTGCAATTATCTGACTATTCCTTGGGTTTCAAGAAAATGAATTCGGTAGAGTTTAGGTCACTATGTGCTTTGGTAAAGTAGTAACATTAAAATGTAAGAGCAAGTCATGCGTTTTCTCGAAGCAGGCTTGGAGCTAAGTCGATATTTTCTGGTAACATATTTTTGTTCTGAACTAACGATTGTCTACCATGACCTAATATTCTCAAATACAAATACGGCGGGTAACAAGTGAATTGTGTTCTAATTTACACAGAAGGCCCGGATAATTGTTCGTTTCTTCAATAACAAAACTAAACAAAAGATGGTACTAGGTACAGCTGTGATGCCCATTTCTCTAAATTTTTATTTTTTTTGAAAACACCACTGCTGAAGCTGGCAAAGTTTTAGCGTTGTGCGGCGACAAATGAACGCTATTCTAAGCTATCTTTTTTTATTTATAGTTCAGGGACACATATCTAAACCATTATATTTTCAGTCATAAGCTAACAAACATGGTTAAAATGTTAAAATGCCCTAAAATTGGCATATATCACACGCTGCAACAAAGCCCTGCTTGACAAGTATTCTTACGAATGTATAGTGTTGCACGGAATTGTTAGTACTTCAATAACCCTTCTAATGCGTTCCGTGTAGATTTCTGTACTTAGATGGTTCATCCTAATACGTTTAACGACAGGAACATATAGGCTTACTTTGATTGCGCACACATTATATTCCTGGGAGCTACCGGATAGACGGGAGGGCTGATCTGGGTCTAATCACCAAAAGAGGGACGGAAGCTTGGGCGAGTTTGTACGACATTAAGGAACCAAATTTGAAGCGCAAAAAACAAGGAGCGAAGAGCTTTACTCACTCTGATCTCGGAGTCGCACGCGCTGAAGATCACACTTGCACTTGCCTTGCGCTCGTCCGGTGTACCCTTCTCTCCGGTCCTTGTTTTCTTGCACTTCAAACTTTGTTCCTTAATACCGAAAGAGGTTGCCAGCAAGATTTCGTGAGACTTCAAACAAAATGCTATTATTTCTCGAAAATCAAAACTGATTGACAGGTCTCGGAAGCAAACCAAACTTATACCGAGTGGCATCACACATTACATCGTGCCAGAAAGTTATCCTTCGAAGTACCCGTACCTTTTACACCGTCTCTCTCTCCCAAGGTGCGCCACTGTGCAGGTACGCGAACCGAAAATCCCGAAAGCTCGCAGACGTGTCACCAGCGGCAGCGGGAAAGGTCAAGAGGAGAGGCGCTCGGCGCGGTCAATGAGTGCCGCGTGAAAGCGACGTCCCGTGTCGTCAATCGAAGTTTTTTTTCATAAAGTTGAAGGAGTGTGTTTGCCCGCCGTTTCTGCGTCGGAGCTCGTGTTGCTACAACGGCGTCGTCGGCAGGCCCCGGACATTGATTGGTCCTTCTCTCTGGGTCACCTCGAGCGCGCACACTGATCTCGGAGCCGCATTCGCTAAATATCGCACTCGCCTGGACGTCGCCGCAACAAGGTGGACGGGATACGCACAGATGATCGCTTTAGACAGCTTTGTCGATATTGGGACACAATCGGGGATATCGTAAATAATGACTAAAACATGGGCTTTGATGAAGAAAAGTAGGTTCTGGCGGAAGTGAGTCGCGTCACTCACTTCCGTCAGAACCTACTTTTCTTCATCAAGGCCCTTCTCTTAGGCATTATTTACGATCCGCGATTGTGTCTCAATATTGTGTCTCGTTCGCTCTTTAACCTTGACGCCTGAAAAATAAACATAACAGCTTGTTCTAAGACCACGTGACCTTCCTCGTCCCCCTCTTTCCACGTCTCTATTTCTATCGTTTTTCTGGCGCAACAGCGACAAATTATGAATGTACTGCTCTCTTTCCATTCACTATTTCCTCTTTGTGTTCTTTTTAAGTCACCCTTGCATAGTCTCTAGTCGATAGGGTGAATTCCTGGTGTTGTAAACGTCAACAAAGATGACGACAAAAAAGAAAAACAGCGAAAGAACGTACAACATTTTTCTTCAACTTAAATATTGTACTCTTGGATCTTCTTTTGACATGTAGCAAATAATTTGAGAACTAAGAGAGCTGTCGGTACAGAGGTAGCATGATGTAGTGGGATACACCGTAAACATGTTCCCGTATTTTCGCTCACCGCTTGGTTACCGTGCCGGTGTTCAACTTATTTTCGATAAAGAATAAGTAACACAGTTTGTAACAGAAAGTCGTGGGGACCAAATCACTGATCCTCTTTTATGAAATATATCGTCTTTCCTATTGAGAAACTGAACATCGTGTTGTAGCATTCAGTAATCGAAGTTCTCAAAAGAGGCAGGCGGCAGTATGGGCAAGGGGTCACTATTTATGTGTTCAACGATACACTTGCAGCACTTTTTCAAGGCCTTCTATTTTTGTTTGAGTGTTACTCTCAATTCCGGATAGGAGATGAAGCCATCGTTATTTGTATCAAGCGCGAAGGCTCCATCGACGAGTCCTGGGAAGCAAAAGAGAATAAAAAATGGAAAGAAGTTAATCACCTATTTACAAAATGACTCAAATTGCAGCTTCTTCAATGTATTTTTTCTTAAATGCAACTTTACACATGGGAGGAAATTAAAATGAGCTCGTACGTACATCATGTCACAAAGGTGACATTTTAGACGGGGCACAGCATTAGGTCTCTTGGCTGCTTAGTGAAAGCCTTATTGAACTTACTGCTGGCCTATTGAATAGACTATAGCACCCCAGCTCACTTTTTTCTTTTCTATTTCGCACATCTATTTAGCTCTTCGCTTCCGTTCCCATCTTTATTCCCCATTCTCCCTTCCCTTAGTGCAGGGTAGCAAACCGGATGCTCTAATTTCTGGTTAACCTCCCTTCCTTTTCCTCATTTTATTCTCTCTTTCTCTCTCTCTTGGCCGCTACATGCATGCTGGAAAACCTGACAATTTTTTTGTCAAATGGCCAGTGCCACGACTCGCGCTGGCTAACACCGCCATAATTACACGCAAAGAAATATCTAATAAAAAGGAAGAGAGCACGACCACCAATAAAACCTTTTTGGTACGACAGCGGACTCACTTTCCGAAGGTTGTAGGTTCGGTTCCCACCAGCTGCTAGTTGTATTGTAATTCACTTCAATTTATGTTCATTTATGTTGTAACTACTAGGTCATAGTCAAAGACAACAAATGATGTATACCATGTTTTCCTCGGCTTTATTGCCATCTGGCATCATTAGGTTGTGTCTCACAAAGAGACGAGTCCTTGATACAGCCGCGTCTTCAAAGCTTACATACGTTTTATGACAGACACATGTTGAAATAAAGGGCTCTATTGTCGCGTTACTATATATTGTCGCGAGAGCAAGGTTTTGCGGAGAATCTTGTTCTTTTACGGCTTACAAATGGAGCAGTCAAGGTCGCCCCCGTTCGGGATTAGAAGGGGAAAGCTTACTCGGAAAAGCGTCTAGCAAGAGGCAGGTCCGGCGCCACCGTCTGAGTCTAAGCCATTGTTAACAGGCACGCGTGTCATTGAGAATGACATGGGGACGCGACCACTTAGCCTGACCGAGACATAGTGGCGGCAGGTAAACTACCATACTCTCTCGCGCTGTTGTTAGGATGTCGGGGTGCCTCGCTGTCGCATGTACACCTGGTAAGCAATGGTGTACCCATCGCTCTTAAGGACGCTTCTAGGAAGCAACAGTTAATGAAAGAGCTTACGGGGCCCGAGCGTGGGAACGGCCGCCGACTGTAGTCTGCCGAAGGAGGCAGCACGGCCTGGTATGGGAGAGAGTGTCCCGTGCGGAGAACTTATCCCTTTGCGTGTTTCATTTGGTAAGGAGGTTTTTACAACTGTAGTGCCTTTTGTGAAAGTGTTTCTGTGATTGGTTGCGATGCTGCGAGTCCCAACATGTGATTGGTTTTTGTGAAGACTCTTTGTTCGACCAAGGGTTAAAAAGAGGATGTTTGAACTTGAAAAGTGAGCGGAGTCGGGGTAAACAGCGGATCTCACCACGGGAGACCAGGCCATGCAGGCCGAGGGGTATGTCACCATTTTCTATGTTTTGTCTTTGTGACCCAGTGCATTTTGTAAATTGAAGTTGTGTTAGCTAAATAAACCCCCAATGAGTGCTCCGCGAAATCATCGTGTTGACGTCTCATCGATTGCCTCTGCGGAGTTTCACCCACACTTATTCGTCTCCCTGGTCGTCCAATGCGCCTAACTTTGAACAACCCCGACGTTTTCGCTACAATATATTAGACCAATGGCGGATCATCAAAATTTGCTTAATGTCTGTCACCCACCAACATTTTACCCGCTGAGTACTCTCACATATTACTTAAAATATTCATGACAGCAAGGTCATAAACACGTTATACAAAGTGGTTACCGTGACCGACACAGGTTTACGAATTACGCAAGCCACGAAAAAAAATTAAATCAGGGCAATTTAAGAAGAATAATGTTCATTTAGCTACCCTGATAATTTTCCAAACTTTTTTTGACACCGTGCTTTGACACAAACGATATGCCAAGCACCCTTTAATATTCCACGTAGTTTTAATTCTTTACCAAAGAGTATTGGAGTATATGTGCCAGCCCGACACACTGTCCACTACAGTACAAATCTCATTAAAAGAAAAACGCACGAACCAGGTACTCACTAATGATATCGTCAAGACTCTTTGGTTCTACCCCGGGCGCAAAGCCATGGTCAATTGTGTGTTGCATAGCAGACAAAAACTCAATGCCGTCCAGCATCGTATTGTCGTCGAAGTCGTGCATTCTGAAAGAAAAAAAAAGTAACCATCATGCCTAGCTTTCCATACCATGCAATCATTATCCAATACTGATAGCGGCAACAAGAGAGGGAAATGTACAGTCTGGTTGCAAGGGCGAAGCAGTGAATGCGATGGCGACAAAAAGGAGCGTCATACGAAGTCATCTTAGCAGCTCCCTCTTTTAACGCCTCATCTCGTGCAACTCGGCAAAACGCCGGCTCATGGAAAAGTGATCGCTGCCGCGACCGAAGCGACCACCGTGCTGTCTTATCTATCGCTTCATCGCAAATCGAGTAGTGAGCATGAAACACGTACGAACATACGAGCCCTCTGCTGATCCCTGTCAAGGTACGGTGCGCGCGACCATGTCTGGCTGATTGAAGTATAGGCATTTCCTGCCACAGTGACTCAGCCTCATCGCCCCCCCCCCCCCCCCGCACCACCTATGGGCATTTTTATCCCTAAACGTGGCTGACGGGGTTCCTCTCCGATGAAGTCGCAATAGTTGGCTGGCTGTCCTCGCACGATTTCGTTTTTACATAAAACACGTGACGCACGGGGTGATGTTATAGACAGGGACGTTATAACCTCACCGGCGATGGGCACGGCGATGGTGTAATAAACGTCGGCCACAAGAATGCATTTCGATCGTCCATATATTTGCCATCTGAATAAGAGTGATCGGGCCAGGTAACTTTCATATGTAGCGGAATTATAAGTTTCCTTGTTTTTACTGAATCGCTTGTTCCTCGAACGACAATTTCATCTCAAAGACTTTTCTGCGCGACTCGCTACTTACTATAGAGAGTGTTTATCAGAAAATTACCAGAACTTCTTCAGTATAGGTGGGATTTCGGAAGCAGAAGGAACATTGCTTTAGAAGCATCACGTAATTTAATTTAAAGACATATTAGACGGAAACAGGTTAGTGCGTTCTCTACGTAGTGTAAGCGTCTGGCAAGTAGTTCACTCTTCACGCATTAAGTTTACTTGACGAACTCGCATCTTTCCACTTGAACGACGACTTTGACTTCTAGGCAAGTGAACGTTGATCGGAGGAACGAACTTACCGGAAAAAATAAAACGTTATCTCCTCATCCGTCATTTGTCCAGTGCTTTTCATGTCCACAAGAGTAGCCAGATCCTCTTTGATGTGCCTGCGCAATGAAACAATTAGCATGCACACGCGGGCGATCGTGTTCAAAGAACACACGATCGCATTGCAAGTAGGTAATATTATCAGCACCTTCCTGTCGATGCATGCTTCATGTAGACAGTATATAAAAAAAAGTTAATAAAATGAAATTACAGGGGTCTTCCTATGCTATGGAGGTACTGCTGCTTCATCTAGGCGCGTTAAATAAATATACTAAAAGAGACGACAGAAAGCAAATGGTGCCATTTGTTTCTCAAAGGCAGAGGATATACGTCAAAATACTTGAAAAATATTAGCGCTCTTCGTGGCCTAAAAAAATTGGTTTTGACTTATACAGCCGCCTTGGGACCTTACACCGAAAGCCTGCCGCCTCCCTTGCGCCTCCTCGTTACTTCAATCAGGAGCAAGAAAAAAAAAGGCAATTCATTTCAGTTGTATACTCGGCTATCTGCGAATTAATATGGGACATGTGAACTACAACAGCTGCTATATAGAATAAAGTAAAAGTTGAATTTGAGAGTTTTAGGGCGCAGCAAGGAACAAAATAAAGCTTCACAGTTGAAGCTGGTTGGTAGCACCTAGCAGTTCCGTTTCTCGTGGTGCATAAGGAAATTAACTGCTCGGCCTGTCTTCAGAGGTTGACTTCCCAGCTGAAACGTATGTTGTCCCGATTCCTGGCATTAGGTGCATCATAAGACGTACGTGTCACGAGGTAGCTAACCAATAAAAGGTCACACATAAGCTTCTCGTACTAGATAAATTCCGAGCTCTAATACGAATGGCCACTTCACTAAAGGACAAACCTAGTATCGACAGCATTACTAATTGCGAACCCTTGTACGAGTTATTCCCCTTATACTTTATCCTGCGATGTGAACTATACATACCAAGAGTTTCGTATTTGTGCAGGCAAACAGAATATCTCAAAGGGGGGGGGGGATAAACAACAAGAAGGAAGGCAGGGAGGTTAACCAGGCACATGCCCGGTTTGCTACCCTACGCTGGGGGAATGGGAAGGTGGCATAAAGATGAGAGAGAGAAAAAAAGAAGAGAAAGAGGATATTTCAAAAATGCCGAAATATCTCAAAGAGCAACTCACTCTACGTCTCGGATCACATCGGTGGCGTCCCATCTTTGTCGAAACTGAGCCGCTTTGGACGATGGGCTGCTGTGCGAATGTCCGTGGTCGTGCGCACAAACGCAAGTCGAAATTATGGTGACACAGACGGCCCAGTACAATACCAAACTCCTAGCCCAGCACGTTGCAGCCAAGGGAGAAGCCATTGCCAGACGCGATTCCGAGAACACCAACAGCGCAGGCGCAAAAGAGTGTACACGTGTAGCAGTAGGGCCACTGGGCAAAAGCATGAGCTGAACGCAGACAACCCGGCAAGGTATTTCTTTTTTTTTTTGCAGTGCTTCAAACGGTATTTTGAAAGCAGCCTTGACATGAGACACAGACGTTTCCGTGCGCTGTGTTCCGACGCAACACGTCGACATGTGCAGCTTTGCGGCGGAGCAGCTGTGGCTCTCTGGTAATTACCGGCGTGGGGTGTCTGTACGGACTCTCAAACCCAATCGTTGAAACGAGCGGAACTCCGTCATATCCGCAAACTACCCCATACATGTGAGGCGAGCGACTCCGATCACAAAAGAAAGACGATGAATTGACGTTTCGGCATCCAGAATGGAAGCCTCGTGCATAATCTGTTCACGCATTACTCATTTGAGATTGGAATGACTGACAACGCGAAGTTAAAGACTGTGACGTCGATGAGACTATTGAACACCTTTTGTGCTGCTCCCCGACATACGCAAACGAGAGTCTTCGCCCCGTCACTGTTCTACATCAATTGTACAGAAGTGATTTCACTGTCGAGAAGGTATTGGGACCACGACGCTGCCCATCACAGTTCCGAAAGGGAGGGAAAGCGCTGTTGTGTTTTCTCAAGGACAAGAGTCTCATTCGTCGCTTGTGATGTCAAACTGGAAACTGTTACGTGTCGGCTCAATCAGTGACTTTTCTCTCCTCCACTATAACTATCCTTCCCCAGGGCGGGGTAGCCTACCGGGCTCAGCCTTGGTTAACTTCGCTGCCTTTCTTCTTATTCTTTCTCTCTCTCTCTCTCTCTCTCTCTCTCTGTGTGTGAGTGTGAGTGTGAGTGTGCGTGTGTGTGCGTGTGCGTGCGTGTGTGTGTGTGTGAGTGTGAGTGTGTGTGAGTGTGCGTGTGTGTGTGCGTGTGTGTGCGTGTGTGTGTGTGTGTGTGTGTGTGTGTGTGTGTGTGTGTGTGTGTGTGTGTGTGTGTGTGTGTGTGTGTGTGTGTGTGTGTGTGTGTGTGTGTGTGTGTGTGTGTATTCATGTATCCAGAGCGGAAGAGCGATCGGCTATTTTTTTTTTCCCGCTTCGAGTGGGTTCAAAGCCTCAATATCTACGTCTTCAAGTTGAGTCTTGTGAAACGGCCTGTAGCCGATTCCATCCAATGCAGTTACAACGTGTGGCATTTGAAGCTGCTCTATAGCCTCTTCTACCCAGGTCAACCTTTTGTGTATGCAAGCCTGCAACAGAACTAAATACTTATAAGAAAAGATATTATATGCACTGGAACACGTGGCCTCACGATGAAGTACAGGAACTTAGTCACGACTTAAAAAAAACGCCGTTTCGATTTCAGTTTGATTAATAACAAGCGCGCCCCCTTATTGCCAAAGTAACGAAATCAGAAACAATAGTTGGTCAGACAAAACTGGCTTTCAGTATCATAGTGTTAGTGCAATTTGAGACCGTGCGAGCTGAGCGATAAGCAAGATTTGTCGTACGTCACTGTTCTCCCCCCCCCCCTTTTTTTTAAGTTTAATGTCCCTCCTATTGCAAGTAAGTTACACGGAATCCCCATAGGAGGCGTAAAGATTATGGACGGGTGTGCGCAACCTCCTTGATTTGAAGTGCCGACTGGACAGACAAGCATGGTTCAGTGTCATTTTTGCTCAATATCCTGTGGTAGAAAAAAAATTCTAGCTCAAGGCTGGGGGATGGCACATGCTACACGTGCGAACCCATACCTGCGGCACTGTTGAGTAACTACTCTGCCCCCCCCCCCCCACCCTTTGTGGGAGACCGCATAACTACTTTGCGAAATTCTGTGTCCATGTGCTTCGATTCGTTGACTAATTCGTCCTCGCACTGCACATTGCTATAATCTTGGTTAGCTCACTTGACAGAGCAACCACCCCAGATAGGCGCTGTTAACGGGATCGGTCCCCAAACCAAGGCTACTTCTTCTCTCAACTAAGGATCTTTACTTTTTGAGCAGTTCGTGTGGATTTCCTCGTCGTTTCGTGCAACAAACAGGTGGTTGTCAACTATCCCTCTTATTGCCAAGTATGGTGATCTGCCTGATGATCATACTATAGTATCTTATATTTTATTCTTCCCTAACTTTCACACGTCAAAACATAAGATTCTTGCTTTTAAAATATACCTGACTCTCCGTGTCCCATAAAAGGGTGGCGGCTTGGGCTTGATGATATGTCACGGTATTTAATGATATGTCATAATGAGGTTTTCGAGTATACCTTTCGTCCTTGTCACGAGTTCTAAAGCTATCATTTTTCATGGTCCTCTCGTTTCTTCTCTCTCTCTCTATCCGTCTTGTCTTTGCTACATGAATAGACCCACGATAGTTTCTGAATGCATCGTCTGCTTACTATCCACTACTTTTGGTGTTCATCGCAAATCATCGAGCAACAGCCTCCAGACGACAGCTAACTCCAAGTCTTGTAAGATTGCAGCGGCATGCTCAAACAAAGATGGCAAATAAGCGCTAAAGAACACGCAATGGCTTGCGGTACCGCTCGTAGATTGCCTCTTGACCTGTGGCAAGTAATTTGCGAACTAAAACTGCTGATGGTGAAAGAGCTAGTATCACGTAGACATCTCATATCTTCGTCCTCAGCAAGGTTCAGATTGAAACTTTTTTTTTGATGAAAGATAAGCGGCCCTGTATGTGAAGGTATAAGTGGGCGGCAGTGAAGCACTGATCAGCGTGCATGAAAGAAAACGTTTGTCCAAATCGAGAAACTGAGCGTCGTGCTTTAAAGATAAGTAAGCGTTTATTTCTCACTATAGGCGGGCTGTATAGGGAACAGAAGTGAGTATCACTTTGTCTGTACTGGCGGTACACTCACAGTACTTTTTCGTGAGATTCTACTTGCTGCCTGCTCTCATCTCCGGATAGGAGAGAAAGCCATCGTTGTTTGTGTCGAATGTCAAGAGCCCGTCGACAATCACTGGAAAAACAAGAAAAGGGATGACAATTCATTGACTTATATAAATAATAAAAACAATATTGTTTCGTAAACAAGCAAGTTTTTAAACAATAAACAAAACACAACGTGTGAAAGCTCGAAATTATCGACGTTATTCGATTTGGCCCGGTAGGGATGACAAGAACATAGCTTTACTGTTACGCAAGCGACTAAGGAGTGAAAGCCGGGTGTATGCGGTATGAATATTTATTATTTACATCCCCCAAATTGTATAATACTTTCTTCTTAGAATAGAAAACTGAACAAGTATGAATTGATTCTGGTTCTGGTAGCGTGTTTGTACGAAAACTGAGCTGGTTCGCATGAATATTGCGGCATACCTTGCACAAGCGGCCAATAAATATTCGACTTCATTTTCATGATTAGCATTCAAGTTGCTCCCATTCAACTCTCCGCCGTTGTCGTTAACGATCTGAGCGAAAGGAATGAGCTGATGAGGTGAATGAAGTATAGGAGGAGAGGCGCTCCGTAGAGGCGGTAAAGGCCCGGCTACACGTGCGCCTTGCAGCGTGTCATCGCATGAAGTTTTGCATGATGCAACGCCCTCTTCCTATGGTGAGAGAGAGAGGGTGCGAGGACTAAGTGAAGTTGCACTCCCCTCTCCCACCACGTAGGTAGAGGACACGGCGCCGCGTCAGAAAGCCAAACGCTGACAGGCTGCAACGCGCACATGTGGCCAGGCCTTAACGAACGCGAGACCGCGCTTGGCGCGAGGAGGAGAGGCGTGGTACAGACGAGGCATGACGCGAGTCCTCTCTGCTCGACACACCCGGGAACAGAATATAAACATGTTTATTGGGGTGTTATTTAAGCATCGTCTTTGGCTGGTTTCCCCCATACAGGAAACTCGTGAGAGCAAACATATCAACGTTATTTAATGTGGCCTAAAATTTTGATGATGACTAAGTTTAATGGTTACGCAAGCGGTGAAGGCAAGTAGGCACGGGAGCGCTTCGCTGTGCTGCTTCGGCAGCTTTTACTGAATTGAACGGGCTCGTTTTTTTGTTTTTTTTTTTTTTTGCTGCAAGAGCTTACACTTTGGCCTTGTTAGAAATGGGCATCGAAGACACACGATTAAGTTTATTGCGTGAATATCGCTTAAACTTAAGTGAAAAACAGGATCGAAATATGTACAGGTGGATGGAGGGGGGTGAAAAGTTTTTAGACTACTATCTCATGTTTTTCTATTGAAGTGTGGCCTGGGAACTTTTGACCAGGATTGTACCACCTTACAGATGCTGTCTTTTACAGTGCAACCTCTAATTGAGCAAAAACAGAAAGAAGCACAGACCAAGTACTCACTAATCAGGTTGTCAAAGCTTTGCGGCCCCAGCTGAGATGAATCGAGGAAGTGCTCCATCGAATGCTGCATAGCAGACGTGAGCTCAATGCCATCCAGCATACTATTGTCGTCGAAATCATGCATTCTGGAAAGACGAAGAGACCATTCTTTAAAGGCTGTCAGATCACACGCAAAATTCGCTATCGACGTGTCAACCAGAATAAATGTAAACCCGGAACTAAAATTTCAAAAGTGGAGGCAATCAAATTATTCCCCCGGTTTCATGTGCTTATTCGCTGATCGGTGTTGTCAGCAGCAATATTTTCCGGGGCTAGCATATTACGTGGATTTCTGAAGACTGACAATGTTCTTTTTTTCAAATGAAGCTTTTGATTAAAAAAAAAGATTGCCGTGGTTGACCATGGTTACCCTGTCCTGAACTTCTTGCGTCCTCCTGTATACTACTACTGATAATAATACCTTGGAATTTATGGGCTAAAGCCGAGAAATTGTTACAAGCCACGCCGTAGAGGAGGGCACCGGAAATATCGACCTTCCTTAACGTTCGTTCTCCTTAACGGACACTGACATCATACTGCGTTTCCGAACTGCTCCCTACGGGAAACAAATCAGCACGTTTCAAGACAATGCGTCGTTGCTCGTGTTTTCTGAAGGGCTGTGCATGCAGGACTTCATGGCCTCGGAGTAAACCGCTTTGTTTCTTCCTGGACGTTGTTCTCGAGGCCACTTAACCTGCCTTCTCATTGTTGCTGGTGCCTACTGTCTTTGGCGTAACTGCTGGAAGGCTGTTGCAGCAGGTCGTCGCCGCCGTGCTCTCTTCCCGATATTGGAGCGACTGTACAAAGAAATACTATCTGCTTTGTCAAAGGAACTCTTCTTTCTGGGTGAGGAGGAATTCCATCTACACTGGTGCTCCCCTTTTGTGTTCGTCTGCGAGCGACGTGTAAGGCTTGTTTTCAGGCCTGCCTGGTATTTGTAGGTTAATCTTTGATTAGTACTCACACAAACACCTTGTAAATACTATGTAAATATCTGACATATGGATCTTTACATTTCATTTATGTGTTCTTCGTTTACCATGTATTGTGCATATGTAGACATACCTTTTTGTGACGATTCTTGTGTATCTGTGTATGTTGTGTTCCTTGTACATATGTAAACATATCTTTTTGAAACAACTTTCGGTGTGTCTGTGGATGTTGTGTCCTGTCACGATGTTCTGTTCGATTGTAGTGATGTTCACTGTCCGTGAGAATAAACTTCTCTAAACACACGGTACATGAGTCTCTAGCATTTCGGCTCTGTCGAAATGCGAGAGTCTGGACCGAACCGCGACCTTTGAGTCAGCAGCCGAGCACCATAACCATTGTGCCATGGAGGCGAACTACTACACTGCATAGAGTGTACGCATCTCAAAATTTGTATCGTGCGTTCAGTATAAGGTCAATCAAAACCAGGGACCACGTGGCTGAGGAAGGTATAGGGAACGTAATTCGTGTTCTTTAAACTGTATCCTTTTAACTATGAAGTAAATGCGGCGTAACTAAAGTAGACTAAATGACAACTTGCCACCTGCGAGAACCGCACCAGCAACCTTCGGATAGTGCGGTAAGCATGCACAGAAAACATCCGATAGAAGTGGACGTGGGGATGACCTCCGTTGTAGATGCAGTTGGCAGAGCATGGGAGGAGTTGTCCTAAGGTCATGGGTTTGCTCCCTTCCTTCGGCCAGTTTTCTTTTTGTCGACTTCACTTTCTGAAGAATTATACTATAACTACTGCAACACAGCTAGAAGACAACAAATAACCTTCCTATACCTTCGGCAGCCTCGATGTTTTGTGTCTAAAAAAAAGAGCTCTTAATTTCCCCTTTCGTTCATTCAGACTAACTTTCTTTAGTGATAGAGTTGCCTGACCAACAACGGCGGTGACTTCTAGACGACGGACATTTGGTCCAATGAGCAACTTACCGAAAAAAATAAAAGGTGACCTGTTCTTCTGTCATCTCTCCAGCATCCCTGATGTCCACAAGATTAGCCAAATCCTCCTTGATGTGGCTGAGCAACAAGGTAATTAGAGTTCACTCACAGCGGTTAATCTGTTCAACTAAAATACGATCGAATTACGAGTAGTGATTAACATCAGCACTTCGCTGCCGAGGCACTCATTTACAACAGTTACAGAGTACGAATATCTCGTAGTCATTTCATGTATAAGAGAGTGACAGCTGCTTGCTAGGACACAATGCGGCGTAATCTGTGCGATCACCATACGTGTACCGCATACTAGGTCGTTAGAGGTAATTTTTTGTGCGCCAGAAACCGTAAGTCTACGTAGTACTTGTGACTTTATATTTATCTTGTTCTTTAGTTATCATCCTTATGAACCACAACACGCAGAATCCCCGTGGTTAACAAGAGAAGCTCCAGAGCAGGGTCCCTCATCAATGTTCACCACCCATGTGTTCCCTTGTTAATTTTTAGTTGACCCGCGTTGTCAGTAGTGGGATATGCCTAGTTTTTGTGGCACATAATCGCTATAAAAGGTGTTTTCTTTTCTTTACAGCAGATCTTTATGGTCAAGGTTCGCTGACGGGCATATAGAGATAGAGTAAAAGACAGACAAGAGAGAGAGCAAGCATCGCCATGTACAGTACAGAACAGTACAGCACAGCACTGTACAGTACAATACAGTATAATTATGGGGGGGAATGATGTTGGTGCGAAGGTAATCGCCTAACCAAGTCGGGACGACCTATAGGTGCCCACCAGCTCGACTGTGATTCAGGTTTACGCGAGTTAGAGCAAGCTGTGTCCATTTTATATCAATAATATTATGTTCGGTACCAGCTCTAACGTAGCCTACCTTTTAATGTTTTATGTAAGCCTGCAAAACAAAGAGGCAAAAAGGAAGTCAAGGTACTGTATACCCATGCTTCAGAGGCACTTCCACTGTACGCTATTTTATGGACACCGTCGATTACAACATATATACTATCACAGGGTATGGTAGAAAGAAAATTGTGCCATTTCATACTCAAAGGCAGCAAATACTTACAAAGACTTTAATCTAAATAAAAAGAAATAAGTTTTCCGATACATATAGCAGTCCCTGTGCCTAAACGTATGAGCCCGAGCCCTCGTTTGTTTCACAGGAAACAGGGGTAATTTTTTTTTATCTTCTCTTCGGCAATGTACTTAGATATGCATATATACCTGGAATAACTCGCACTAAACTATGTGCGAATCACGTAAACATGAGAATCATGGTAGATGGCACAGAGTAACGTGAAGGTTGAATTTCGGATATAGATAGCTATTCGCACTCTGAGATATGGCAGCAATTATTCCACTAGGCTGTAGGAAAACACAAGATAAGCTTTCGGTTTCATATTTAAGTAGAGTAAACGTAATCTATAACCACACGTACAGTGCGTTGGACTTTTATTTTTTCAGGGTTAGCACTTGATGTCGGATCGATGTGAAATGAACTTCGCTGGCAAAGCATTGAGCCGTGAATCGCGACAGGCTAGTCCAGGAATTTTTCTTTGCACGTGCTTAAAATCAGTTTTTTAATGTCGTGTTTTTGAAACCTTCTTCTGCAGCACTTTCTGCGCAAAGAAAGAAAAGCCGTTGGCGACTACGGTTTTTTTATTGAAGTTTCGATACGCCGAACTGAATTGTCGGTCGTACAATGTTCGTTTTGTCTAGGTTTTACTGTACTTCTGAAGATTCTCAAGTGATACGTCGGTCAGTCCACCGAGTTTTGCAGTAATACACTAGATGGAAATATGGCTCTATTGTATATGGGAATCGCAACGCATGGCGCTACAGCCTGCATGGGAAAGACGAGTAGTAATAGGTTAGCCTAAGCTTTGTTCTTTAGACTCAGTTGGCCTTCGTGTGGCCCGCAGCCGCTTTGTTCGAAATACGAAGTTCAACCCACGTTCAGCCACTGCAGTTCACCATCTCGACCTTTTCAGTCGCACCGACTCAGATCAGCTCACGAAGTTCACAAAGATGAATTCTTTTATCCGAAACCAAAGTCAAACTACATCCTTAAAAGCCACAACTTCGTACGAGGTCGCGATAATGACGATTTGGCAAATCTATGTCCTCTTGTGCCTCGTCTTTACGTATTTCGTTGTTTTCTCGGTGCTCGAAACTGGCCTCCCGAGCTGCCAGACTCGGTCGTTTTACATACCAGCCTCGCAAGTTTAATGACTAAGTAGATGTTACTACCCATCTCCTTGCTCCACCTCGTTGCTGAGATGAGATAAAGTTTGATTTGATTCGATTTGATACTCATTATTCCCATGATTACCCTACGGGCATGTAGCGCCTAGAAAGGATAATCGCTGGTTATTAAAGATAACTGTATTCCCAGAGAAGGCAAGCAAGTTATAGGGAGACAGAAGGTTAGGTGGGCAGATGAGATTAAGAAGTTTGCGGGTATAAATTGGCAGCACCAAGCACAGGACCGAGTTAACTGATGGAACATGGGAGAAGCCTTTGTCCTGCAGTGGACGTAGTCAGGCTGATGATAATGATTATGATTCCCATGGTGGCTGAACGTCTCTGTGGATGAACCGGTGGCGAAGCCAGGGAGTGGCACACTGGCCCCATGGACCTCTCCCCCCTCCTCCACCCCAATTTTTTTTCGTCCGTGGCATACAAAACACGAAGTGACACTCGGGCACATCTGCCTGCTCGGCCTCCACTTCAGATCACAGTAGCAAGACCCTTCCCACCACCCCCCAAGAAAAATTCTGCCTACGCCTCTTGGCTAGAATAAAGAAGTGAGGATACTTGTACGCCTTATCTTCCTTTTACGTTGTACTTTATTGTAAATTCTTTAGAAAGAAGAGCTGTGCAGGCTCAAGATGATTACCAACTAAAAAAAATCGGAAAAGAAAAAAAACTCACTCTGCGTCCCGGATTAGTTCGGTAGCGTCCCATTTTTCTCGAAACTGAACCGCCTTCGGCAGCTTGCTGTGTGAATGCGCATGGCTATGCGCATGGACGCAAGATGAAACTATCGTGACACACAGGGCCCAGTACAAGATGAAGTTACAGCGACGCCCTGTAGTTACGGGAGCATCCATCGCCAGAAGCGACTTGGAGAGCATCAACTGAACCGGCACAACGGAGTGTACACGTGTACTAGTCTGGACCTTACGGTACAAGCACGGGCCTATCGTAAGTACACTTACCTTTTTTTTTGCTTTTTGTGGTGTTTTACTCCGTGTTCTTATCGCTACACTTTGACATCAAGCACAGGCAGTGCCGGGTGACATATCGTTACGCGAAGCAGCTGCGGCTCTCTGGCAGTCACTGGTGCGGTCTGTCTGTACGATGGACTAATTAATACTCGAAAAAATACTCAAACAAAAAGACAAGAACCTGCGTAAATAGAAGAAGGTGAGCAATGCAAAAGTAATAGACACATAAATACAGAGCTATAGGACTAAAAATTGCTTCCCTTGGTGCACGCGTCAGTGCATCACACATGGATGTTTCGCACATGGATGTTTTGTCTCACGTGTATACGATCAGGGGAAATTACGGAGTTTAAACTGAGTATTTATTGACCTTGCAGGTGAATGACGATGCTTCGGTTTATTAGTGAACAGTTTGCCCATATGACTACATGGCTGCCCTGATTTCCGGGTATGAGATGAAGCCATCTTGGTTTACATCCGACTTCAAGGCGGCGTCCACGTAACCTGAAAAATTGAAAAAAAAAAGCGAGCATTAGATAACGCCGTATACCGGACGATCTCGGTTATCCTAGTCCAACTGGTGTGAAACTAAATCTAAGCACAAGGATGCACCCATTGCGGCCGAAAATCGAACCCACATTTTCGAGTTTAGACTAAATATGACACCTCAGCGAAACTGAAGCCACCATTCGGTAGTACACGGAGGTACCGATGTGGTACCATGTTGGAGGCTTCTGTGCTAATTGTAGTGATGTTGATGCTATAAGTATTTGCTTGCATCTGCTGATGATCTGAATTTATCGTAATCCACCCGAACACTTTGGGTCTTCAGAAACCTACTGGACCACGCTGAAATGGTGCCACTCTGTTTCGCGCTTTCAAGTCTGGGAGTGGATTCCCCGATGTCATTCTCCTTTCGAATCGAAATGTCTGACAACCCTTTTTGTGACAAGTGTGGTAGTGAGAAGACATTACAGCACATCTGCGACTGTCCTCACTACAATGCGCCGAGAGAATCATTCTAAACCATTCTAGCTCGTATGGATTACTGATCGATGACGGCAAAACCATTCTGGAATGTCGATCGCGCTGAGCGGCCAACGCGGCAGAAGGCGACGAACGCACTGCTCAACTTCTTGAAGACAACAGACTGGCACCGGTGGTTATAGACTTATGGTGATGTCACGACTACGAGGTGTGACTGAGTGTCCATGGTTTCCTCCTCCTTTTGCTCCCTCTTTCTCCATATTCAAAGCTCCCCCACACATCCCCCCCCCCCCTGTGTAGGGTATCATACCAGTCCTTCTAGACTGGTTAACATGCCTGTTTTTTTTTCCCTCCCGTTCCTTCCTTCTTTCCTATCGGTACACGAGAAAGGCGAGCCGAGTGCGTAAATTATGGCAGAGCACGCTCCACAAACGGGACGGTGGACACGCAGGACACTGTGCTGACGAAGTGTGTAGAACCTGTGTGCGCGGTCGGCATTGCGTGGTGACATCGTTGACACTTGTGTGTAAAGAACTGTCACAATAAAAGCGGAGCTTCAAGCCCATCATCGAGTCATGCGCCAGTTGGTATAGCTTCTGAATAAGAATTATCCAAGGCGATAAACTTGCTCCTTCCGTTTTCAGCAGGACGAGTAAACCATTTATAGCCATCCGAATACAATGGCACAGTGTGCGGATGCTCGCCGACTCACCCAAGCGTGAACCTCTGTAGCAGTGTACGACAATTGTGAAGATAATTTAGAGCACGGCATGAGGCGCCGCAACGACGGTAAATATGGACGTGCTGCTCCTCCATTTCAAAGCGTGCGTCACAAGAGGCACTGCACAGCCATACAAATTGTACATCTGACTGTAAATTTTTGCCTCCTTGGTGTCTATTTTCCAAACATACTGCACTCGTGTCATCACCATGGAAGCCAGCTGAGTATAGAATCATTACTGAAAAACTCTCAGAATTCATGCATCTAGCACATGTGAAAAGTGTACGCGAGACGCGTTAACTGCTCCGACAATACGTGTAGACTGGTATTTTATGGTACAGCCTTCAAACTTGTAATCGTAAAAACAATATAGGCGAATAAAATTTGTGCTCCTTTCAATCGCTAGGATTCTGACAGATGTCTTGCAATAGAAACACGATGCAGCCAAACTATTTCGCGATGTTGATACATCGCTTGCGTAGTACCCGACGTGCTAGCGATAGCACGTGCAACGTCAAGTGTAGTAGCCCTTTGTCAATTTCTCGTTGTCATATTGCAAATGCAAATGACACACGCACCTGCATACTCCGATAACATTCGACATTCCGTATGGCCACATGAGCGCCGCGCTTAGCTAGAGTGTACTAGAAAGGTTTTATAGTACACTCTAGCTTAGCCTTGAACAAGAATATGCCCAGGACGGGCGCCAGAGGGCAGTAGATTTCGCATAAAACTGTCTTAAAGAGCATTGTTCAACGGTGTTACAAGCTTTGCAAGCATAGATGTTCGGTAAAATAAAATGCGCGTGATTTGAACAATTCTACACAACGCCTTATCTTCATGCTAAAAATGACTGCGAATAGAATTCCATTGATGATGATGATACATGGTGTTTTTGGCGCAAGGGCCATTCGATGGCCAAAGAGCGCCAGTTCATGGGACAAGGAATGTGGACAATGATTGTGATTAGCGGCTGTATAAGGGCCATAAAATTCCTCGCGGTAAGGCGGGTAAGAATATACAAGTAATAAAATCATGACCATGCCGTGAAAGGTGTGTGTGGTGTGAATAGATGACAAAAGTTGGTGATAATAAAAGACGATGGTGGATATGTATGGCATTAGCACAAGTGCCTCACTCGTTCATACCCTTGCGTCCAAGGGCCGTGAGGCAAGTCTTTCTTGTGTAGCCACCGCAGCGAAAACCTCTCTGGAGAGGTCGTGCTACGGAATGCCCGGGTATATGATATGAAAACTATGAATTTCTTTTAAAAACGCTAACAATGATTTATGACTAAAAAGCGGTTCCCTACCGACGAACATTGCAGGGTGTAAAGGTATATGTTGTCGGTAGGGTAATGGAAAGTGTTGTTTTCTTATAGTGTCCAATTGGTTGCACTGAATTAAAATGTGAAGAACTGTTAGTGCTTCACCACATCTGTCACACAATGGTGGATCGCCACCGGACAAAAGATATGAGTGTGTCGTGTATGTGTGTCCTATCCTGAGTCTCGTTAATGTTACCTGTGTATGACGCGATTTTGATACTGGTGGCCAATGGACAAGGTGTGGCTTGATAACGTGTAGTTTGTTTTGTATGTGTCTATCCCACTTGCTCTGCCAGTAGTCTCTGAGCTTTCGTTTGAGAGACGGCTTAAGATCAAGGGCCGGGATTGATATGGGTGTAGTGGCGGTGCTTTTGTGGACGGATGCAGCGAGCTGATCCGCCCTCACGTTGCCTTGAATCTCACGGTGCCCTGGCACCCAGCACACTACAACATGTTGTTTGAGTGTGTAGAGTGTGCACAACATGGAGTAAAGTGAGACGAGGACTGGGTTTTTGTGTTTTTTAAGAGTGCGCAGAGCCGTTACCACACTGAAGGAGTCCGTATAAATTACTGCTTTTTGTATTTGTAATTGCTTGATGTGTTAGCCACCACAAGTATCGCGTAGGCGTCCGCTGTGAAGATACTTGTGCCTGGATGTAGAGGGCCAGCATCCGAAAAGGATGGGCCGACAGCAGCGAAGGACACGGAGGAGTTAGATTTGGAGGCATCTGTGAAGAACTTAGGACGTGTGTATTTGTGTTGAAGTTCCAGGAAGTATGTTCGTATATGGGCAATAGGCGCATGTTTTGTAACTTCTAGAAAAGACACATCGCAGTCTATAGTCTGCCATTGCCACGGTGGCGGGTATGCTACAGGAGCCATTAAACTGTGTTCAAGTGAGACTCCAGTTTCCTCGGCTAGACTCTTCAGGTGAACTGAAAAGGGCTGCCTCATCGAAGGCCTGTTTTGAAACAGAATTGAGCTCGACAAATCATCAATAGTAGAGAATGAGGGGTGCTTTTTATCTGCTTTCACCTTAAGGAAATAAACAAAGGACATGTAAGTTCTCTGCAGATGAAGCGACCACTCATTTGACTCGACATAAAGGCTTTCTACGGGGCTGGTGTGAAAAGCACCCGTAGAAAGGCGGATGCCCAAATTGTGCACGGGGTCCAGCATCTTCAAAGCACTTTGAGTCGCAGACTGATAAACAACGGCCCCATAATCTAAGCGGGTGCGAATGAGGCTTCTATATAGGTTCATGAGACACTGCCTGTGACTACCCCAGCTAGTACGTGACAACACTTAAAACATTCATGGCTTTCAAACATTTTGTTTTTAGATACTTGATGTGCGGTACAGAGGTCAACTTGTTGTCCCAAGATTAATCCTAAGAATTTATGCTCCGTATTAACAGACAGACGTTGACCGTTCAGTTCAATGCCGGGTTCTGAGTGGATGCCTCTCTTTCAGGAGAACAAGACACACGTGCTTTTTTGTGGGTTCAGTCGGAATCCGTTTTCCTCTGCCCATTTGGAGACATTGTTTAAACCTAACTGAACCTGCCGCTCACACATTGCCAGATTGCAAGATCTAAAGCCAAGCTGGACGTCATCTACATACGTACAATAAAACATAGTGCGAGAAATGGACAAGCGCAAGGAATTCATTTTGATGAGAAAAAGTGTGCAGCTAAGTACACCACCTTGTGGCACGCCTCTTTCCGGGACAAATGTTTGGGAAAGAACCGTGCCCACTCGGACACGGAATGTCCGGTTTGACAGGTAATTTTCGATTATGTGAAACATTCTTCCACGCATGCCAAGGTGGGACAGGTCTCTTAGAATTCCAAAACGCCATGTTGTATCATAAGCCTTTTCAATGTCGAGGAATACAAAGAGAAAATATTGTTTCTGGACGAAGGCGTCCCTGATCTGTGCCTCGATACGAACAAGGTGGTCTGTGGTGGATCTACTTTCTCGAAACCCGCACTGAAATGGGTCGAGCAAATTGTTTGTTTCAAGGATATGTACAAGTCGGCAGTTTATCATTTTTTCAAAGACTTTGCACATGCAGCCTGTAAGTGCAATATGCCTATAACTCGAAGGTAAAGAAGGGTCCTTGCCCTCTTTCAAAATGGGAATAATAGCCTCTTTCCAGGAGGTAGGGATATTGCCAGAAAACCAGATAGCATTGTACAAACAAAGTAAGGTTTTTCGTGTTTCGATTGGTAGGTTTTTTAACATTTCAGACACCACACGGTCAGAACCTGGGGCAGAAGTACTGCAGGAGTTTAGAGACGTTCGCAGCTCAGCTAGACTGAAAGCTTGGTTATATGCCTCGTATCTAGTGCATTTGTGCTCGAGTTTCTGCTTTTCTATTCTTGTTCTGTATTTTTGGAAAGTGTCAGTATAGTGGGATGAGCTGGACACCTGTTCGAAGTGTGCACCAAGAAAGTTTTCCTGATCTTCCAAGGTATCGCCCTGAGTGTTTACGAGTGGAAGTGTGTGTACTTGTTTTCCTGCTATCCTACCGACCATGTTCCAGACTTCAGCCTCCTGTGTGTATGAATTGATCCCTGACAAAAACTTCTGCCAGCTTTCTCTTCTGGCCTGCCGACGCGTTATCCTGCCTTGAGACTATTTTCTTGAAGGTGTCAAGATTTCCGGCTGTCGGTGAGTTCCGAAGCAGCCTCCAAGCTCTGTTTTGCTGTTTGCGTGCGTTTCGGCATTCAGAGTTCCACCATGGCACACGCCGTTTTCCAGGGTGTCCATTTGTTTGTGGGATGCATTTTGCTGCAGCATCAATCAAAAACGCTGTGAAGTAGTTGACAGCAACATCAATGTTCAAAGAACATATGTCATTCCAACCTATACGAGCGATGGTATAAAACTGTTCCCAGTCGGCTCTATTTATGAGCCACTTGGGAACACGTGGTGGGCACTCAGTTACTGTAGTTGTGCTCAAAAGTACGGGGAAGTGGTCACTTCCGTACAGATTACTGACGACTTTCCACTGGAGTAGAGGCACAAGAGATGGAGATACTATGCTTAGGTCTATGGAGGAGTAGGTGTTATTAGCGAGATTATAATAGGTTGGTTCATTTCGATTTAAGAGACACGCGCTCGACGAGAGAAGGAACTGTTCGATCAGTCGACCTCGCGCGTCATACCGAGAGTCACCCCATAGCCTGCTATGCGCATTAAAGTCTCCAAGGAGAACATAAGGCTCCGGAAGTTCATCAATTAGAGAGTGTAAATCACGTTTTTGCAGCTGATAGCTAGGAGAAATGTAAATAGTGCAGATTGTGATCAGTTTATCAAAAAGAACTGCTCGAACAGCCACTGCCTCAAGGGATGTTTGGAGTTGTAAGTGTGTGCATGCCATTCCTTGATTCACTATGATGGCAACACCTCCGGATGATGTCATGGCATCAACACCGTCCTTTCGGAAAATAACGTATTTACGAAGAAAATTTGTGTGTTTTGAATTGAGGTGTGTTTCTTGTACACACAGCACTTTTGGTGAGTGTTCGTGTAAGAGTTCTTGGATGTCGTCAAGGTTTCTGAGAAGGCCCCTGACGTTCCATTGTATAATTTGAGTGTTCATGGTGAATGTAAAATAGTGCTGTGTGTACGAAAAGCGAGTGGCTGTTTAGACAAGGAGTTTGAGTTCACTTAACAGGGCCGTCACCAGGCCCTGTTATCTGCTTTTTTGTTTTCTTGGCGTGCTCCAAGGAGCCACGTCGCTCTTTCGGTACCAAGGGTACCGAAAGGGTACCATTGCCTCTTCAGAGGCACTGGGTGCCCGCACATGCGAGCTGGTGGTTCGTATTTTAGGCCTCGCCTGGTGAGGAGAGGCTTTGAGACCAGAGGACTCTGGAGTCTCCGGCCTTGATTCGCTAGGAGGCGGAGTAAACTGAACTACTGCCGCCTTGGGGGCAGGCGCCACAGCCGACGGCTCGCTCTGCGCTGGCCGAAGGGGTGGCGAGGGCTGGTGCGGCGTTGCCCCCTGACGCGCCGCATCAGCACATGTAGCGCCGTAAAATGGCGACACTCTTCGTCTTGCTTCTTTGAATGTGATATTTTCTTTAATTTTCAATGTGATAATTTCTTTTTTTTTCCAAAATCAGCAAGACCGTGAGTATGCGGCATGATTTCCGCCACAGTTCACACAGTGTGATGGTTCTTCGCAATTGTCAGAATTGTGGCCTGACACTCCACATTGTGCACAAGTTTGGTGACCACGACATCTTTGTGAGCCGTGGCTATACTTCTGGCATTTAAAACAACATCGTGGGTTAGGTATGTATGGTCTGATCGACGTCTTCGTGTACCCTGTTTGAATACTTTCTGGCAGATTACTGGAAGCGAACGTGAGTATTAGGTGTTTCGTCGGTGTTACCTTGTTGTCTCTTCTAATGGTGATTCTTTGTACATTGGCCCCATTCTGACTCTTCCACCCCTCCAGAAGTTCCTCTTCGGTCAAGCCGAGCAAATCAGCATCAGATACTACTCCACGGGTTGTGTTCATAGATCTGTGTGGCGTTACAGTGATGGGAGTGTCACCAAAAGTTGAAAGATTCTGTAGCTTTTCAAACTGTTCTTTTTCTCGAACTTCAAGGAGGAGGTCTCCGCTGGCCATTTTGGTAACATTGTACCCGGCTCCGAAAGTTTCTGTGAGACATCTGGCTACTACAAAGAGGGATACAGTTCTGGCTTGCTTGCTGCTTATCTCACTATGTATAGCATGAAAATGGGGAAAGTTTTCATTTGATCGATTGAAAAATCCTAAGTCTTCGGTGCGTACGCGCTTTAAGGCGGTATGATCACTTAACAAGGGAAACGCTCTATGCATTCCAGTTTAATTTTCTTCAGAAGCGTTGGCGGCCACCCACCACGGAGCCCAACGAGGGGACGCTACAAGTTTGCGGATGCTGAAAACTGCAGACGCCAGCCGTACAACGTCACTATAACCCAATGCGCCTAGACCAAGGTAGGCTATGTGCACAGGGTAACCCTAGCCGCCAGGAAGTTTGGAAGTAAACGGAAGAGAGTAGAAGATTGGATTGGATTGGATAAACTTTTATTAAGAGAGTAGAAGACAGGACAGATAAATAGTAAGAGTTATAGACGAAGATGTAGGGAGAGAGAGATAGGAAAAGGCGACTGCCGATTTCCCCTGGGTGGGTCAGCCCAGGGGTGCCGTCTACGTGAAGCCGGGGCCAAAGGGGTGTGTTGCCTCTGCCGGGGGGCCTTAACGGTCCAATCACCCAGCGTCGGCTCAACCCCCAGGATCCCTTTTTCCCCGGACACGGCAAAGCCACGCACGGCTAGGCGTGGGAGGGAGTAGAAACTCCCCCGTTAGCTCGGGTCCGTGGTGTCGCTACACACCAAACGCCTACTTGCGCAGGCGGCCCTGCGGGATATAGAATTCCATTCGAAAATATTAATCTAACGAAGGAAAATAAAAGGGGACAATATTTGTTGTTTATGAAATGTGAAGCATTACTGAGCGAAACAGACACTTTGACCATTCATATCTATCTATCTATCTATCTATCTATCTATCTATCTATCTATCTATCTATCTATCTATCTATCTATCTATCTATCTATCTATCTATCTATCTATCTATCTATCTATCTATCTATCTATCTATCTATCACCAAAGTTTTCGATGGTAATAATGTATGATGAACGCGATGAACAGGTCATTACATTTACTGCATGAAGTAATCGTAGCGTACGTCACAAAACCATTCGCTTCAGTCACGTGAGTCACATATCCGCCCACCACAGCCCACGGAATGCGGGCATGAGCCACCGCCTGTAATTCCCCGTTCGTATCAACCAAGACATTTTGATAAGCGACTTTCAAAAATCTATATGTGATCATGTTGCAGAGCTTGTGCTGAGAGCTAGACAGTGCTTGAAACTGCTCGACAAAAAACATTTAATGACTTCATATTGCAGCATCGTCAACTGCAGTTTCAGCGTTTAATCGGTATTTGTAACAACATACATATTTCCCATGAATCGCCAAGCTATTGGTCAACTATTGCTCAACCGGAGGATTACGGCGAATACCACTTCTTGTGGTGGGCCCATCATCACACTGCATCGTGCAGTTCTATTTCATAAAGCTGACATATGTGCTCCAAGGTTAGTTTAGTGACGTCATGTTGGGCCATATCATGTGGGTGTCAGCGTAGCCAACGTGTCTTGTTAACGCAGAATTGTTCACTTGCCGGGAGAAAGGGGGAGGTGGGGAGTGCCGTAGGAGCCCGTATTCACACTTTCCTCAAAACAAGCGTTTGAATATATATATATATAGCCAAGGCCTCCATCAAACGCTCTCCTTTTCCTCTACCTCCCACTATCACCGGAAAAGTATTTCTCTCGCTACAAACCTCCCTACCATATACAAAGAACTATTCAAAACGCAGGGAGAAGTCATTCCAACTCTCAACGCTTGACTCGAAGAAAATTTTTGGAAATCTGTTATAGGCCTTTAATGGCATACTGCTTCACATCACATCGACTCCCAGAATGAGTAGTGTCTGCTGATTTTTTTTAACTGTAGTGTAGCAATTATGACAAATTGAGGGAAGAAGCAGGATAAGCACCGTTTTTTTATTATGGGATTCGAACCCACAACCTTGAAATTACGCAAAGATCTGTTTTTTTATGGCTTGTGTCATACAGAAAATAAAGCCCCTTCTTTCGCTAATCCTAAATGAATAACAAAATATATACTCCAAAACTTGTGCCAAGAAATGTGGTAAAGGCTGGTTCACGTAAGAATTCGTTAGGTCATTCGAGAATGGAAGGGCTAAATTAAGACAAATCCGCGAGTCACTTATCGTTCTTATTGAGGTGGTGGTGGCGGTTGTTGCGATGTTGCAGCAGGAAAGGTTAGCCTGCCTTACATGGCCGACAGTTGTTCCTCCTGAGCACCCCCTTAGTTTTAGGTGTCCATCACACCGGCGAAGCATGAACGCATTAGCGTGAAGTTTCCCTCCGACAAACTTGATAAAATGCGCTTACTGTTGCCTCCGAGATTTGCTGGGCACATATCTTGAAGGTCACGCTTGTACACTCACTTGCGATCGCTTCTTCGGGCACGGAGGTCTGGCCGCCAGGATGGTGGGCGATGGTGTGCAGCATGGCGACCTTCAACTCGTGGCCGTCCAGCAAATTGTTTTCGTCGAAATCGTGCATCCTGCAAGTACGGCACCACATTCGCAAACTTCCGATCTTTGAATGGCTGACGTCACTGAAGCCGCCTTGCAGGGTTACAGCATGGTTGGTGGCAAACGTTGTGACGGCCGCAAATCTAGTCAGTACACACACATGCAGGCTCATACGTTATACATGTATAGATGTTGACAATGTTACGGGGGCGTCGTTATCGTATGTAAGCAGTTAAAGAGTAACATGATTTATGCTGCCCTTACGCCATGAAAAACTGCCACGTTCACGACCTGTACGTCATAAAGCTGAGTCCATGTTGTCACGTGCAAGCTATTTACAGAAGAACAACTAGGTTGACAATGGCTGTAAGCTGACGACTTCCTAATAATAATGTCTGGGTCTTGCGTCCCAAAACGACGACATATGACTATGAATGGCTCCGGATATTTTGACCATCTGGCGTTCTTTGACGTGCAATGACATCGCACACCACACGGGCCTGAACCATTTGGCCTCCACCGAAATGTAGCCACCACAGACGGAATCGAACCCGCTACCTTCGGGTCAGCTGACGTGCACCTGTAGCTACTCATCTGCGGTGAACCTGATGACTTCATCGGAACAATCAGAGAAGGATTGCAAAAAAAAATGACCGGCAATAATATAACCTGTTTTTTTTTTTCTTGTGAGCCAAAACTATGATATCATTATGAGGCACATTGCAGAGGAGGACTCCACAAATGTGGTGTTCTTTACATTAACTGGCTTCGCAGTGTACGCGAACCTATAGCATACCGCGAGAGTCGCATAGAAGTTAAACTCGCGACTTTAGGATCATGACAGCCGAGTGCCCTAACCACTGTACCACCGAGGTGGACACAAAGTCGACTTGAGATGAACCAAACTCAGCTCGTAGCATCGTCTTTAAAGGGACAATAATGAAAAAGCAGCTGCAGACACGTACTAGTATAGTGCCTTTGTGGTCTGCGGATATACTTTATTCTTACAGCTAAAAGACAGTGTAAGCCAAACATGACCCGAAAGTGAACGGCAGGTGGCCTGTGCCGCTTAGATACAAGTTCTTGCACGAGACATTCATACATGACGTCAATAGTTTTGGCGGTGTTGGCAGCTATAACGGTATTAACTGTAAGAATGACACTTCTTGCCGTAAAATGCCGGTAAACTTTTTTATATACTCTGCGTCTGCCTATCACATCGTGGTTAGTCACCCACATCAAGCAGGTCCTATTAATTACTAGCTACGTAAATACTGCCGTTTCATTCGAGTCAGAGCTTACCTGAAATAATAAAAGTACACTTCATCCTGGGACAGCTCTCCGGTGCTCTGAAGATGAAGCAGTTTCGCCACATCTTGTTTAATGTGCCTGAACCAGGGAAGAAAGACGTCTGATTATCAGTTCGTGTGAAGACCAAGTTTCTGTGAGTTGCGCACAGCGAATTTTCAGCGGGCTACTGTTAGCGGTACGATTTAAATACATAACTATAGTGGAACTAAAACACGAAAAAAAACTGCAGAGAAATGGGCTAGTTGGCACGCAGTCATTTTGAAAAAAAAAACAAAAAAAACAGGGCCTGCAAAAATGAACACAAGGAAGTCTGGACACCACGCGCGCCTGAAGAAGCACACAATGACCAAAAAAAAAAATAATAAGATCGCACGAAAACTTATCTGCGCATACCCACGCAACATGCGAGGCTACGTATCTAGCACGCGTGCTGATTTCACGTGAGAGATAAGTGTTAAAGCGTTTGATTTCAGCTTCATTCAAGTTAATCGACGGTTAACTCAAGCATGCGCCACCGCTATTTATCGCTATGTCATGCCTCAATCACCTGGTGCGTTTCTTCATTCCTATTCCAGTGTAAAACTGCACATTCGTCGAATGTTGGCGTGCACATTCACACTCTGGACGTGTGAAGGAAGATTCGAAGGTGTACCTCTACGGTTAGCGATTTCTGATGTTTCAATAACCATGCATGCAGTGGTCCGTCTGTCCTGCATAAGAGCGACCACAGCTGAAAGCAACCTTAGTGAAAACATGTGGCGTTTAACGTGCCGAAACCACCCTATGATTATGAGAGACGTCGTAGTGGAGGGTTCGGGAAATATTCACTACCTGGCGTTCTTTCAACGTGCACCTAAATCTGAGCACGCGCTGAAAGTGGCCTTGTATACTTTGCTTGTACGGTAATCGATGAACTTGTTGATGTTATTTACTAAACACATATCCATCTGCTTTGTTTTTGTTGCGTGATTTAGGGAGATGCTGGCGCACAAATAGGTCGCAGGCTACTCTTTATCCCATCGAGGTGTCTAACATAGAGCAAGGGTCCAAGACTCCAAGCGTAAGAAGTCCACAGCACACATAATATACAATTTAGCATAACAGTTAAGACATGAGATTTCAAAGCAACGTATTCAGCAATCATATGTGTGCATATACGGTGATGTTAACAAACTGATCTTTCACTCGCACATACTTTCTCTGCACAGCGGCACAAATCTCACCTAGCTTACTGGCAGCCGTAAAAACAACATCAACGTCGTATCTGAATCCTACTTTTTTTTTTTAGCCAGAGAGATGTACGGTATACCTACACGACAGGTTTTCTCTTGTAGCTCAATTGCTCCAACCCTGCTTGTATTTAACATAACGAACTTCTTTAACGGAAACACTAAATGTGGTCACTGTCACTGAACGTTCAAGTTCATTATGTCAAGTCGAAGCATGGTTGCAGAAAGAGATCGGACGAAACGTGTCGTAGGTATAGCATACATTCATTGCGTATTTCACAGGCAAAAAAAAAAAAAAGTAGAAAGCAGATAGGACTATAACTTCTTTATGGCTGCGTGTAAGCTAGATATGATTTGTGCCACTGTGCACAGAAATATAAAAATAATGAGCGAGTAAAGGGCAAGAAGTGGACCGATATTTGCTTCATGAAACACACCTACTACTTCACTGATTGCCGTACAAGTGTAGTATATAAGGGTCCTTTCAGCAGTTAGGCACCGGAAACGACGAAAAAATGGTTCGGACCATGCTTAGAACATACCCGCTGCAAGCACACACGACTCTAACGTCAGTGTGGTGCTTACACAAGACTGTATGCAAATGATAGGTTAGTGCAGACCTGCCTAAATTGTCATTCTGCTTTGAAATAGTTTGTTGACACCGTGAACCTATCGAGTATAGAGTGTTTTAAGATAAACTATTCCAGACGATCATCTATGCAACCATGGGTGTATAGTTTTGCTGCGGTTACAAAGCTTCAGTTTCACTAAAGTGTGAAAGTGTCATGCTTAAGAAGTATACGCCACAGAAACCTAATGATAGGGTTTTAAGTACAAAAACTACAATACATTTATGATGCACGCCATTTTTATGGGGACATCAGATTGATTTTGATTGACTGGAATTCACCAACGTTCGCCTAAATTCGTTCATACAATGATGTTGCTTCCATCTAAGGGCGACCACCGTGGGCAGGAACCAAACCTGCGACCAAGAGCCCAACGGTGTGACAGTTTTTCTGCTAAGCTGTTCTGACAGGTGTAAAAAAATGTGTGAATTGAAAATTATGCATATACTTGTACTGTCCACCGCTGACATGGTATGTACGAATGATTGAAATACCACAATGGTACAGTGATTATGGTTCTCGGCTGCTGACCCGGTAATTTTGCGGGTTCGACCTCGGCCACGGTGTTTGCATTTCGATGAAGACATAATGTGAGAGATCAGTGTATACTGTGCGATACATCTGTGCACGTTAAAGAACACAAGGTGTTTATTTATTTTTATTTCTTTATTTATTTGAGCTGCGGATGACGAGAAGAAGACGATACAAGGACCACAGGACCACCTGTCCTGTAGTCTGTGTATTAACACGATGGCGTCAAAGAGCTCCTTTCGCGGAAATTACGGCAGTGTCGGCGTCGTCGGTTGTGAGCGAAAAAAAAAGAGTCATCCGCTTATGCGTGACCGAAAAATTGAGAACTATGCAAATTGAATAAATAAACGATAAAATCATGGAGCAGAGTTGGAACCGAACCAGGGTTGTTTGGGTCCAAGTGGGGATGGAACCCAGGTCGTTTGCGTGCCGTGCGGATGCTCTACCACGCGACCATGCCTCTTTTTTTTTTCTTTAATGCATGAAATCATCACCATTAAAGTACACACAACATACTTCATCAAAAGTCAGGCAAACACACACAGGCGTCAAGAACGGGAAGCCGCGCCTCTCGTTTTTTTTTTTTTTTTTTTCCCTTGTGAACACATTTAAAAGAACTTTCTCTGCTTGGAAGTGCGGTGAAAGTAGCTTTCATGCTTCACAAACTCTCGTGTCCTGTATGCATGCTTCACAATTCAACATGAAATATTGCAGTAATATTGCGTGGTAGAAGCCTACATTACCAATGGGCGTCAAAATATGCGATTATCATAATGGTTCTGTGGTTGAAAGCCGGTACCCCACTACTAAAGGCACAGACGCTACTGCGCCTATTGCTTTAAAGCGACGTAGTGGGTGCATAGCAAGCTCAAAAAGGTTTTCATGCACTGTGTTTGAAGCACGCACTAGGAACAGGATGTCACTATCACGTTCAACTCCTAAAGGCGAAACATTAGGGTCCACTAATTTTTTGTCTCGCCATCCGCAACGCAAGAAATAACAATAATGAAGGAAGCAAAAACCGTCACCCTTCACTAACTAACCCAATTTATCACTCTGCTGAACACAAGGTGGTCGAAATTTCCGAAACAATTCACTTCGGCGTGCCTCGTAATCACGCCGTGGTTTCGGCCCGCAAAACCACAGCTAATACTGTTAGCTGAATGATTGAACTTCTATCACAGTTACGTCTAGCGATTCACGAGAAACCTCTGCAGAAGAGAGATAACCTCAGTAGGAAGGAAAGGCAGCTCGCTTAATCTACACACACTTTCGTCAAGATTAACGCTTCCCTTATCGGAAAGAGTATGTCAGAACAATAACATCGAGGGTTTTATGTGCCGAAACGACGATATAATTATGAGTAACGCCGGGGAGGGCTGCGGAAATTTAGACAGCTTGGTGTTGTTCTTCAAGGTGCACAGATATCGCCCACTACACGGGCCTCCAGTATATTGTCTCCATGAAAATGCAACCGCTGCAGTCAGGATTGAGCGTGCGGCCTTGGGACCAGCAGCCGAACTCCGCGACCAAAAAGTACGGTGGAATATAACGAGACAAAATACAGGATTTAAGATTAATTATCAAAATAACCACTCTACTTACTCTAGATCTCGAACCACCTCCGCTGCAGACCATTTGTTGTGTAGTTCAGCCGCCGCCGCGCTAGAAGGCTTAGGGAGGTGCTGGAACGTTGAGTCGACGTGTGCGACAACGACCCACGTGTAGGACAGAAGCGCGGCGCAGCGCAGCAACCAGTTGTAGCCCAGGCCTTCCGTGGGTGCCTTTGTTACTGCACGCCGACGATACATCTGAGAAGTCATTCGCGAACACAGTGGTACGCACAGAACGCGATATAGCACATACGCTACACTTACTCAGTGAACTTTCAAGCAGTGCTCGTATACTGCTTTCCCTGGCTGCTACAGAAGCACTGCGCGTCCGCCAGGTGACGTGGATGTTACGTCATATCGGCTAACGACGCGCATATATAGGTCTTTCCATGTGCGTATCCGGAACGCCTGTCCGCGATGTTCTCAAAGCTGCTGCTGCTTTCTTTTCTTAGTTTGCTTGTTTCCTTTTCTTCTTTTTTTCTGGAAAGGCATTCGCCAACTTAGATGAATATTGAAATCTCGCGGCCTGTGAGCCAGCTGTGCCTTAACAGAATCGCCACGGCCAACAAAAGACGCCTTTGAATTGTCTTTCGTTCCAGTCCCTTCTATGCCCTGATGAGAGTATAGCGGCCATCTGGACGTTCTTCGAAACGCTCGTGGTAGAGTTCGTGCAGAATCTGGTCTCAAGTTGCAATGCGTGTGACTGCTGACACGCCTTGACACACACAAAAAAAACTTATTTTGATACTAAATAATACATTGAACGTAAAGACTACTATATTTCATTATACCTTAGATTTGTTTTAAATAGTTCTGCACGACATTTTAGTTTTTACAGGACAGTGAGCTTTACACAAAGCAACCGAATTAATACTCGGAATCCTATATACATAATCAAGCGTACACGACGGATTCTATTTCTTACGAAACTTTGCAAATTACTCATTTCTTTAGAAATGAGTCCGTTAGCCTATTCGCTTTCTTTATTTTCTTTCTTTTTTTGACGAAGTGGGTATAAGGAGCATTTCTCAAAAATAGAAGCACCAACATCGATTTGCCAAAATGTAGATAACGACAATGAGATGATTAACTTCGAGCAGGTTTCTCGGGAGCAGATAACCACATTCTCTTTCTCAGGCAGGACTTCATGTCACCTCTACTTTGCAACGAGAGATCAAAGCGCAATCTCGACTGCATTAATTGAGAGTGTCTTCATTGTAATAATCGGCAGTAATATATAACCAAAACAGGAAAAAGACAAAGACATGGCAAAATACTTTATTGTGAGCAAAAAACTCGATAAAGTAGTTGTGAAAAGGCACTCGCAAGGCACTTGGAGTCATGAAAAAAAATCTAAATAAAATACGTATGTAGAAATGCAATGGGCGCATGGTGGTATTTCCTATATACAAATGTTTAAGTATGCTGATTGGCGAAGTCGCTTGCCCTTAGTTCTGGATACGAAATATAGCCGTCGTGGTTTTTGTCGGCCAAAAGAGCAGAGTCCACGTAACCTGAAACAAAAGAAAAGAAAGGAAGTTTCGAAACATTCATCGCGTCACGTGTACAGGGTCAGAAAACGCATTTAAGAATATGAAACGAAGGCTAGGAAGGCAGCTGGATCCCCATAAACGTTCATTTAGTTAAGCACTTGATTTGATTGATTGATTTGTGGGGGTTTAGCGTCCCAAAACCACATATGAATATGAGAGACGCCTAGTGGAGGGCTCCGGAAATTTCGACTACCTGGCGTTCTTTAACGTGCACCCAAATCTGAGCACACGGGCCTACAACATTTCCGCCTCCATCGAGAATTCAGCCGCCGTAGCCGGGATTCGATCCCGTGACCTGCGGGTCAGCAGCCGAGTACCTTAGGCACTAGATCACCGCGACGGGGCTAGTTAAGCACTTGAAACGCTGGAGAAGCGTAAGCGTGTCACAGGTCGAGGTCAAAACAAATAGTAGTTTACGTTTCCTTATAGATTAAATTAGTCACAATGAGACCTCGGCTGAGCAGCAGGTTCTTAGAGGGGATGACTTTAAAAGAATACTGACACAAAAAGTTCCAACAGTTTTTTCGCGTCAAATGAAAGACCGGGTCCTCGAGAAGCTGGAAAATATGCTAGTAAACGTGAGTGCACCATAAATATTTAATTAAATGCTGTGAAAGTTAGTTCCGGTTCTTACTGTACCCTGACGTCATAACACGTTATGGACTTCTCATCACGTGCTCACGCATGATATCGTCACGTTTCCACTTATTGGCTCTATTGGTGACGCAAAAGCGGTCAATTTCCATATTTCGCTGCCTGACGTGATCACAACTAGCCACACTAACGTGTGATGTCACCAGAGTTCGCACTGTAGCCTGACGTCACACCGCTAAGTAGGTGCGCCACGTAACATCACGGTATTCCGTTGAGACTTTGAGTATAGTTCCGACACTGGTACATCAAAAGAGAAACTTGGATGCAGGCTTTCCAGAAATAACCTGAATTACTGTGTAATTAAAATCATGCTGATTACATGACTTTTCTGATACGTCCCTAACACACTTTTCATACGTATCCCATATAATTCCTTCAAGCGCTGCACTTCTCGTTAAGCGGTTGACCAGCCCAACACACTGAAAGCAGTTCTAGAGGGCTTCACATTTGGCCAGAAGATGATCACAGCATGAACATTTCAAAAGCTTATGTCCATAGCACAAATATTTACCAGATGCATACGCACCTGATTAAATATAATCTGCTTTTTTCTGCATAAATTGCAAGGTGAAAAACACAACAACGAGTTTTACTGTGGCTAGTAGACACACCGCTACCATTTCGGCAAAATCGCGAGTAGTATACCACTTAAGACAGCATCCTAGAGCAATGACCGCTTCGGTTATGAGGAAGCGTGCAAAGGAAATATGCTCTCATAAAGCTCCATTCCCAATCTGATGACACCGCCGTTGACTGGAGCGTCGTAGAACGCCTGATAATTTCGCACTGTGCGCAAAATGTGCCCCGCCGCGGTGGTCTAGTGGCTAAGGTACTCGGCTGCTGACCCGCAGGGCGCGGGTTCGAATCCCGGCTGCGGCGGCTGCATTTCCGATGGAGGCGGAAATGTTGTAGGCCCGTGTGCTCAGATTTGGGTGCACGTTAAAGAACCCCAGGTGGTCTAAATTTCCAGAGCCCTCCACTACGGCGTCTCTCATAATCATATAGTGGTTTTGGGACGTTAAACCCCACATATGTATGTATGTATGTATGTATGTATGTATGTATGTATGTATGTATGTATGTATGTATGTATGTATGTATGTATGTGCGCAAAATGCAGCCACTTTACACATAATGCGAATGCTATTGCTGTTTTGTTCGCAATACAATGAGACGAGACCGAAGTCTTCACTTCCTTCAAGCTAATTTATGCAGCAGAAGGGTTTTTTTATTTGAACGAGGCTAGCTGGCTTATGAACGTTATGGCAGGACAACGCGGTGTCCTTTGTGTTCACTGTTACATTTCTTAGACTGTTCTTTCATAATGTTATGTAAGATAACACATCTTCATGGACTCCTGAGTAATATAAGTTACACGGCGGGTCATTTAAATTATGTTTACACTTTTAGCTGCGTCCGCATAGGGCCGAAGAACTGTTGAATATGAGAAAGAGCAACCTTTAAAAAGTGTTATAGTAAGATGAATGTTAGTCGGAACAGACGGTGTCTATACTTACTGACGATGTCTGCCTCCGCTATGACTTCCGGCTGGCTATCCACGTGTCCGCCTTCATCGTGGTGGCTAGTGTGGAACATGGCCGCCATCATCTCCTGACCGTCAAGAAGGTTGTTGTTGTCGAAGTCGTGCATCCTGCGGCAGTCCAGTAACAAAGCAGGATGGCATGTGAGCACGTGTATATCTTAAGGACACCTTGCAAATCAAGTACGATCTAAGCCCCAAACACCACCACAACAGCTATAAGTTATTCCTAGATCGGCGCTCTAAACAATAGTTCCAGAGATAGGCCGATTTCGGAAGCACTTTGTAAGCTACCACCATGACGTCATAGAAATGTGTGGGCGTAACTTGATGGCATGCGCACAGTGTCAAGCACATCTAAGTTGATCGATCTTACATTGTAGTTCACTTATTAGCAGTCATAAAAATACTAAAGATATGTGTACATTATCACCTATCTTGAAGGTACCACACCTCATAGGCATTTATGGCTGGAAAGCCACAACAATTATTCGGCTTCACCAGAAATATGGGTTTTTCAAGACGTGTGACCGTAGTGTCGATAAAGAAATTAATAATTTTCAGACATATATAACAAACGTCCACTCCTACGAGACCATCACTACTAGTATTCTGTTCACGATGGCCGTATACACCAATCCTTCTGCAGTGCTGCGTTTGGCACTGAATTCTTAGGTTCTCGTCGGCCCTATACCCTCGACAGTAGAGAGAAGGGCCAGTTCATTATGTAAGCCAGTAGATCGGCAAACTTTCGGATTCAACGCTCTCTAAACGACAAACTCTGCTATCGATTCAACACCTATTTCGCTAAAAAAAGAAACGTTCACATGGGCTATTTCCGTTAAAAACAATTTCTACGGCGTACGTTTTTCACTCGAAACGGTCATTTCACGACGAAAGGGCGTCTTCAGAGTTTGTCAGCGCTATAGCTCAAAAGCTTCATCTGAACAAACGCAGATGCGGGGATAGGCAAGCGCGAATCAATAAACACGTGTTCTCGGTCACACCTGTTCAGTGTTGCAAAAAGCAAAAAAAAAAAATGATGGGAGCCACGCGACAATAACTAGACGTCATATCAACGCATTTTGTTATTATTAGATGTTTGCTAATATCACGACGCTCGTCTTACACCTATATTAAGACTGACATGCGCAGTGTTTCAAACGCGTGAATCAGGTGAAAGCGCACATAACTGCGATAACAAATGTGTCTTTGCTCCCAAACTTGACGCAGTACGTGACTTCGAGCGTCGCGGGATCGAATCCCGGCTGCGGCGGCTGCGTTTCCGATGGAGGCGGAAATGTTGTAGGCCCGTGTGCTCAGATTTGAGTGAACGTTAACGAACCCCAGGTGGTCGAAATTTCCGGAGCCCTCCACTACGATGTATCTCATCCTATGGTGGTTTTGAGACGTTAAACTCCACATATCTATCTATCTATCTATCTATCTATCTATCTATCTATCTATCTATCTATCTATCTATCTATCTATCTATCTATCTATCTATCTATCTGTGACTTCGAGTGATCCTGCATTAACTGCCTTGAAATCAAAAGCCTTTAAGCAAGCCGAAATCTGCAAGCGTCTGAAGTGGGTTCGACCCTGGCGTAGCGGTTGCATTTCGGTGGAGCCGAATGCCGCGTACTGTGCAATGTCAGTTGACGTTAAGGTACACCACGCGGTCTAAACTTCCCGATGCCTGCACTACGGGGTTCATCACAGTCATATCGTAGTTTTGATAAATAAAACATCACATATATTTTAACTATTAATTGTTACAAGTGATTATTAGTGGTACAATCACCGAATGGTACCTTTTTTTTTCTGTAAAGCACTTCTGGTTTAACACTTACTTTTGGTTTTCTGAACGTTTATGTGTCCTAAGAACGAACGTAGCACAAAATCTACGGTTCTGGTTCAAGTTAAGAGTTAAATAAATACATATGATATGGGAGCGTAACTTTACCCAAATATTGTTTAATTAACTCTTAATATACTCATTAAAAATGAATTGAATGAGTACATTGAGTGAAAAAAAAAACAAATTCAGTGGCTCTGAAGCTTCCGAGTCTGCGCACAGCTACATAAGTGGAACCGTTGCGCCACCTGGTTTTGTAAATCTCACCCACGTGCTTCTTTTTACATGGCCTCCGAGATCCGCCTCTACACTGCCACGGAACGCAATGTTAACGCACGGAATACAACAGGGAACGTAAACGCCGATGTGCGAGTACCGATACCAAACATCTAAGTCAAAGATTAGGGTCCCCTCAAACTTTTTCTTCAAATAACTGACTTTAACTAACTGTAAATCTGACTTAATTCTACTAAAGTGATGTTGAATTGCTGGTGTACGACACGTCCCAATAGAACATATCATATCCCACTGAAATGTTCCGCGGCCAATTCCGATTATACCATATGTTTCTTTTTATGAAATACATTGGAGATTCCGTATATTTTACGTATATGTGTCACATACCTCCACAAGGATTGCCGAAAACGCTATAGCCACTGCCACAGAAGAATCAAAGATGTTGTCATAAAAAAAGAACATATTCACATTGGGTACACGGTTCAATGACTCGTGTGCATAACGACATTATTATAACGCACATGCTAGAAAAACAATATGTACTTTGGTGCTTACCTGAAATAATAGAATGACAGCTCGTCTTGTGACATTACACCGGCGTTTCCGAGCTCAATCATCTTCGCAACATCCCTTCTAATGTGACTGTAAACAAAAAGGACACAATAACCTTAAGAGAACGGTAAAGATGATCTTCTGGTACACAACGGTTACGTTATTGTTTTCGGGGTGTTCAGCAGAGGATTAACGTTTGGCTCATTCGTTTTTCATTTTTGCTTATTCAGCAAGAACTAGAATTCATACATATACCTCCAACACAAATATATATATATATATATATATATATATATATATATATATATATATATATATATATATATATATATATATATATATATATATATATATATATATATATATATATATATAGATAGATATATACATGTAAAGAGGCTTATGCATCAAATCTAACACGTATATATAGAACCCAGTTTAGTAAGGCTCTGCGTGCTATTCTCTTAACATCATGTGCCACCAAGAAATTATTTCACCTTCAGAGCTTCATGCAATGATTAAAAAAGAAAAACTGCAGACGCTGTCACGGACACTCATACAACGGCCATATTTCTTCCACCTGCGGCGTGGCTCTGTAGACGATCGAAATGTCAGACACGTCGAAAGCGATTGCGTGGTGTTGCTAATAAAGACGAGGCTATAAATTGTGGGGTGTTTTCATGTTGTTTTTAACCTTTCAAAAGTTCGAACTTCTGAATAGCAGCAACAAGCGGCATGCTGCATATTGAATAAATCGTCGTTCAACGGCGTCGATTCGATGTTTCGGAGAACCTGTATGCAGAGTTTGTAAAACGGAGGCGCCACGTCAGAATGAATCGCTGACGCGATAATTATGTATCGAAGAGTAAACGCATATACCTTCTTCAAACTGCGATGAAGCCGCGTAATTTGCCTTCAAATTCTGCAACAACTACAAACGAGCAAGGTGAATGCATCGGCCAACGCTAAGATTAAAATGCATCTATTAATTCGTTTAGTTTCGATTTCAAGTCGTAGTTCACTTAGAGATACTGCCGCCCCATTAGTACATCCTATGCATCATCCGTTACGGACTGATGTTTCGACATAGATGCTGAAAGCCTGCTAGTGTATCCAAGTTTACAAATGTACGGCTTTCATTCAGTCAACCAAACGATTTTGTAGTTAGCAACACGCGAATCCACTGTTCTCACCAATATAACTTGGTGATCTTAGCAGTATAGCAGGCATAGGCCCGCGCAGGTTTCCCCTTCTTCACAGCGCCCCCCACCCCTCTCTTTTATGCCCATGTATGAGGTAAACATTGCTTCCCCCCCCCCCCCCCCCCCCATTGGCCGCAGCGCACATCCCCTTTTTAAGTGTGAATACACTTTATAAAGCGACCCCAAACCATCCACCGCCGTCGGCGGCGTCCGCAGTCTTCTCTCTATCTTTACAAGAAAGAGGACTTGGCGGGCCGCAGCGCGACGCTCTACCGAATAAGCCACGGACGCGACGCTGATATCGGTGTCAGTAACGCGCCTTATACCCCCTCCCCCTTCGCTCGCTCCTCCGCTCTCCTCGCTCGCTGCAGCTGCGCGCGCACCCTCTCTCTCGCGCGCCCGCGTTCTCTCTCAGTCTCCCGTCGAGAGCGGGTCGTGAGGGGGAGTAAAGTTACAATCCGTTGGCATTCGCCAGTGAGTTAACGTAAACTCCCCCGTGTGATCAAATTGCGATTCCCAGGAACCATTATACCATAAAGGCACCATAGTGTGATTAATAAATATAATAGTGCGAATTAATAAATACCCCTCATAGCATCACCCCGTGTATTCGCACTTAACCATGTTCACCCTCGGGCCCCGCCGCGGTGGTCTAGTGGCTAAGGTACTCGGCTGCTGACCTGCAGGGCGCGGGTTCGAATCCCGGCTGCGGCGGCTGCATTTCCGATGGAGGCGGAAATGTTGTAGGCCCGTGTGCTCAGATTTGGGTGCACGTTAAAGAACCCCAGGTGGTCAAAATTTCCGGAGCCCTCCACTACGGCGTCTCTCATAATCATATAGTGGTTTTGGGACGTTAAACCCCACATATCAATCAATCATGTTCACCCTCGGGGAAATGCTTGGGAGTTTTTTTTTTTTTTTGTCAATGTATGGCGCTGGCTTTGTACTCCTCCCCTTGGTGACTAGGGGGACGCCCCCCTCCTACTTCCCCTCGTGCATGCCTATAGTAGGAGGTACCTGAAGCGCGACACAACTGAATACAATCGTACATGGTCTTCACATTCGCTTATTTTGTCCGATTGTCTTCCTTACCGCGCCTAGAAATGCGATACGTCTTCCGATACACTGGAAGCACCATTGTCGCGGTTGAAAGAATGAAAATAATAGTAGCAGTGACGAATGAAAAGGTACTGCGTTACGACACGTTACGACACCGTCCTGTAATCACAACATTGCCTCGTGAGAAGGTTCAACGCCCCCCCCCCCCCTTACCCCTAAAAAATAATTCATAATTCAATTCAGCATATATATGTATCTATATATACAAACGCATGCACATTGAACACCATCGATCTTGCTACCCCCCCCCCCCCCCCCCCCCCCCCCCCCCCCCCCCCCCCCCAACAAAAAATATATCTGACTACGCCACTGGCGTCAATGTGGCACTCACCCCAAGTCGCGAGCAACTTCCACCGCAGACCACTTCTTGCGTAGCTCAGCCGCTTCACCACCGGCTTTGCTGTCAGGTGGGGGCAGATCTGCCGCCACGACAGCGAACAAAACAGTCGCGCACAAGCTCCAGATCGCGATGGTCTGCATCTTTTTTTTCTCTCTTTCAGCTTCTGTCCCAACCACACACAAAAGAGACAGCTGCAGCACTACGCTCGACGATGCAACGATCGCGCACTGTTAGCAGCAATATCGCTTCCGAGCCGCTACCGCCAGGACACGAACGCTTTGGCAGCGCTGATTCGCCGACCAATATGAAGCGGCCCGAACGTGGCAGCCGTGGCTCAAGATTCACGCGCTTCTCAACGCTGACAGCAGCTGCCGAAGTTAAGGAGACGAACGCCACGCAGGCATCGGGGCGGGCCACGTGGTGAAATGGGCGCGCGACGCGCACGCAGGAATATGCACACACGATCACCGAGGCAAACACACGTGGAGTTCACCCACTGGAAGACAAGCGTCAGCGTCTTTGACGCGCGTCTGTTTCGAGTGCAAGCGATAGACGGCTCTCTGCCCACCGTCATTTTTTTTTTTTTTTCCTTCCTTTCTTAGAGGGAGCACCCCGAAAGACGAAACTCGCGAGTAGAGAAAGAGAGGTATGAAGGAGAGGAGAAGATAGCGAAGAGAGCATAAACGGCGCTTTCTTGTGTCTCCGGCCTTCAACCGCGCAGCCCGCTGACAATCCTTCATGGGAGCCTTCTCTTCCTCCGATAGGGAATGACGTCGGTGCCAGCCGTCGCGACAGTTGTGAAAACAGCGAGCGTAGGCGCAGCTGGAGAACGTCTGCTTGATTGGCTTCGGCCCAGGCTGCAACTCTGGATACGGGCGCGGCTCCGGCTGCGAGAGGCGGAATTCTTTGAACGCAGCAGCCATAGCCATGTAGGACGGGCTCGTTGTTTAGTTATCGCCAAGCATGCCGATATAATTGTCGGGCTTTTACGTGACAAAACCACACTTTGATTTTGGGGGACGCCGTACTAGAGAGATCTGGAAGTTTGGCCACCTGGGTTTCTTTAACGTGCACCTAAATCTAAGTATACGGACATCGAGCATTTCGCCTTCATCGAAGTGCGGCTGGGATTCCAACCCGCGACCGTCACGTGAGCGGTCGAGCCGTACAATCACTATACCAGAGTCGTGAGCACGAAGTATGCCGAACTTGCGCTATTCGTATGAGTAAGTATGAATACGCACAAGGGTGATTCAAATGGATGCTGATATTTAGCGATGACGAAGATGAAAATCAGTCATTTGTGTCCACAGTATCTTACGGCGCTCCTAACTAGTTCGTATTTTTTTGGGATAGCCACACGATGTGTTCATAAAAGGCGTTTGCGACTCGTGTCTATCCATCCCTTTCCCTTCGCTTTGGGCCGGACGTGTTATCAGCGCTTTGGTGCAATTCGTTGCGATAAAATCGCGCAGTGATGTAGTTTCGACCTAGTGTTCGCAATCCTGAAGCATATACTGTGTGAGGGTAATTTTGAGCTCGCGAATGATCGCTGTTGGTTATTTATGAAAAGTGGGCAAATATGGTGGGCATATACAATCCCAACTGACAATGCACTGACATGGATAATCATTGCAATTCGACACAAATTTAGGTCGATGTTGTAACACAAAAGAGATACAATGAAACACTTAGGAGGGTTCATAATACAGAGAGAAGAGGGTGAAAATGAAACGATGCACAGGACTGTGAACACGACCAAGAACTATTTTTGACAAATGATGGTACTGATGACACAACTTTATTTTGGAACTTCCGCGGCCGAGCGACAACACTGTAGTCGAACAATAAAAAAAGAATGGTAGAAACAACAATGCAAGAAGGGGTGACAGAGTAAGGGGTGACTGTATTGATAATATGCACCCAGGAGTTCTTAAAAAAATGAGAAACGGTACTCTTTGGAATCATATTGCTGGAAGTAAAGGCCCTGTTTGGTAAGAATTTCGATTATTTGAATATTTAACACCGCAATAATGATGATGATGTGTCAACCGAGTCCAATGAAGACGCGTTCCACCGCGATGACAGTCGCCCAAACTGTATGCCGTGACCACACCATTAATAAATACTGTAAATCACAACATGGTGGAATGGCGATGACACTGTAGCTTTTTCTCTCGTCGTCACGAAGGTGCTGCCTCCTACGGTTCGTCATCGGACGAGGTCCGCAGCTCGGCGTACTCCAGGAATCCATCATTGTTCTTGTCAAAGTGCATCAGCGTGTCCACGGCCTCTGAAATCAGTGCGCACAGCCGGCATTAGACGTTCGACCAACTGAGCTTTCACTGATCAGCTACGCGTGGCCCATTCATACTCAACCTAACGAAGTAGCATCGAAATCATAAATTGGTCCGTTATATCCGAAGCTCGTTGTAATGGTGGATTTCAAAATCGGCTCTAACATGTTGGCAGTACGGCTTGCACAAAAATACTAGATACGAAAATTCTTAATTCCAGATTTCCAACATTTTATTAACGAGGCAATCCTTGCATGCCTCCCTGTAGCATTTTAAACTGTGTTTTAAACGGTGGGAGAACCAGTCAAGTGCATTCTTTCTTCTTTTTTTTTGCGCTGTAGGGCCAAAATGTTTACAGCTTTCTCACACGATTTAAAGGAATTTGATAGTGAATTAATTTTTAAGGTTTTTTTTTATGGCAGCTCTTGAGCAACGAGCCTCGCGCTAAACAAATATTTTTCCGTTGCAACTGATGCCACAGTGGCTCTCGCATTTTTTTTTTCGTTATAAAGAAACGTAAACGTCTTACAAAACAAGCACAGCCTAATAAATTTCACATTTCATTTTATAACCAATGATTTTCTTTATCAGTCTTCGTTACAACGACGCTGAAACACAAGAGCCTGTAGGAGCGTTCAGATATACATTTACTATTAGGCACGCGCGGAGCAAGTCACTAGTATGGACATTAAAGCCAGAAGCGCGAGCCTCCAGGGTTACATAGAACACTCGGCTGAATTCTCGTATCCTTTAAACATACAAGAGGACACAACGCGGAGAGGAATCTTTCACTTCGTGCCCCGCGGCGGTGGTCTAGCGGCTAAGGTTCTCGGCTGCTGACCCGCAGGTCACGGGATCAAATCCCGGCTGCGGCGGCTGCATTTCCGATGGAGGCGGAAATGTTGTAGGCCCGTGTGCTCAGATTTGGGTGCACGTTAAAGAACCCCAGGTGGTCGAAATCGCCGTAGCCCTCCATCACGGCGTCTCTCATAATCATATGGTGGTTTTGGGACGTTAAACCCCACAAATCAAATCAATCTTTCACTTCGTACACAATCAAGTTGCTCACCTATCGTCTCGTTGATGGTGGGTTCTTCTTCGCTCTTTTTAACGCTGTGCGCCACCATGTGCTTCATAGCGGTCAACAGCTCCCAGCCGTCCAGCTTGTTGTTGTCATCGAAGTCGTGCATTCTGCGATCGGTTCAAATGTTGTAGTAAAGTCAAGTTTCTACGCCTTTTATCCCTCCTTTTTTTTCTCAGCAAACAAAGCCACACAGCATAGCCATGCGATCAATATGGCGGGAGGGGGCGACCCCACACCCGACCGATCCTGTGAGGAGAGCTATACTTGTTTTCTTTTCGCCTTCTTTCGAACTCGACCAATGGAGAGGCGAATGGGTGCGCTGCGGTGAGACTTCATCCCCGCCTTACTGAGACCTTTCGCATGCCTATGCCGCGGAGACTAAGTTTAATTAACAACCGCACTACCATCTGATCTTCAGCACACCCCTCATCGCGAAAGCGTGCCTGGTGTTTGAAAGGAAATTCATCATCGTCGCAGTCACTAGGCGACGTGCAGCCATGTACTCTTTTCAGTCATAACTGCGTGTAACGTAAACGTTCAGTCGTTAGTAAAAAAAAAAAAACAGAATCAAAATTTTGACACACCCATGCGTCTGACGGTTTAGTTCGATGAACTGACATCTTTCCACAAGAAAGCAACAGTTTGCTTACTTTTTATTCTTTTCCGTTCGTCCAATCCTGTCTCCAGATTCGTAAATGACACATTATAACAGTGGCCCGCGAACCTATCGTTAGCGGCTTGCAGGCCGCAAGCCGCCGCTACTTAATCCGGCTCTCACATGACTATCTTCTTTCCATTTTTTTTCTATTTTATGAATTAGTATGCTCACGAGCTACACAATCACGATTATCATCGAACATTTTTTTTCCTGAGGTGCCCTATGCGATCGTCATATTAGTGCAAACCGCGCAATAAAAACTCTATAATGATCGGCACCCAGATTTCAGTCATTCTGGAAATCGGTATCGATGCTTCTCAAACCTTCACTTCGAAAAATCCGCATCTAAAATGGCCTATATATGAGATATGGGAAATGTTCTTCGAGTTTAAATCTTAGCTCGCACGTTGTTCAAGCCACCCGCCCCCTCCCCATCGATCTGCTCCAACCGTCTTCGATTCTCCGGTCCTTTGCGGGGCTACATTTATTGACTGCGGTACACTAGGTGAAGTTAGTATGTGACCCCTGCTCATGGGTCCAGGTGTACCTGACCTCCTACTCCAGGTGTAATGAGATATGTTGGAAGTGAAGCCTCGCATTTAAATAAGACGACAATGCCCGTTGAAGTTATCCTTAGATATCGAAAGGATAGTAAAGAAATGTAATAGAAAAGTTACATTTTCTTGATACAAATTACCCCTCTATTCTGCGAGTGTTGAAGATTGGGCGAGTTGGTTCGTCGTACTTGAACTGGTATAGCGCATTACGGGGAAGAAGAAACGGCCGAGAAGACCGACACAAGAGGACAGAGCGCTACCTCTTGTGTAGCGCTCTGTCCTCTTGTGTCGGTCTGCTCGGCCGTTTCTTCTTCCCCGTAATGCGCTATACCAGTTCAAGTACCCTCTATTCTGATTTTGCGCCGTTTTTTCATCAAAGTAGTATACATACCACTGCCTCTGCAAGATACACAGACAGGTACTCAATTAAGTAGTCGTTCGGGCCAGCGCGCCCTCAACTTACCGCATAAAATAAAACATTGTCTCGTCTTCCGTCAGCTTGCCCTCGATTTGCAGATCTGTGATTGTCTTGAGATCTTCTTTAAGGTGCCTGAGTGAAGAGATTATGGAGAAAAAAAAACATTGGATGAAAAGTGACTACATTCTTTCCACGGGTGCACTATAGATTTATAACGTTACATTTCATCGAAATTGGTTGAATATTATGAAAATGATGAGCAATAGTTGTAGAGAATAGCTTACGACCACCTTACACACACAAACACACACACACACACACACACACACACACACACACACACATATATATATATATATATATATATATATATATATATATATATATATATATATATATATATATATATATATATATATATATATAAAGTTCGGTTGCTGTGTGTGTGTGCGCGCGCGTGTGCGTGTGTGTGTGCGAGCGTGTGTGTGTTCCTGGTCGAAATACCAGTTCCATTGTCATAATCTCTGTTTTCAAAAGTGTGCCTAAGTTTATAAAGACTTTCTATAACTGTATGTGTACCGGTAGTGGTAAGAACATTATTAATAACGTTGGCGAATTCGTGGCCTTGGCCTATAGGCCCTGTCTCCTCGCCCCCTCACGGGCTCGCTGGATGGCCCACAGTTGATCCTTGAGATTAGAGCGGCGCAGCGTGGCCGTCCGACGCGCCTAAGCTTCATCTGGGGAGACTGCATTTTGTTCAGCTAAAATTGCACTTTCCCAGAGTATGTGCCTAAGCAACGGGCGAGTACAGCCAAGAGGTTATTTTGCACAAATGCTGTTGCTGCCGCAACAAGTTCGTCTGGCAGACATTTTTTCTATGTACAGTTCGGTTGTTGTTACGTGGGGTTTAACGTGCCAAAACCACAATATGATTATGAAAGACGCCGTAGTAGAAGGCTCCAGAAATTTCGACCACCTAGGGTTCTTTAACGTGCACCCAAATCTGAGCACACGGGTCTACAACATTGCCGCCTCCCGGAGGCGGAAATGCTGATTTTCGATGATCGAAAATGCAGCCGCCGCAGCCGGGATTCGATCCCGCGACCTGCGGGTCAGCAGCCGAGTACCTTAATTACTAGACCACCGCGATGTATAGTTCTTCACACTGTACAAGTTTCACAGATCTTTTTTTTTTATTTTACAGCCCGTCAACGGTTTCGTCTTTACAGAGATGGATCCCTCGGTGTGCAATCCGCAATGTCAATTCTGTCCCCAGACAGCCACATCATTTCACATGGTCTAGGAGTGCCAGAAAAATCCCAATAAATCGACCAATCATAATCCTACAATAGCCAAATGGGAGGCGACCCTTTCCATGCTCTGACCCAGTGCAGCGACAAGTCCTGGTCGACCGAGCCAGGACGGAGGCACGAGCCAATAGTCTTCAGGACTAAAAAGTCCACTCACTACCGACTTATTTGTTAATAATAAATGTTTTATTGCTATCTGAACAAAAAAGATCGCACGCATCTACCCGTAAAGGGAACGCTGTGTAGTATGCGAAGCAGCCATGGGTCGATTTAAAGTTCTGTAAATAGGTGCGCTTTATTCATCATTATAGACGTTCATGGTTGCGAACACAGCAGCATCGTGAGCCCTCTCCACCGCCACACTTATGCCCATCTCTTCATTCATACTACTAAGCTGTGCTTGTATGTGAGAGAGAGAGGAGTAAGCGCATTTAGTATACACTATATATGGAGCCTTCAAGGTATGAAGGCTCCCTATAGGGGCGAAAGATAATTCTATCAGAGGAACACTCACTTTCACTTAACGAGTGTGAAGCTTCATATCTGGAAGATCAACGTCGAAGGCTGTCACTAAGTTAACGGTCTAAGTCATGGTTACACGTGGTGCATGGTTGTGCAGGTATAGTTAACCCAGTTCTGTCGAATCAAATTGGTTGCGAGTGCTGCGGTGGCCCTGTAAAAATCATTTCTTCCTTTTATGTGTATTCTTTCCGTGAGCTTACGCGTTTGAAAAGTTCAAAAGTTCAATACAGAGCACACGAGTTATGATTTACAAATCAAATAGTGATACCACAGAAGCTAGAAGATTCAATATAAGCACCGTGCTGAACAACGCCCCGTCCTTGTTCTTTTTACTACCATTGGTCGAAAATCCTTGTCACTAATGATTCCGTGGGGTTAACGGCCCAGAACATCGATGTGATTCATCGAAATTCAGGATGTGACTCAAGATGTGATTCAGACTCCATCGAAAATGCAGCCACCGCGGCGGGAATTCGATCCCGGGAACTTCGGGTTACCGGCCGAGCACCATCACTATACTTGACCGCCGAGCCGGGCGAGCTAAATAAAAAGTCCTGCTTCTAAAACATGACAGCGACTAGAACATATAAACTTCTTTGTAAGCGCTCTGGGAGGAGGTGTGTGCACGACAGCAAATACACGTGCAGATTCACTTCCCACACTTACTCGATATCGTGGATTATGTCCCTCCGTCCAAATTTGTGCCGCATTTGTTCCGCTTTGTCGGCCGCCGCCACCGGGAAAGCACAGCTCACAGCAAGTAGGCCCAACGCGGCCAGAACCGGTGTCCTCGAGCTGGCAGCCACACTAGCGAGCGTCGACCGCATCCCGCACACACACACACACAAAAAGAACGCACAAGATGATCGATCGCACGGCTAAACGCACAGAGGCTCCTTGACGGGCTTTTGTTCTTCCCCTTGCGCAAGTTTCGCGTCTTAGGACTGAGTACAACGTAACAACTGTCTGGGCACTACAAGAGGATTTCAGTGCCAGTTTCGGGAGCCGGGGCTCGCTTTCACCAGCTGGAGGAGGCGCGAAGAAGGGCGTAGCGGCCACGAGTAGCAGCCACGTCGGACACTGATAAGAGGAACGTCACAGCGCGCGTGATAAGCGCGTCGACGGATAGAGCCAGATAAGCGCTGCCGCTGCTTGTTGCACGAAGCAGCTACAGCCTCCATTCGTCCAACGGCTTGGCACGGAAAGCCAGTCGCCGTGGGGGCCCGCTCTTACGACTTCCAGCAGATGTTGTTTGTCGCACCGGGAAAGTTAATGCTTACTACCTACGTAGCTGCACGAACGGCAGCAGTCACCAGGCGCTGAGGCACCTCCGATTCTTATTTGTTTCTTGTCTGCGCGTTTTCTTACCTTTCGATCACACGTGCGCGCGTTGTGTCTGGGTTGAGGAAATTACAAGTTGATTGATTGATTGATTGATCGATCGATTGATTGATTGATTGATTGATTGATTGATGTGTGGCGTTTAACATCCCGAAACCACCATATGATTATGAGAGACGCCGTAGTGAAGGGCTCAGGAAATATTCACCACCTGGGGTTCGTCGAAAATGCAGCCGCCACAGCCGGGATTCGATAGCGTCAAACTCTGGGTAACCGCGAGGCGATACTGTGTCGCACATGACCATTTGTTCAACGTTCACAAATGCTTGGAGGCATTTGCTTGCTTTCTATATGGCGCAAGTTTTCAGTGAACCACAATAACGTTTGAACAGAGCATTGACCTCCGCGGCCAAAGGCAGATGTGGTACATATGTTTTCTTTGCGTCGAGGCACAAATTTAGTTGCTCGGTTCAGGGCAAATCTGTTCCACAGTATTCTAAGCATATCTGATGGTGGTTCACTGTGGTTGCGTGCAAGTCGTGTGAAGTTGATTATGCCTTTGTTGTTTTTCAGGACTGGCCTGATTCGCTCAATATAATGTTCAACATTGTCTAAGTCCCAAAATACTTACATGTCATAAAACGTCCTGTTCATGAAAACATTCTCTGATGCTCCAATATTTTCATATGCGGTTCAAGCAGTACTAGGACGCTCAGCATTGTCAGCGATAAACATATCACGTACTCATTACTCATACGCATGTTTATGCTCTTGATGAACTTGTTTCCTTTGAAGTATGAGAGACGACACCCATCTGTTCATCTGACATGTGGTTGAACAGGCTTAACAGTGCTATTGACTGCTAAGTGTTCAAAAAATTGATTCACTGTAATGAGAGACACATCACTTATGTACCTACCCCGAGAAAAATGTTTTCAGGTGCTTGTGAAGGCAATAGTGGTGCTAAAATGGATATTTCAGGCTTCTCAAGGTTATTGATGCGCACGTCATGTTGTGCACGTTACTCTCGTGTAGTGCGCGGTAGTTGTGCTTCTGTTCTGTGTGGTGCGTCAATAAAGACGACGACAAGACAAGCTGGAAGACAAAGTCGTGATCGGGAAGCCGAGATGGAGGGAAAGGAAGAGAAGTGGAGGAAGAGGAAGTGGGCTGGAGAACATGACGGAGAAGCATTAGCAGGCCGAGACGCTCGTCGAGTCTTGGTCCCGAAGCCGACCACTGCCTGCAGTCCGGCCATGACTCGTTCGCCTCGACTGGTGTTTGCTGTTCCGACAGTCGGCGCCGGTCTCTTGTGCTGGGACCCGGGGTTTTTCAAGACCCTGGTCTACTATTGGGCCCGAGATGAAGTTTCTTCCACGTTGATTCTGCTGGGTGCCTGTCTCTTTTGTCGGCGCGAGACCCAACGCAGCGACTCATCGACCTGACAGCCTTCGACCCGTACATGGTGAAACCTTGCCAGCCTTGTTTAGTGCAGTGGGAGAATGATGTTAAGCGACTTGTGAACGGTGTTCGTGATTGTAGTCCGTTTTGTATAGCTTCTTTATTGCTAACCTTAACGTCATCCCGTGCATTACAAACATGTTTTCACCCTCGTGCAAATGTCTTCGTCAATCTCGGCAACAAATCTTTGAGTCGCCGTAATTACTCAGACCTGCCCTAACACACCCTTGAGCCTAGCTGATGCTTTGCCAGCTTTTCTGCAAGTTCTCTCCTGCAACAAGGAGAGTAAGGAAACAGCACCCACAGAATTTAAATGTTATGCAAATACACAATGACAAGCAAAAAATGCACTTGGGGGTATCACAGCAAGTGCTGCACTGGAATAAATGTAAGAAGAAGAATCGCAAGTTGCACTTGTTGATAGATGTTCATTGTGAAGTAACCGACAGCGCAAGAGTTGGATTACAGACAGCAGAATAAAAGGGCGTGGTGCTGCTTTTTACTGAACATTATAAAACACAAGTTTTCGACTACTTCGTGCGTGTGCTCATAGGGATGTCTGTACTTTATTGCTGTTTTCTTAAGGTAGGGCACACAACCACATGATCTGAAATGGGCCATGTCCCTTTCCTCTACTGTTTATTATCTCACAGTTGAACTGTCAGTTATTCCTTGGTAAACGTAAGACATGTACATCCCAATTTATTTTCTCAGTTTTAGTCCAAAGACAACAGGAAACCTGCATGCTTAAGGGCTCGTTTTTTTTTAACAATAATATTGAGAACTAACAGACAATGATGCCAAGGAAAGTATAGATGTTATCAGAAGTAACTGTAGTGTAATTGTGAAAAAATAAAAGTGGAGGAAAAGATAACTTGCAGCGAGCAGGTACTGAACCTGCGACCTTTGAATAACGTGTCCAATGCTCTAACGCTGAGCTACGGTGGCGGCCATCCCTCTGTCCACTGTGCATTTAAACGTGGGAGCATCAGTCAGCGCCACCTTTTGCCGTTATGGTGAGTGTGGAACACTCTTTTTTGCCTGTTCGTGTCATGTAGCAAGTGATCTTATTACAAGGTGGCAGCTGCATTTCCACATACAAGTACGCACAGTCATTTTTTGCAATATAAAGCTTCCAACAACACTGAACTTGCCAAAAGCAGCCTAAGTTTTAGAAAAAGATTAGTTAAGAAACAGAATAAGTTAAGAAACTGGGACACACGCATGGCCTTTGATAACTTAAGAAAAATCACAATAGACGAAATGCTATATCAAATAGCAATACACCCCATTGCAGAGCGGAAGGTTCAGCAAGGTCGACAGTATTGGACGAGATGGTGATCACTACAAATTAAGCTCGTGTGAAGTAATGCACAAAATCTGAATGCGGACAAAACACTGAAGTGTGGGCTTTTATTTCCTGCGTGCTTTGTCCTGCACTCCGCGCGATGCTCCGCACAACGCTATCAAAGCGAGTAGTCTGCCTTTCCTTCTGCCGCTACTATCCAGATCAGACTGAATTCCACTAGCTATAGATGCCGATTTGTCACAACCCTGTTTGCAACAGGACATCAATAACGTAGCTTGCCGGGCGAGTTGAAGAAGAAGCCAATGAGATATCAAACAGACAGGACTCCCAACGAAATATTTATTACAGAAAGTCCACACGCACATGAACCAGCAGTGCATGCATAAAAATATAGGCAATCTTAGGCGTTCCACAGTTGCGCACCTACAAAGCCAAGGCGCGTGTCCAAGTGGTACAAACAGCACACTTTCATGATCAACTACACGTGCTCCCGCTATCTAGCAGTGCGAATTTCTTGTGTAAGTGTAAGAAAAGCTGGAACATCACTTACACATGCATGACACTTTGCCCTGTTTTTTTTTTTATTGTGAATACTTCAAGAACTTAACTTTCCATCGAATTTCTTCTTTTCACAATGACACTGCCATATATCGGGGATGCACAGACCAGCACAGAAGTTAAGTTTTGTGCCTGAAGGGTGTTTACGCAGCATAGGTATCACTAAATCCTCGACATGTTTGATCTCTCTCTAGACATGACCACATGAGAAAGGAATTTCTTTGAAATCAGCGAATGTCATTGGCGAAGGAAGAAATAAGATTGAACGTGAAACGTGTGAAGCCTTCGAAATAAAGACAGGGCAAAGTGTCATGTGTGAGGCAATGGCGCATCCAGGAGGGGGGGGGGGGGCGGTAGGGGCTATCTCTTCCACCAAAGGCTGTGTCAGCAACCCCCCTTACTTCAATGCTCGTAGTCTATCTGTTATCACCAATTAGGATAAATCAGTGAATCCAATGTGAGCACACATTAACAGTATTGATGTTATTAAGTAGTTTTTTTTTCAAGTAAAAACAAAAGGGTCATGACCACACCCCCTTCTCAGGTGTTACTTCAGGCGACCGCCCCCCCCCCCCCCCCGTCTAAAATGAGAGACTGGATCCGCCTCTGGTGTGAGCAGAGGTCGGCAAGCTCACTCGTGAGTCGACTTACTCAGGCTTTGATTGAGGCGTGGGTCGAGTGAGTCTGACGAAAGGCACATCTTGCGGACCGGGACGACTAGCGCGAAAAAAAAAACAAAGACGAAAAGCAAGCTAAAGTTCCTTTACAGAACCTTCCCAGTCATATGTGACTTCCACCTCGTGAGGATTCTGGCGGATATGAGACGTCTGCAGGTATAGAGAGCCCTTGCACAACGACAGATGACGTGCTGAAGGCTTCACGCCACAACAAGTGACGTGTTTGGCATTCAGCACCTCTTCGACTTATGAGGCATCATATCCGAGTTTCGGAAGCGTCTAGGTGCCACATAAAGTTTGACTGCGAAAATGGTAATGTCATCTCGAAGCAAAAAAAAAAAAAAACTGAAGTGCAGGTCGCAATTAAATGTCTGGCACATGTGCTCAGCGACTTCGGTACTAAGGTGAGCGCCATATTGAAACATGCCCCACCGCGGTGGTCTAGTGGCTAAGGTACTCGTCTGGTGACCCACAGGTCACGGGATCGAATCCCACCTGCGGCGGCTGCATTTCCGATGGAGGCGGAAATGTTGTAGGCCCGTGTGCTCAGATTTGGTTGCACGTTAAAGAATCCCAGGTGGACAAAATTTCCGGAGCCCTCCACTACGCGTCTCTCATAATCATATGGGGGGTTTTGGGACGTTAAATCCCACATATCAATCATATTGAACCACCCTATGTACGCGACGAAACTTTAGAATAACTCACAGAAACTTCTGTCATGGCGTCACTGGTAAGGCCCCCAAATAGAGGGAAAGGACGAAAAGAGGAGGAGGGTTGCCGTGGTAGCCCTCCATTTCCCATTTCGCATGCGAGCAGAATGCGCTCGTGGCTTCTTTCGGGTCTGCTGGCTGCTCGAGCAATGCGGCCATAAAATTTGGTTTATCTTTTTTTAATGCGGATCATTTCATAGTAGCATGATGTCACGCGTGATGGGTCGCCCACTGCGCATGCTCCCAGACGCCCACTGCGCATGCTCGCGCCTCGCATATCGCGGCGCATGTTGCGTCTCGTGCCATCTGTTTGCTCCTCCTCCTCTCTCACCTCGCTAGGCGGACGCAGGCAGCGTCTACTAGTAAAAACCGACTGATGGAGCTGCACAACCGTTCACTCACCACCCTATATATGTATAGGCACTGGATCGCACATCAGCGCCCCACAATTCGTTGAAGGCAACGCTTCTTCCTTCAATAAATGAGAATAGTAAAGACGAAACAAAATTAAGAATTCCTAAATCATGCCCAATTACGCAACTTTCGCGCGAAACCCCCACCACTCGGCGACGCATTTACTCAAGTGTCCACCGTGGGAAGATGCGCGCGGCATTTTCTAAAGCTTTGTTCGTGTTTTTGAAAAGGTGAAATTTAACTAAGATAAACTTTTTTACTACATGTTTTGTATAAAAGAGACAGACACACATAGCGTAAAAATGTCAATCTATAAAAGCAGCTTTAATTTACAACTGACATACGAACATAATGAGCAAACGTTGAACCCTGAATATCCGCCCCACCGCGGTGGTCTAGTGGCTATACTCGGCTGCTGACCCACAGGTCGTGGGATCGAATCCCGGCGGCGCCGGCTGCATTTTCGACGGAGGTGGTAATGTTGTAGGCACGTGTGCTCAGACTTTAGTGCACGTTAAAGGACCTCAGGTGGTCGAAATTTCCGGAGCCCTCCACTACGGTGTCTCTCATAATCATATGGTGCTGTTGGGACGTTAAACTCCACATATCAATCAACCCTGAATATCCGAACCAATGCGAATGTTACCAAGAATCTCGTCTAGGACACGTCATCTTTGACTCAATCAAGTCTTTTATGGCGGAGCGCATAGTTTTCTTGCAGAACATGAGCACCAAACGAGACTGAAGTTCAGGCACGGGGAGGCTTGAAGCGGTCAGAAGTTTTTCGAGAAAGAACGTCGCTGGAAACAGTGTTTCGGCAAGTTGAGCAGTCTTCAGCAGGGCAACACCGTATATAGCCTTGACGAAAAAAAGTTCACTTGTCAAAACGTTTAATCCATCGACATAGCGAATAAGTCTCTAGAAGCATTTTGTCCATCACGTTAAGGTAAACATTCGACAGATGTCTGTCTCGCTGTGTATGAAACTGGGAGTTGATTTAGACTCCAACCAACACTTTTGAAAAAACGGGACGTTTCGAAACCGACTTGTTTCCTTCCTCATGACTGCGGAGACCACATAAAACTTTCGGTTGGAGACTATATCCTCTCCCAGTCCATCACGTGCATTTGAGTGGCACTATTAGAGGTAAAGCCTCACAAATTTGGCCAGCGCGACTACAAGAGTTCATGAGCAGTAAGCAGCCCGTATTTACGTGGTATCATTTGAATTACATGCCAAAAGTAGAAGAACTAAAACTATGTAGCCGAGCCAACTCGAATTAAAACCATTAAATAAACGCATTTTCTCGACAGGCTGCTGTCTTCACCATTCAGTCAAGCGGTCGACACTGCACTTCTGTCAGCCCAGTCGGGTTTGCAAAGAACTGGATTTACATGTACTCATGCAAAATCAATACCTGCTCAAATAGTGGGTCCAAGTTCTTGTGCTCGCCTGTTGCCTTTCGGAAACACTGAAATTGTAGGTTTAACCCACCGCAGAGCCTTGGAAAACAAGTGTTGCCCGATAAAGCCATCTTCGACGAATGCATGGTTGAATTGTTTGGCGTATCTCACTGCGGCTTTCGTCGTTGCCACGCCAACCGAGCGAGATAACTGAGCGCGATCCGAATTCTAGCTTCGCTGAGCGAGGCGCGAGCAATGACTACAAACGCAAATCAATCACTTCTTGCGCTTCGCCTGATTTTAAAATTCACAAAATAAGGAACGCACGTGATTTCCAATCGGTAAATATGAATTACTTCGTCCTCTGAAGGTGCCAGTCACGCCATACCGAGGAAGCATACCATACTTGCTCAAGCAAACTTTTTGTGAGACGATGTGGCTGAAATATGATCATGCATTTTTAAATCCATGACGTCAAATGCAAAAATTTAGGCGCAAGATTTAAACCTAATACTTGCACCTTTTTTTTTATTCCAGTAATGTACCTATCATGGAGAAAGAAGGGAGAATGGAGCTTTCAGGGTGCAATTTATTATTGACTGATTTATTGCTTCAATTTAGTAGTGTGGCGGTTCGGGCTTGTTGGTATGACATGACGATAGCTATCGTCGATCTCTTCTCGCGCTATAACTATCGTCACGTTCAATTTAGCGTCCCGTTAAATATTAGAAATGTACCTAGCAGAAGAAAGTGCGACTGTTAGGCGCATTTGATCCCACAAACACATGCGCGAATGTATTTCTTGGATAGAAGTATTGCTTCTCATAATAAAGAAGCGGCAGATTCAATGCCGTTTTCACACGCTTCCTTTACGAACAGATAGTAGTACGGTTTTAAAGTTTTCGCTGCATACACTAAAATATTGTTGTCCCCGAAAATCGTGTGTACCGTATTTGCAACGTTCAGTGTACGCAATGCTTCGTTGATTTGGCCTATCTTTTGTATTTTTTTATTAATGTGTATACTCATCACTGATGGGTGACCACGCACGCATGAACTTTTCTAACGCGACGTTTCAGCCATCGCATCTTCCATTTTGCAGTGGAACCAAGTACTTGTGCTAAGGCGCTGTGTAATACGGACAGCTACAAAGTTTCAGTCATGGAAGAAATGCGGATGCACTGACACTTTATCTCTAACACGGTGAGGACCACGGTATAAGTGTATCAGGTACACGTTGACTGAAATAAAAGAAAACACACACGCACCACAATACACGTTGCACTCTTGTGGCTAATGAAGGAAAGAAACAAAAATGTCATCATGAAGAAAACACAGAAATGCTACCGCGGTCGAAAGAAGCCTGCGCGTGCTTCAAAAAGTGTTCAGCACCCTGCGAAGCTGATTAGGAGTACTACGCAAGCAAGGTGATGCTAGAGTACTGATACAGCACCTCGAAAGTTAAACTGTACAATAAGCAAGGCCGAAGCTTGAGGAAACGTGCAACAGTCCGCGCTATGACGATCAACCATGCGACAGAGGTTTGTTCAGCATCAATGAGCCACATGACATTGTGAGTACAGAGGGCTCTACCGGAGCTTGCTGTAGACATGGGTGGGTACGGTGGTGGTGGTCGAGGTCCTGGTGGGTATCTTTCGCTCTCGAGTCACTGACCATAGTGAGAGTGCTTCGGCTGCCCCTGGCTCGAGACTCTGCCGCCGTATTCGCTGTTTTCCTGCCCCTTCGGATTCGCGGTCCGGATGAAGGCCAGCCACTCGGGAAAGGAGACGAAACCATCGTCATTGGCGTCCACGGCCATCAGGTTGTCCACCATCGCTGGAGCGCCGCCGGAAAGCCAAGAAAATAGAGAGTATGAGTGCCGGGGACGGCTTCCGTATAGGCTGCAGCTCTTGCGTTTCCCCATGTGCTCCAAGCCGCGCCCATCGCGAACGAAAGGAACACAAGGGTTTACGTATGATACCCCGGTACTAAAACTCTATTATATCGAGAGCTTTAGTGCTGAGGACTTCTCGCCATGGGGTCTGCGAGTTGTTGCGTCCTACTGTATATATCCCCGCTTACTTCTGCTGGGAAGCCTGACCTAAAGAGAGCACAAAGTAAGGTAAGAGCTTGTTTACCCAAGCCTACTTGTGGCCCCATCATTCAAGTTTTCTACTAGAGGATTTTAGTGCATGCCGGCCACCCTAAGCCGCTTGCGTACCCACGTTCTTGCGTTCCCCTAATTAGTGCTTCGAGGCTCACCCAGAGAGAATACAAAGAAACGAAAGAGCTTCCGTATTCGCAAGCCCCTATAGGGTACACCTCCGGTAAGAGAATGCAGTTGTCATGGAAGTACGTTCGAGGAATGAACTGGAGGTTCAAAGATTTTTGTGTGCTTTTAATTATGGCGCTAGCCCCTAGCGACACCTTGTTTCTCATGCAACACAACGGAAGTCGACCCCCGCCAGTCAGAAGTTCTGCGATAGCTCGAACAAGAAATTAAAAAGAAAATAAAAAGGGAAAAATCGTACGCTAATAAACTGCCTTATTCCCACTATACGCTTCACATGACGTGATGTCACCACGACGTCACAGAGACGTCACCCTATGCGAAGATTCTCCATGACTTGACGTCACGAACGTTGACGATATGTGACAGGATGACGTATTTGGTGACATTATCAGGTGATTTTTTAGGGGCGAAGCTCCTTAGGGCGTGGGCTGTGCGTCCCCTGTAGCCTGTATGTAGCCACCTCTAGTTTAGTTCTTGCAGTGTTCACTAGATGGCGGTACCATCCCCTTCATGTAGCCACATCTAGTTTAGTTCTTGCAGTGTTCACTAGATGGCGGTACCGTCTCCTGTATGTAGCCACCTCTCGTTTAGTTCTTGTAGTGTTTACTAGATGGTGGTACTTGTAGCTGATGATGAAAATATGCAAGATGTTATAAACTAGAAAGCGGTACTTGTAGTTGATGAAAGACGCGAGATCTTATAAAATAGGAATGATGTCACATATGGCGCGTGTAATTGGTTGAAGGCAATCGTTCGATTTAGTGCGGCGACGTACGCTAGGGGGAGCGATGTAATAAAATCGAGTGGGCAAAATGTACAGAGGATTCATGGTTTACCAGGTTTACCTCCGGAGCTTCGCCCACTCATCATCATTCACTTCGTGGATATGGCGGAATTTTCCAGGAAACTGCCCTATTCCCACTACGCTTCACATGACGTGATGTCACCACGACGTCACAGAGACGTCACCCTATGCGAAGATTCTCCATGACTTGACGTCACGAACGTCAATGATATGTGACAGGATGACGTATTTAGTGACATTATCAGGTGATTTTTTTTTCATCACTCGCATTGACGCCGACGCCGTGGGACGACGTCGACGTCTCATTAGGCTTCTAAGGCTATAACCTTAGAATAGGGAAGTTTACAGAGCCTTATGACCCATTCACCGCACTGTGCTTTTATTGCGTTGTCAGTTGAGACTATAGAACTGTGCGCTACCAAAAACAGCGATTATTCAACGTTCTGAAAAAACCTAGAGCAGCGATTTCAAGGATTCACGCCTGCGTAAAAGAATGAAATAGAAATAAAGAAAGAGAAATGAAGAAATAGGGACATTGAGATAGAAAAAACAAAACAAGAAACGATAGTTACAGAGAAAGAGAGAATGAGAGCGAAGAGAGAGAAAGAGTGAAATTAAAAGCGACAATAAGGCATAGAAACATATATACAAAGAAAAATACAAGTACAGAGGCAAGAACAGATGAAAAAGACAAAAAGATGGAAGCAACAAAGAAAAGAAGTAGAAAGGCCACTTAGCTGCGCTGGGTGGCACTGCATTGCGCCAAAAACGTGTTAAGGGCAGAGTTGAAGTCAAGGGTTCATTACTTGATATTATTATTATTATTATTATTATTATTATTATTATTATTATTATTATTATTATTATTATTATTATTATTTGACCGCACGTATGCAACCACCCCTCCACACCCATTTTCCTGTAAAACCACTATAACCGTGAACGAGTGCTTCTATATGCCCCACTCACATTCATATTTTCAGTGAGAAAGTGCGCTCACCGCATTTGCTGCAATGGCACGAATGTGTTTAACAAACCGGAAGCGGTGGACGTGGCCACGTACCAGAACGTGACCGTCTAATCGACACGCGAGAAAAGAAAAGGAACTTATCCGGAAGAAAGCGCCGAAACAGCGAGGAAAAAAAAAAGACCAGAGGCTTTTATTAGATAAGAATGTCATTACATGTTCTTGTTTTGTACTGGACGCTTACTGGAACCGGGACACCCTAATGCGGCGCCAACACCCTCTAAATATTCTTCAGGCCTGTTCACATCTTGATTTCCCCTCGTGCAACGTCACGCCAGAAGCCCCTCAGAAAAACAGGAAAAACGGCTGTTGACACCTTCTCGAAGGGAGTCATTATCGGACCGGCTTACAGACTGCTGCATGCAGGGTGAGTACATCACTCCGCATGCCATTACTTGGTTTCCGGCGCACTCGGGGTGAGTGGAGGGAACCCCGCGTAACCTCAACAAGGTGGCGCACAGGGAGGCACGAGGATTAATGTGTCGTGCAATCTCTGAGGTGGCTGAACCTCCCGCTCCAGAGTTTAGGGAGGGGCTGTTAACATACAACGAGATAACTAAACATTATTACTTAGAGCACAGGCAATTCCCCTTGCCACATTCTAGACTTAACAGGCCACAGGAGGTTACATTAAGACTTCTGCAGACGTGGACGTATACCCCAAGCCGGTCGTTATGAATAGAATTAATCCGAACTGCGGGGTTTCGATTTGCTGTAGTAGATGTGGGGGCTTGCTCGATTGTGAATACATGCTCTGGCGCTGCTCGGCAATGGCCGGCGCGGCTTCTCACAGTGAACAGTGGCGGCAGCGAATGCCGCACAGTGACGTGCTGGTGGACCAACTCAGGGCTGTCCAGAGGGCCCGTGTGCTGTCTGCAGAAGGGCTTAATCTCCTTGTCCAGACGTGGGAGCAGCATCAGTCTTGGACTCATCCTCAGGACCTTAATAAAGTTCTTCATACCAAACATACTGCAGTCTGCCTACAAGTGGGTTCTCGGCATGCTTCTCCAGGCAAGTAAGGGTACAATTTGTGTTCTCCGTGCCATGCGTTCTCGCCCAATTTAGTGTTTTTTTTTTTTTGACGCGCTTGTGAGCGTTCTCTTTTCGGCGTACACGTTTGGTGTGAATTGTACAGCATCGCAACGACTGCAAGTTCGTGCAACATGGAGCCCCGCCACGGTGGTCTAGTGGCTAAGGTACTCGGCTGCTGACCCGCAGGTCGCGGGATCAAATCCCAGCTGTGGCGGCTGCATTTCCGGTGGAGGCGGAAATGTTGTAGGCCCGTGTACTCAGATTTGGGTGCACGTTAAAGAACCCCAGGTGGTCGAAATTTCCGGAGCCCTCCACTACGACGTCTCTCATAATCATGTAGTGGTTTTGGGACGTTAAACCCAACAAATCAATCATTCGTGCAACATGGAACGGTGTTGTGTTTCCAGCTGCCGTGAAAACTATGACGATGGGTTATAAGTATACGCTCGAAATCCCTCCGAAGTAATAACGCACAGAAAAAAGCGCCCTTTTGAGCTATCCCACAGAAGAATTTCATGCCAACAGTGTATTCGAAGGTAAAGAATTCCTAACATTGCTTTATCGGGTGTGTTAATCTTCTTTCTTAGCTGCAACAGCTGTAATTGTCGCAAAGTAATACTTTTTTTCGAACATAATGAGAATAATTCAACATAAAGATGGAGAAGAGTTCATTTCTCGTGAATATTCGCTGAGTAGTGGGGTGCATACATTAAGAGTGCTGAGAACTATAATTAAAATAACTTCTATTTTGCTCTCACTGCCATAAACTAAACCTGGTTTGGTCTCTGTATTTTCTTTTCTGCATATTGATGTGTGCAACCATCCTCCAATGCCAAGCGTGTTATGTAGCAAATTATTGCGACAATAAAAATGGCATTCCCATGATGCGGTGCAAGAAATTCAACATAAGTAGTCAGAAACAAAAATGTAATTTTCTCTCATTGCGGATGTAAAACTCGCCTTCGAATACGATTTTATTTTTCCTTGTCTTGCTTCCTATATTTATTTGAAAGATTCTTCGCAGGCGCAATACTTGCACGGCCCATTGATCTCAAACTTCATAGTGTCACGTTGAAAAAAAATCTGTTTGCTATGCTACCAGTATCTCTGCGACGTTTTTTTTTTATGAACAGATTCGTGCGTATACCACAGTTAAATAATTAACAAGGAGAAGCTAATCGCAGGTTATATTTACGCGTGTGTTTCATGTGTATCGAAATTATCACAACCGTCTTTTTTTCTCTTGCGCACGCAGATTTGTGAACTCCATTTCTATGCAGATGATTCTATAACGACGCTGTGACATTAAGATTAACGAACAGGAAGGTAAACAGAAGTAGAACGAGAGGGATGCAAACGTGTACCTCCTATCTTTCCAAACTGTCCAAAATACTTGTCCTCAAAGTCGTGAATCACTAGCGAGGAAACGCGGCGAATCGCTAGCGAAGAAGAACGCAAGAGACAGAGGGAGAGCTCTGATTTGCAAGAAGCTGTAAAGAAATCACTTCAGTCTAGTGAACTTGAGCATAAGAGAAGCAAGATGACTTCATATACGGACTTCAAGATGAACCTGTCAGGGATCTGCAATAATGATTTCTGGACAGTAACTATCAGTGGCGAGTGCGTGAGGTGTCTTGTCATCGAAAACAATCCATCTCCTCCAGTCAAATGCTCATTGACTGTTCTCCCAGATCTCTCACCTAATGTTGTTCTGAAGGGAGAGCAACTTTAAATCGCTTTCTCGGGGAAGCGCTGTACCAAGTCGAGTGTGCAACACTCCTCCCCTATCGTTATTGTTGGAGCAGCTCGATAGGCACTCAAGCGAGCTACTTGAAATAAGGAAATACTCAAAACACACAGAAATACTGAGGTTCATTATTATGCTTCTTGAAGACTTCGTGGATATGCTGCACATGCTTCCTTCAAGAAATTTTTGTGCTCCGCTTGTTTCTGCGCACTAGTTATAGAAAACAGGGAAATTTAGGTAGAAAATAGTTCAATGATAGCCAACTGAACCAGAGGAGGGCTGAAATTTTCACAACCACCTGTCGTCAGCTTGGTTCTGGTAACGTAGTTGTGCAGAAACTGCCATTGGGAGAATGCGCCCAACACTCTCTCATGCAGTGACCAGCGTGGTATCGTCACATCGCTGGCATTTTCCTTGCTGGAATCGCAAACTGACACTGATACATACGCCGCACAAACTGTCTTTCGCTTGGTAGTTCGCACAGCAACCAATGTTGTCTTGAACAACTTTTGCTTACTGAAAAATCACAGCATCCAAGACAATAGGGAGTTTTAGAATACCGTTTGCAAGCGCTGGGGGCGTTGCGGGCGTAGCGGTTGCCATATAAATTTTAGAATAGCGTTTGCCCTGCTGCAAACCGCAACACGCGATCGCAGCGACACCGTAGCCTCGAAACCTGCGTTTGCGGGCCACATGCGGGCCGCGATCACCGCACGCTATTTCATTACGGATTTTCTGCGCGCGGGCCGCGAACGCCGACTCGCGTTACGACGCATGCGCAGAGGCAGCGACCGCACCGCAAGGGCTTGCGGTGCGCTATTCTAAAACTCTCTAATGCACAGAAGAAAGCCGCAGCACGGAAATCGGCAACAATGAAGAAAAAAAGTGATGTTCTAACGGAATAAAGCTTATCTGGAGTGGTATGGTTCCTTAAACTTTCCTGAGAGTAATACTACATGCAGAACGCTTCCCTTGTGCTCGAGAAGAATTCACAAATACATGACAGAGTGTTTCGCACCCATCACAGACTATAAAAACACCAGTAGAAGAGAGCGCGACGCTCCAGAATACCGTGACGCAGCGTGACGTCACGGGGTGGCGTCACGCAACCTTTGGAAAGGCCGTAGGAGTCTAGGTGGTGTTGGCGGAGTACGGTATTGTCACTCCAGCCAAAGTAACACCGTTTATTATTCCGGACGACACGTCTGACCTATAGTATAACAACTCTACGGTCTGACCACTTAGCTATAACTAGTCTGTCGGATACTGGGCTGACATTTTCGCTGGTGGAGACTTATGTGCCCGTAATAGACCGTGCCCCGTCAAGCCAATGTCGCTTACCGACCAGCTTCGTTTCGGTCGAAGTCTCGTTGTTGTGGTCGAGAAGGTGGTCGAACGCCTGCATGAGCTCCAGCCCGTCCAGTTGGTTGTTGTCGTCGTAGTCGTGCATCCTGCAAAACAGATGGCGCCACCACGGCAGTTGCGTGCTCCCACTGTCAGCGGAGCGGGAGATTCAATTTCACCTCTTGCAAAAAAAAGAAAAGGAGGGGGGGAGGGGGACAAGGAAAAGCAGCCTCTTCAAGATTTCCGCCCATCCCCGCTCCCCTAAAGGAAAATATATTTAAAACACAACGCACAAGGTCTGCGCATCATTGCCTCTCTGAAGGAACTCGCTTGTCGTGATTGCCCCTTCTAATGTCGGCTACCTTACGCCTATTAATTAACCTCGAAAGCTCCAGTAACTCAATTTTCTCGATTGAATTTGAGGCTTTCATGGTTTGTCATCTCTTAATGAGATTTTTCGTTTCCTGGGCTAGTTTGCCAATATCCTGTCTACCTCCAACTTCCATTGCACTCTCTTTGGTGATTATACTAGTAAGATTATCTGATACTTCGATGATACCAGTGAGATTACCTCGTTTAGAGCTGTGAATATATTCTGAAGTAAAACTCTGAATTCCTGTGCTTTCCCTCTCAGTGCTAGCCCATTCATTGGTTTCTTAGGTATCAATTTATTCCTTTTTATTTTTAAGAGCTCTCATCATTCTATGGTCCCTGCATGGGACCTTGCCAACTACTTCTACATCCTGTACAATGCCTGGGTTTGCATACAGGATGATTTCCATTTCATTTTTAGTTTCGCCATTTCAACTCCAGCATGTCTACTTACGGTTAGCCTATTTTCTGTAGAAGGTATTCGAGATCTCTAAAATCTTACGTTCTGAGAACTCTTCTAATAACTCCCCTCTGGCATTTCTAGTCAATATGCCATATTCCACCAATGCCTGGTCTCTGGCCTGTTTATTGCCTACTTTGGCATTAAATTCTCCCATAAGTATAACACACTGTGTCTCTACTTTATTAATTGCTCTCTCTATGTCTTCGTAGAAGCGTTTAACCAAATTATCATCATCGCCAACTAATCCACGGTAGCAAAGGATGTGTCCGTCCTTCAGCATTGTATAAATCGCACTTGCCCTCCTAACTTCGCTAAGCCCTATTACATCCCATTTAACACTCCCTAATTCATCAAATAGCACGGCTAGACTAGCCTCACTAGATAGCGTTCTACCATTAAACGTTCTACCCCCCCCCCCTTTCGGAAAGAAAAGTTCTGGCTAGCCCCTGCCCAACAAATTATAATTAGCAGTCAGTCACGAAACAATAAAAAAATGGGCCTTTTGCGATCATATTGCTGCAAAAATGTAAATAAAAATTGTTTCACAGCAAAAATTTAAATTACCACGACAACACAAGAATGACGAACCTCATGAAGTAAAAAGTCGTTTCCTCGGTGTCCAGATTGCCCTCCTTTGCAAAGAGCAGGACACGGGACAGGTCTCTCTTGATGTGCCTGGACAGAGAAGGAATTCGAGAGAAAAAAAAACATTGTAAAGGTTTAACCTTTCAGGAAAGATATATTAACCCTTGCTCATCTTTCAATAGCTCTTAACCGCAGGGAAAGTGAGAATATTCAATGTTTCGAATACAACTCGAATGCGTCTAGCTACGTGATTCGTGTTAGGCTAGACTAATTGTCATGGCAAGTTCCCGAATTTTCGACACAAATATTCGACTTAACAAATCGTCACTCCTATTTCGTGAATATCCGACACAAATATTAGACTCATTTTCCCACAAGAGAGTCGGCGTTCTTTCCCATTAGCGCAAGTCCCTGGGTAATATATTGAACGTGGCACACTATACATCTGCTAAAAAAAAGGGAAATCTAAACACTCTAAATAACAAAACTTTGCTTTCAGGACATGCCCGTGCGCTGCATCTGTTGAGACAAAGCAGCTCATTGAGGTTGGCTAGTCTCACCAGGTTTGGAAACCCTTGAAGCAATCCGAAGTCCTGTAGCAACACGACAATCTCCTTACTGGTATGCAACGATTTAGGTGCATTTACTGACAACCACTTCTTCAGCTTATATATTGTCATGGCGCTTACGCTAACTTAATGGAGATAATTATTCCTTGTAAACTCCTTACGTATGAGACATTCTACGAATGCCATTAGATAAAGAAACGCGCTTATTTGGGCCGCCTCTTGATACGTTAGAGAACACATAGCAGGTCAGCGCTTAATTACACGGACAAATCACATTGACTGTGCCGCTCTGTTTGTTAGTGTCTTTGCACGCTGCCCTGTTTAATTATCTGGGCTTTATATGCGCACGGTATGCAACTCTCTCCTTCGCATTATTGTTGTCGAAATAACCTCACACCAACAACACATTCATATTGCTCATGAATTACAAAAATATTCGATCATTTAATTGACACAGTTACGTGCAAATGTTCATAATACGATTAAATTCTTACACTTCGATAATAGATCACCACTAATTTTTAGACGACCTAATTATTAACCGTTTAAAGATGGAAGCATTTAAGACCGCTTCAGTCCTGTCCGCAAGGCGCGTGATGTACACTAGCAAACGGTGTTAGTCAATTTAGGACTTTGGGAAACATGGTTTGTGCATTACGGACGATATTTATCCGGTAGCGCCAAACACACCAAATGTTGGCAATGCATTAGACGAACAAGCAAACATCTTGCCGATAGGGCAGGACCCTATTATTGTAGTTTAGTCATTTTTTTATTATTGTCGTCACCACGCTCGTAAAGTGCAATGATAAAAAAGACGAGGTCTGCACTCTACGAAAAACGTGGGACTAGAAGCTCATCCAGTTTGCGCGTGCCATTTCCATCTCCGGTTAATGCCACGCTGCCATCGGCGGGAAAGCGAAAACACCTGTTTACAGCAGCTCCCTACTTCAAGCCACAAACAGTTTTCGCCGTGAGCATATTAAATAGATGCGTTCTTAGCGACCTGTTACGCACCACTGACGAACATTTCCACGACTGGCACGAGTAGGGCTATATAAACAAGCTGGGAGTATGTAAACAAGAACATGCCGCATGACGCCGCTCGCACACCGACGCCGGACTTAAACACTTTGTTTTTCCTGGTCCGTGGCTACCACTATCTGCTTTAGGTGTGCTTTTGTCTCGGAAAATTGGTGCGACACTTGCGAAGTTAACCAGTACGAACACGGAGGACGATGACGCAAGACGCGTGTATAACTCAAAGGACGAAGATGAAAGACATGTAGAATAGAACCAGTTCTGAACACTGGATCTATTGTACGTTTCTTTCGTCTTCGTTCTTCTTATTGTATATGTGTGAACACTGGTCCTGTTGTATATGTGTGAACACTGGTCCTACATACATTTCGTCCTTGTCCTTCATGTTGTATATGTGTATTTCGTCCTTGTCCTTCATGTTGTATATGTGTCTTTCGTCTTTCCCCCGTATTCTAGAACGCCCCTTCACTCAACGCTCCACCTTCACTTGAGAAAGCCGATGGGAGCGACACCTTTAGGCAGGGAAAGTCACTGCATAAAAGACAATTTGCTGCTATTCTCGAGTAGCGCAGCGTAATTTTCAGCCGAGTGGTGGCGCAGTGCTCAACTCTGTCACGTGAAGGGTGGAAGTCGAGTCTAGGAGCGCTTGTGAGTGCGGGGGTTTGTTCTTCTTGTATATGTGTGAACACTGGTCCTGTTCTACATACATTTCGTCCTCGTCCTTCATGTTGTATGTCTTTCATCGTCGTCCTTCATGTAGTATATGTGTGAACACTGGTATTGTTCTACATATTTATGTCTTCATCCTTCATTTTGTACATGCGTTTTTCGTCTTCGTCTTTCGGGCTGGTCAAGTATACGCAAACGTCCAGCTGGTGACCGCATCAGTCTGTTCCTTAGACAGTCTTGCTGTTTCACGTTTGAACTCTCAGGGACAGATAAAAATAAAACGCCGGCAGAAGTAAACCCAGGATACGTGATCGTTCAGCTGCACCACACAAGTGTCATCAGCTTTGGCAATGCATGATGCAGGCATTTCTTTAATCTTCATGCTAGCATCTGTTGACATTCGTATGCCCCGACTTATAAAGCACCGTTTCTAAAGTTCAAAATCATTATGATTCTTAAAACCACGCAAAAGTTGTAAAGTTAAAAAGTTACGAAGCCGTTGGTTGTTGGAAGGGCAAAATTTAAGCATTTTCCTGAGAACTATACCTTAATTCCCTGCTTACTCGGTAACCATACTATGGTTACCGGGTAAGCAGAGTGAACTATATAGAGGGGACTGTATAATAGTCCCCAGAGGTAACTGTGAATTGTACAGTCAGGTCTCGAAGGCTACGCTTTTTTTTTCCAGCCGCTCGTGCTGGAAGCATATGGAAGTAGATGCGCAATACAAAACACATGTTTTTGACACCCCTCTTCGAGCTCCCGAAAATGTTTGGCTTCTCCTAGTAAGATTTGTTTTAAGACAGAACTCTACGCTTTCATCGTGGCTTGGAAATCGCGCGCTGTGATTTAAATATACCAGCGTGCGTCGTCCGCCGATCTCGGTGCCGGGCCACGCACCCGTGCGCTTGCACCAAGGCACCGTGTGTGCCTTGTAGTTGTATATGCACTCCTATCAAAGCCCACCTTGAGAAAGAAACAGAGGTTATAGCCATAGACATGGCAGCGCTGGTAACTTCATATTCTGAAGTATACTAGAGAGTTCCTGTGAGCCTGAGTGGCAGTGCATAGTCCGGGACGCCATTGGAGATTGCCGCTAGCTAAGCGCGCGCCACCAAGGAGCATGCGCATCCAAGGTAGAGCAGCCGAGCAGGTACTCCTCCCAAGCCTCTCTGGTTGGGATGGGAAAGGGTGTGAGAAAGGGGGTGAGAAAGAGAGTGGAGTGGCAGGACACGAAGCCACAACGCGAAAGGTGTCGGTTAACACACGACAAGCTGGACGCGTGCCAGATATTTCTGGTATGAAGTGCCGGGTGACCGCTGGACTAAGGAAAGTATTAGTCTGAAGACGGTGTAGCAGTCGTTCGTCCGCTTTCGCCAGACCGCGTGCGGGGCCAGGGTAAAGTCGGTGCGAACTGTGAAAAAAATATAGAAAATCACGGTAGCGTTGGAGGCTAGAGTTCCCAGAGTCTGACTCAAGACACGGAAGGGCAGCGACCCGGAGGGGAGAAGCGCGGGCAGCATTTGCCGCTTCATTGCCGGGAAGACCTGTGTGGCCTGGAATCTATGCTACTCTTACAGAGTGAGGGATAAAGCGCCAGGAAGCGTCTTGAATGAGATGAACACTGCAGCCAATGGGGTAATGGAACTCCGGATGTATCTTCAGAACAGGCTGAGTGCGAGTCTCGGATAATTTGAGCACTGGGATGGATGGGAGGGTTCGCTATTTCGTAGAGAAGGAGGGGGTGCGTTTCACCATGGACACGTCCCCTTCCCTCAAGGACACAGGCAGAAAATTTTCGGGAAGAAAAATTCCCAAACATATATCACCACATTCCATTAAAGATTGTCGGTATTTGAAATTAAAAAGTTATAAATTTTTAGGCGCGTCTTGAAAATTACTGTCTTATGTTCAAAAACTATTAGATTTGTACTCTATCTATAGTCGTATTCGATTCGCTATGATCGCTACGAGATTCGCATTCCATTCGGTTCTAAATATCACCATTCGTACACCCCCATAAAAAAAACCTACCTTTCCATAATAACCATGCAGCGTGCACATTACACAATGACAGGACAGGTCTGGCTGAACAAAAATACGGCTTATACACGACCCCCATATATGACTGGAGAGGGTGCCAAACCCCCCTCCATGCGGAAGCGTGTAGTAAGAGCCGAGCAGCTAATGCCGACTGTGGACGTACTCTGAGTCTCTGGATATCTGGACGGCGCTGTAGCGGCTACGGAGGTCCTCGATCTCCTGGAAACTGGGAGCCCCCTGGTCGACCCCAGCGTCGTCTACCTCCGGTATCGCCGCGTACCGGGGCCACAAAGCGGCGGCCAGCAGCACCCACGCGGTAAGCCAGCGCTCGCCGAGCATGGTAGGCCTGGTAGGCGTCGGCGAAAAGTTCTGAGCTGCAATGAAGAAGGAGAGACACGCGCTCTGGTAGCTGTAGGGCTCGCTCATTCAGAGTATCGTCGTCCATTTGATGAAGGAGAGGATTACTAGTCGCAGAATAGCGTATCTATATATAAATTTAGGACCTCAGTTGACCGATCGCCAATTGCACGAACTATTCAGTTGTACGAACTTTATTACCCCCCTCCCACCTCCGAAGCCCCGTTGGACCCAAAGCTAAATCAGTGCACAGCGCATTTCAGTTCTACGAACATATTTTATGACACCATCCAATGTCACATCGATCAGAAATTGCCGGGAAAACTGGGTAGGCACAGCGTTTGCGTATTGGGAACTATGTCGTCTGTGACTCTCGACTTGAGACATGTACCACTCTGTCTAAGGAAAAGACTGTAGCGAGCGTCCTGCCTCAAGGGAGGAAAAAGAAGAGGTAACCCACGTACAGGAAGCAGGATGAATATTGCTTCAACTGACTCAATAGCGTCGCGAATGCTGATTAAGCAGTGGAACTGGTGTCATCAGTTCTAGCTTGGCCCTTACCGAACTTTCTAGAACGAATGAGAGACCCTAAGCTTTTCCAGAATGGTGGTTATCGGGTGGTCCTCTCCTCCACACTATATACCTGCTTCGCTCCCGCCGTAGCATCACCTTTGTTCTCGTCCTCAATGCCCAGCCTCACCGTCGCCACGTCGCTACCTTTTGTCTACCAGGCTCAACTCCCTTCTCGGCTTCCCCCTCATCCGCGTATTTTGATCCATGATCTCCCACTCCTCAGACTTCGCTGTTGCTGCTGGACTATAAAGCGTGCACTATGGATCCCTAGGAGTTTACCTCTACCCTAAACAACTCCGACGTTAAAAGTACTCGGCGCAACGACGTGTGTACTAGAACTTTGGTGATGAAAGTTATCGCCAACGACTCATGCTATACGTCGGCGGTAATGAGTGTCAATATGTTTGTGTTTCAGTATTATGGGTATTATGGGAGTACTCATAAACAGGAACAACGGGGGGGGGGGGGGGGACACGCACAGCCATCTTTCGCATCCGCTCAGAAATATTGATTTGTCTATTTTTTTGTGACGTCACAAAACGAACTGGATTATATTCTATATGTTCAGAGCAGGATCACGCAGGCATTCAAATCGCAACCACCGAAGAAGCGAAGGTTTGAAGAGGATCTGTTAGGTTACCTTTCCATTTTAGATTTGAGCGAAAGAAGTGCCGACGTCGAATAGACTTGATAAGGGAGACGGAGCAAAGTTGATGCACGCGAATAAATCACTAATGAGCAGCGAAGTCAGCTAGGAATAATCCTCTTCCGTCATTTAATCTCCGCCAAGCGAAACGCACCTGCTCACTGCCACTTTCGAGCAGCTGCGTTATACGTGGTGTTGAGGTAGCTAATATTGAGATAATTATAACTGTCCAAGTTATAATTATCTCAATATTAGCTACCTCAACCTTGAAGATTTGGAATTCCAGCTTCTATAGTATAGCGTTCCCGATTTCTCAGCCTGACCAAACTAGTCTCGAAGTTTGCCAATCGAGCGCTACGCAGTCGTAGGAGGTTATGGGCTCTCGGACAACTTTTTCTATGCGATTATCAATTATATAAACTTAGCACACCACTCAATCTGGGGTGGCACCGGGATTTCTCTACTTAAAGAAACGGGGGGGGGGGGGGGGAAGAGTACTCATGCACTTTGTTTTGACTATCTTGAATAAGGAAACAGCGCTGTAAAAACGAAGACCTTAAAGAGGAACGAACAACTCGCCAAACAAGTCATCGTTTACCTGCTTCGTCCTTGTTTTTAGCTGTTTCGTTATCCAAGATGTTCATCAAACTTGCCAACAAGTTTACTATATTCGATTTCTTCTTTTACTATGTTTACTCGGGGAAAAAAAAGGGGGGGGGGGGTATTCGAAGGGGCACGGGAAAAAATTTGGAAGGCGACCTCCCCTGAAATTATTTAACTCAGATAATCACCTCAAATATTCTTTTTTTTTCCTGTTTGTATATCTTGCCCTGCCATTTTTTTCGCCTTGTGCTTGTATTATAAGTGGCTATATTTATGCTTTCTTGTAACTTATTTAGTTATTTAAATATTTTAGTATCCCTCTACATCATTTCATCACCCTGCATGTCAATACTGTCTGGGGGTAAATGGTGCTTAGTCAAGCTGCAGAAACTGCAGCTTTCTTGCAGTCTGCTCATATTTGGCCATTGTATAAGTTTTGGTGAAATATAAACACTGATTAAATGAATGATTGATTGATTGATGGATGGATGGATGAACCTGACACATTTGCTCCAAATTCATTGTGTTCTCTCTAGCTTTACGGAACAAGCATCAATTTCTGATGTTTTGTGCACCAAAACCGCGATATGTTAATGATGACTGCCGTCGTGGAGGGCTCCGGAAATTTCGACCACCTGCGTTTTATTGAGGTGTTCCAAATATATAACAACGATTTTAAGTATTTCCACCCCCAATCCAATATCCGATCACCTCAGCAAAGATCGAACCCGTGTCTTACGTACGTGTCTGCAGCCGAGCACTCCAGCCACTGTGCCACCAGGGCTTGCGTGGCAGCAGTGGTTAGGGTGCTTGGCGGCACTGTGCCACCAAGCAAACAGGTCGTTGGCTTGATTTACGGCTGCGGTGATTTCATGCCGTTTAATGAGACGAGGAAAGAGAAAGAAAAACGCTCCTATACACCGCTTGGGCTCACATTATAAAACTCGTAAGCGTTTCAAATTAATCCACATCACCACATTATTGCACCTCTTCTATCTGGCAGGTTGCTTTAGAATGTTAACCCCCCTTTTTTTCTCTTTCACGCTGTCACGGACGGCCATTTTTGGCGACACCGCGTCACGGCAATTAACGGGCGCCGTACTCCCCGACTGACCGTGAGAACGGCGGCGCATGAAAGGGAGCCGAGAAGTGCAAAATGGGGTGCTCTTCTTAGAACGTCACCGCCGACGGTTAATCCTTTTGTAACTGTGGCGGCGTCTGCAAGGTCGTAGAAGGCCGCGGTATTCTCCGAACAAGGATTAGACTACGAGACGCACCGGCTGAGAGCCAAACGTTTGACCGTTCCCACGGGGAAAAGCGTGGGAAACGCTCTGGTGGCCAAGCCGTATGACAACAACCCGACAGGTTGTCACTCTCGCTAGTTGAGGGCCCTCTCCCAATTAAAAAGGGGTGGGGTCAAAATATTTTTGGGGCGGAGTTTCCGTCAATTAGACGGACATGATTGGACCCATGTAGAGGTCTCTTGTTCCCCAAGGAAGAGAGTGAGGAGACACGAGGGGGACTTAAGCGCAGGATTTTGCCCTGCTAGGCAGACTAGTCGCTGACCAAGATGTTGTAGAAACAGATCAACAAGCATCTCTTCTAGAAGTTTTTAGTGTGGCTCTGTATCAGCTGGCCACCTAAACTTAGCCGTTCGTCTAGTTGTGACCGCGATATTAACGTCTGCAACGTAGACATCGGGACTTCGCCTCGAGTTAGCTCAGCCTGCTCGAAGTCACCTGCAAGCACTAGCCTCCCGGAGCCACCAGCGTTGCAACACCGCCGACATCGCAGTCGTGCCAGAACTCTCTTCGACTTCTCGCTTCCGATCGTCGGGGACGCAACGCTGCCGATCATCACACGTATGCCTTCACCTGTTTATATCTTCGAACTTTCTACTCCGTCGTTCTATTGTTGTTAGGTTGTGTAGCTTATAATAGTTCTCTCTCGTAAGCTGATTTATTGTTTTTATATGTATCTTTAGTTGTATCAAGTTTTGATGTATATTGTTAGTTGTTTTGAAGTGTTGTATTAGATCCCGTGTGCTGCAATATCACCAGAGTAAAGTTTGTTTTGTTTTCCCACGTCTCTGATCTCTTCACTGTCTCTGCTTGCGTACGGAACGAACCAACCTGCTGTCATTCCCGTCGCCGAATTCGCGCTGGCGACGCTAGAGTGGCAGCTTGTAACAAAACTGGCGTCCGCGAGACAGGACGTTCCGTACAAGATTATGACAGTGAGGGGTGAACGAGAACCGTGCGGACAGCGTGGTGATAGAGCCGCTAGTTGAAGCGGTTGCATCCTGCATATGATTGCGCTGTTTCTATTGTGGCATTATAGTGACATTTGCAGTATGCAGTGCATGGATTTTGATATGTGGATCTCGCACGGTAAACAGTTAGGCCTCGAGGGCGCCGAACTGAGACAATGGGTTAAGGAGCAGCAGGAACAGGCGCAGGCGTTAGCCAGAGAAGAGCGGGCACGGGCCCGGGAGAAAAGGGAAAAAGAAAGGGAGAGAGAGCGCCAAGAAAAGGAGAGAGAGCGCCAAGAAAAGGAGAGAGAGCGCAAAGAAAGGGCGAAAGAACGAGAAGTGGCAAAGGAAGCGGCAAGGGAAGCCGGAGAACGGGAAGTGCAGTTACTGCAATTAAAGATTCGCCTCAGTGAGGGTAGCAGGGTGAGCCGATCCAACACGGAGCACGGCGATGCCGGCGAGGAACTGTCATTTGAGCGAGACACATGGTGTCAAGGGCTACTCACGGTTCTGCCTTGCGAGGCAAATGGAGCTGTTGCGCGACTCAGTCAGCAGAACGCGAACAACTACGAGGTAGTTAAGGCAGAGATGTTCCGGATATCTGGAACTTCTGTCTGGACAAAAGAAGAGCAGCTCACACAAGAGTCCGAAAGAAAGCGCGAAACAGAAAGACAACAGTCTGAAAGCGAGGCGCGTCGGAAAGCGATGGACGTTCCAAGTACCGCCATCTCCCATCTCGCATCCCGGTGGCTACGTACGACAACGACGGAGGATGAATGCAACATAGTGCCGCCGCTGGTGAATATTTTGCGCGATCTCTCTCTTGAGCACTGGGAGGCCGTGTTGACCAGCTCAGACCCAGTCGTCCAGTTAAGGGTCATGGAGTGGGCCACACAGGTCACCGCAAACTTTGGGTTGATGGCCATCTAACACGG